GCGATATAGATTCCGATTCCGATTTAGATTCAGATTCAGATTCAGATTCAGATTTCGATTCTGTGTGTGTGGGATGGCTTATGCAATCGTGATCGATGTCAAACCAAAGCAAACCCAACCCCAGCCACGCCCAGCCAGTCACATATAATTATTCAATTAACCAAATGGCGTCATAAATTATCAAGTATATGGCATATGGTCAAAGGGTTTTACCATGGCCAATGTCAGTGTCAGGCGCTAATTGTGATTGGTGTGGAATGCCGTTGATTCAGTTCATCACTTGGCCCCCATGAATATGCAAGTGACACTCAATATCCACATGTCTCCGGAGATAATGTCCGGGGCTAGAGATAGAATTTCACTTTTTGCCCAGAGATTAGTTGGAAATTCGTCGGTGATATCAAGTTGGCGGAAGGGATCTATCAGCTAATGGCAAATCAATTCCTTACTTCCTAATAGAAATTTTTATAATCCTAAGAATATTTCGCAGTTTCTCGAAAAAGTGTACAGTGATTTGCTGATTTTACAAATATATATTATTTATTTTTCTTGTATTTTTTTACCCGCCGATCAACTAATTTCTTTGTTAAGCATAAAGAGTTCTTATACCCCTTTGCATTTCATTAAGACCTATATAATTTATCAGCTTGTCCAGATACACACACTTATACATTAATGTGAATCATATTTTGCACCCAGTTCCAGTTTTCCCAGTCAGCTGTTTGCCAGTTTTCCAATTGATTCGATTGATCTCGAATCTGAATTGGACACGCAGCCCCCATGGCGTATGCGCATTATTTGCTAGCATTTTCAGTTGGTCTTACCTGGTGCACCTGCTGCACGCCGCTCAGTTACGCTCCAAAATCCACAAATCCTTTGGCTGCAACTGCAACAACAACCAATTCTGGCAGTTTGCGAACGTTGCATACATTATACACTGGTTCGACTCAGATATCCACAAGATACTCCGACCTATCTATCTCTCTATGGCTTCGATTTCGATTTTAGCTTATGGAAATCACTGGCACTTCACATGTTTGCTGATGATGATGATGCTGGTGGCCAAGCCTAGACTTTGGCTATTTTGGATTTGGATTTGACACACAGACACATCATCATCGTTCACTCACACACTGGCACACTCAAGAATGGCGATGGATACGAATATATTTATTTGATACCGAATCGGTATCAAAAAATCGGAGAGGCTTTAGCTCTGACGACCACGACAACGAGCGATCGCGGAAATGAGAGAACTTCGAGAGATGTGTGTTTTTTCTGTTGTTCTTCAGGCGCGACTATCAGCGTTTAACTCTGATTTTACTTTATTTAACCGCCGCAAAAACCGCGAACGATTACAGGGCAGAAAAAATATGATTAGAGGCTATTTATTCGTGTCAGGCGCGATTCGGTTGTAATAAGCGTTTTTCGTTTCGATTTGGCGACACTCTGGACGAGCGAACGCGTTTTTCGGTTCCGTACAACGAGCGTTGAGCGCAAAAAACTGAATGAGCGTCCAAAGCGGCCGAGGCAAGGCAAACAGGCAGGCAAAAGCGATCCGGAGACGGAGCAGAGCCGAGCAGCAACAACATCAAAGCACAGCACAGCACAGCAGAAACAGCAATATCACAGCAGCAACAGCAACAGCACGGCAGCAACATCGGCGGCCCAGCAGCAACTACAAAAACAACCAACAGCTAGTTAGTTAGTTTGAGCTCGTAGTAGTGAGAGTCGATCGCATACACACTCCCGAACACAAAAGCAAGTTGCTTAAGTCGCTCAAAGCGCCATTTAAGTTGAGTAATTAAAACAAGCGATATATGTATATGTATATATACAAGTATGTGTGTGTGTGTGTGTATGTGCGAGTGCGATTAATTATTAATCAAGCCAAAAAACAACAATCAACCGCTAAGGCAACAATAACAAACAAGCCAGTCTCACAATTACAATATTTCAACTCTCTCAGTCGCTGTCTTCGGTCCACAGTCTCCAGTCTACAATCTACAGTCTTCACAGATCTCGACTTTCTTTGGGCCTCTCTTCGAGCCAAAGCTGTTACACATTTGACTTTTCGGCGCTGCGGCAACTGGTTCGGTTTATTTTTGGCTCTAGATCTCGGGCTCCGACTTCTCGAAACTGCAGTGCTGCTAATGCAAATCTAAATTGATTGCAAAATGCTTAGAGTCGGAGTAGACAATCTTTCGAGTTGATCGGCGTTGCCGGACTGTTTGCCTAGTTAAAGTTAGATCAAGCAAGATCGAGTTGAGATATATTTAAGTGAGAGTCTTAAGGGGCTGGGACCCGCTGCATTTTTTTAAAGAGAAAGAATCAATGAACTAGATTCACAAAACATTCTTAATTCTAAACTTAAATTTTTATAAGACCTATTCTTAAACATATCAATCATCCGGCCTGTGTGACCATTATAGCCTACAGAAATCTGGCAGCACTGGCTGCCCAAATCCATGCTGCAAACTTAATTAATGCCGCTGATCTTGCAGCTCCCGTTGTTGTTGTTGTTGTGTTGCTGCTGTGTCCGAGTGTAATTAAAATATTGCACTTGTTACTTTTTCCAGCTGCTGTCTCCCTGTCTCTTTTCCGCAGTCTTTCCTCGCATATATTGTCTTTGCCACAGGAACACAAGTGCAACAAAACAACACGCCAAGGAGTAGAAAAAGCACAACAAGCATGCTGACAACATCGACTTCATCGTTCGCCGTGTGTCGTGTATTAAAACTTGTTCATTGGAATTTTCTAATAAATCAATAAACGCAGACAACACAGTGCAGGGGGCGTCCGAGGGGGCCTAAAAAGGGGGTTCCGGGGGCCAGCGTTGTCTTGGCACACAGCTGGCGGCATCGACAGACCGACGGACAGATAGCCGCACGCATCTCGCAGATTGCGCATTTTATAAATAGCCGCCGCTTTATTTTTTTTTTCTCATTTTTTGAGGTTATGGAAAATTTGAGTTGTTGTTATTATTGTTTCTTGCTATTTTCCTTTCCAACTCGATCACCAGATCGCGATTGTAGGCTATGGCCAAGCGGCAGCATTGACAACACTTTCACACAATCGTTGCACCCAGAGAAATTAAGATACCTTTAACCTTTAAATATCTCCCTTTTTCTCAAATATAATATACCGTTGCATACTTTTGGAGACATTTTATCCCTCGAGGGACTTATTAGCTTGAATGTGATCATAGATTTCAGATTAAACGTTTAAGCAGTTTACTGCCATTCAAATATTTTTCTCTTTGTGTAAAAATCGTCGCTCGGCGGCCAGCATTTCCGTAAATAAAGCGCTTGGGAAGTGGCAATTAAGTTAACTGTGGGCTGGCCACAACAATCAGGTAAACGCCGTAGATTGAACGTCAATCAATGGGTATTTTCAAAATATATTTTCTCTCGTTTTTTATAAGTAACGATCGCTTCCTATTCTTTTTCGACCACGGCATTATGGCATTTCGATGCGGTAATAAACGTAGAAGCTTGATTTTTAGTGCGTTTATCGCGACGGCAACAATGTTGCCACTAAATTTTCCATGTTCCAGCCCGATATGCTAATAGGTCTAATAGCTTTCGATTTGGCCCGCTTTACATGCGACGAGTCCGTTCGGCACATTCTAAATGTAAATAAAATGGAAATTCCTTAGAGTGGCACCAACAGCAGCCGCAAAAATAAAAAAAAAACAGAGTGGAGAGGCAAAAACTTGTAGAACAGGAGGAGGCACTTGTTGAGAACTTGGCTGCCTTGTTAAACGAGCCTGCAACACCCAGCAGCAGCAGCAGCAGCAACAACAGCAACAATAAACAATGTTGCAATGCTTAATTATTTCAGCGGCAAGGAATTCCTCGCTGCAAACTTGAACTGCTTCTGGACTATGGATGTTGCATGTTGCTGTGGTTGATGCTGCTGCTGCTGCTGCACCATCAACTCGATTGCGCTGCCTTACACTTGAGGTCGTCTGCTGCCTGGATTTTTGTTTTGTGTTTTACTATTTTCAGGTAGCCAGAGCGAGATGCAGTCCTCAATCTCAATCTCAGTCACGATGGTCAACGGCACCGAAGCGTCTGTGGCAAAGTCCCTTTACCGATGTTGCTGTTGCGGTCTGCCGCACCTATTTGTAATGCATTAATGGTCTAGAGCTCAGAGAAAAAACCAAGAGCTTGGAAAAGAGCCGATTGACATTAAGCTGCCCATTCGGCATATGGGGAGATCACTGCTTTTGATAAATGGCAAGTAGCAGACCGAAATTATTAATGCCAACATCGGTTAGTCATATTTGTTGCGATGAACATCAGTACTGAAATGTTGCAAGATCGGGAAAATGTTCATGTCTAAAGTTAAATTTTAGACCTGCTCATGCTCATGCTCATGCCATTTATCCGATCATTTTAAAGATCATTTTATTGGTATAGTGATGTGATTTTTAGACATAGAAGGCCAAGCTTTCGATTTCAAAGAAATTTCTACTACACACACATCGAGATACTACCAAACACGAAGTACAATATACAAAATTATTAACACCTTTAAGAAAAGAGCGATGAAAAGTATTTAAGTTGGTCCTATTAGGCGATGCAGAGGTGGGAAAAACGTTCATTCATAGAGCGCCTTATGCTTGGAACTTATCAGGAGAGTTATGAGGCCACAAATGGAGTGGAACTTGCAAGATTGACGTTTAGAACTAACCGGGGAAATGTTGGCTTTATTGTATGGGACACCGCTGGCCGGGAAGAGTTGGGCGGCCTGCGCGATGGCTACTATATCAAGGCTGATTGCGCAATCATTATGTTTGATGTGACCTCAATGAAATCCAACATAAACTTGGAAAAATGGCACCGCGACATTGTTCGCGCCTGCAGCCAAATCCCGGTTGTATTCTGTGGCAATAAAGTTGAGATGACAAGGAACCGCATGGTGAACGACAATAGCGCAACCTTCGGACGAAAAAATAACTTGGTCTATTATGATATATCGGCCAAATTGAACTATAACATGGAGAAGCCCTTCCTGTACCTTAGCCGCCAGCTGCTCAAAGATCCGAAATTAGAATTTGTTACAAATTTTGAGCCACCGAAGTTAGTCACTATGGGAATATAATCCCAGAGAAAATCCTTTAATTTATTTCTCGTTCAAAATTCATAATCTGTTCTCGGATACGCTTCTGTTGACGTCTTCCTTCTACATATACAGCGATACTGGTCACAGACCCTGTCGTCCTTTCCATCGCAAACATACGGAGCTTTCTGGGACACCGTCATCTTGAAGAGAAATCCAAGAACTAGAAGACTAATCACCACCCAGTTCATCCCTTTTTATGATGTTTCTCTAGCAGCAGACCGTAAATTTCATGCGATATTGGTCAAGCTATACCTTATGAAGCGTATCTAAAATTTTAAATTCTTAATAGCTATGGTAAATCAAATTTGATTGTAAAATAGTTTTTAACTTTTACAAGTTTTATTTCGTATTAGAAACTAAAGGTATAAAATTCAAAAAGTATAAATAAAAAATTGTTCTAAAATTATATAGTTTTTGTTAAGTTAAGCACATTTTCCAAATGAGCGAATGTTCCTAAAACACCATTTCCAAATTACCATTGTCAAGTCAAGTTCATTGCCACAAAAGTTTGCCTGTACTTGATCCCCCTGAAAACTGTTTAAAAACTCCCCCACACATCTGCTTCAAATTAAGAGATTCCATCCGAAAGTCTTTAACATGATTCATTTGGGGGTTAGTCAAGACGATTTCCCAGCAAAATGCAAATTACTTTTTTGTTGCTTTACTCAAATTTGTATCCATTTGCCCCCAACTAAGGCATGTGACAAGAGCGTTAATTGAACTTTGCCTATATTATATTTGTTCGGAGTGAACTTTGCCATTGTCTAGACAAATTAAGAACAGAGCCAAGCGAATGAAATTTATGTATGTCGCCCGGAGGCGGCGCGGTGAATAGTGTATAATTGTTAGCTTTGGGGCCACGCGGCGTATGCGCAATGTTCCCGGTGCTTTCAAGCGTTTTTCGTTTTTTTTTTTTTTTTTTTTTTTTTTTTGTCCATATGTGATAAGCGTCGTCAGTTTGTCTGGCAATAAGATCGCTGGCAGCTGGTGTTCGGCTGTTCTGGGTGTGATGTCATAAGTCAACACAAGAAGAATCTATGCTATATGGTATGGCGATCGGATCGGGGATCGTTAATTAAAATTTCCAGCGAGTACTTCATTAGCATCGTCGTCAGCTGCCACGCGTTGCTCAGCTGCCGCGCTCCAATGCTTAATTAATAAATCAACGCGACACTTGCACTCCATCTTGCCGATGGCCGTATCTGCTGCTCCGATGATGATGATGATGAGGATGAGATGCTCGCCGAGATTGTTGCCATGCCCGGCCAGACAAATTGACGCGACATTCCATGTCTGTGGGAGGGGAGTTGCTGGTGGTCAGTGGCTAATAAAAATGTTAAATATAGCAGCCGCCGATGATGACATCTGTGCCATTAAAGCGGAAACGGAAACGATTCTAATCGCTAGCAACGGATCTCCGAGTGGGCCCTACATGTCCACCAGTGGGCAGCTCAGCTCTTAATTGAGGCAAGCAATGAGACCAGGCATTTCCTGAATATTTTCTTGGTAATCGTGATCTTGTTTACTTTTGCATTTAGCAGTGACATTTTAATATATTTTATATATATATTGATTACAAGTTCTATTTAACTGAAATAATCCAAAATTAGATGCCGGTCTAAATCATAGACCATCATTCAACACAGAGCTCTGATATCTGAGAACGATTCATCATAGATTTAAGTGACTTTTGTGCGCAGCAGTTAGATATTTTGTCATAGTATAGTTTCAAAGGAATCAGAACTTAGTCATCTCTAATGGCATGCACAGCAGAATGTAGTTAATAACAAACCTAATCGAGCAAAAATAGCACAAGAGAGTGACTGGTGAATGTGATTATTTAATAATTGTGGCATATGCGCGGCAAAATAATTATACTATACTCGTATACCACACGAAGTAAACAATAAGAAGCGTTGATAGAAGCGGGCAAAACAATCACAATTAGAAAAATATGCAGTCAAAGTGTTAGCTAGTAAAAATTGCTAAATTGCAACTGGGCGCGCGTCGCGTTTTAGTTTTTCAGTTTCTAAAAATAAAGCGAAGCAAATAAATTTACATTTTTAATTGCAATTATCGCTAGCTATTGTTGTAGTTGCTCGCTGGCTACTGTTTGCCTTTGGCGTTTCGAACAATTAAGATGATTTATTAGCAGCGCATTTTTATGAGACGCAGTATAAAAGAAATGGAAATTAAATGGATATTACTCAGGGATATTTATGCTCTGTGGTGATCGCATGTACAAATTGATTTATCACATCTGTCGTTCGTTTTGCCTGACACATAATCACAATCAAGACAATTCCAGGCTAATTTCCAAACCGGAGACGAAAGCTAATTGTCATTTTATGCTGTCACTGTCGACCATCTCAGAGCATAAAGATCACAAAATTATTTGAATTTGAATGGATATTAAAAATGTAAATGAAAAAAGTCGTAAAAATTTCATAGAGCAAAATTAAAGAGGAAAATCGTAAAAACAAATTTAAACGACTATGGCCCGTCTGCGGTTCAAGAGCAGCTCCATTAACGAACTGCCCCACATATCTGTGTATATTTGTGGGCGGGGGCGTTGCTCTAAGGCACAACCAGGAAGTGCAGATCCATCACATTGGTACCCGTGTGTCCAGTGAGCACGTGGTATTCGCCCTGCGAGAGATTCTTGTAGAAAGTATAGCTGTCGCAATTCCGCAGCGTCTCAGCCAATTCGTCGAGGGTGTGATCCCCCAGGTACGATTCTACTACCCTGCTGTCCCCAATGGCTCCGGCTGCATCGGTGGGTCCATCGATGCCATCGGTTCCGGCGCTTAGGAAGGTGCAATCTCTCATGGCCTCGTCGCGATGCAGGGTTTGTGCCATCAGCAGGGCCAAGTGTTGGCTCCTACCACCCAATCCATGGCCCGTAACCTGAAAGCAAAGGGTTGTTAATGGTGGAATTATATTTTTTTTATGAATATTAAACAAACTTTTATGACTGGTTCGCCTCCACAGATCAGAAACAGCGGCTTTTTGCTGATCAAATGGTCTTCTAAGGCCTTCCTAAAGTCCGGGAAACTCCTATCCCCGAAGGTATACTTCTCCCTGAGCTGCTGATCTCGTATACCATGATTTTTTGCTTCATATATACTCTGAAGCAATCTCTGATAGTCGCCAGCTACTTGAGCAACATCTCCTTGAACGGCACAACTGAGCACGCAGGGAATATAGCCTAGTTTCTCAGCTTCTAAGGCAGCTGTGGAAGTGGCTATCACATTGCTACCCACAACAAAGACCTTGTGCTCGGGCAAGGATGAGTTCTTCTGTTCTTCCGGTACCTCGAACACCTTTTGCACCTCTGGGGAAAGCTCTTCCCAGACCTGATGCTTCTTAAGGATTTCAGACGGAGATGCTCCGGCCACGGGTTGGATAGTGGGGCCACAGGCTATCAGCTCCAGGGGATCTCCGATGATGTCGCTTAGTACAAAGGTCACCAGAAGTCCCCGCTTGACCGGCAAATTTGGCCAATTTGCCTCCTTTGATATCTGAACAGGCTATTCTCACGGCATTTATCTCCTGGATGCTAGCTCCCCGTTTCATTAGCTTATCTGCAATGCTGCGCTTGTCATCCAGAGTCAAAGGTAGCCTGGGCAAGGGCAAAAGTGCAGACCCTCCTCCTGAAATGAAGACTAAAAGAATGTCCTGCGACGTCATCTTCTCGGCGAGCTGCTTAATTTGCTGGGCTGCCTTCAGAGCATTGTCATCTGGAAGGTTGTTGGGTGCTCCTTCGTAGACAACCAATTCAGGAGCAATGGGTTGTTGGAACTGTTTCAGGGTGTTTACCGGGACACTCAGCACTCCTCCGGATGAGTGGGTTCCCAGGTCCTGGTGAACCTTGTTGGCCATTCCCAGGACTGCTTTACCAAATCCCACAATGTGACAGGACTTTCCAGTGATGTCCTGCCGCTCTCCATTTAGTTTTATCGACAACTCCGTAGGCCTCAAGTCAAATTTTTGGTAATCACTAAATATCTTCTCAGGGTGCACGGCATTTATCGCCTGCATAAAGATCTGACGCATTTGATCCCAAGTGTGTCTCTTGGCCATTATGTAAGGTGATACGGACACGGGCGATCCTAATCAGCGATGCTGAAATTCCAGTTTTACTTATCATTTTCAAAACAGCTGAAACACAGTATATAATTAATAGTGCGACCTCAAGCGGAAGATGCAAAAACTCCACAGCATTAGGGGGGTTCCTGAAACTAGTTCAGGAACTAGTTTAGTTTCGGAACTTATGTAACTATCTTAAATTCTTCATAAACATGTTCCTTATTTAATCTCTGAATATACTTTAAATGAAGTAACTTTTAAATATAGGGATTAAAATGTATTCTTCGTTTTCATATATTGCCTGGCTTACATTTTATACACCACAGACTGAAGACCACCCCTATTCTGTTAACGTTGTGTCACAGGCTGAATGCTACGTCACTCAGTTAACAGAGAATTAACCGAGTATGGTACTTAACAGTGGTTCAAATAAATGTAACTGAAAATTACAACTTACAAAATCTGCGAAATTATTAAAAATACTTAAAATGGGGTGTAAATAATTTTTATGACATATTCTGCACCAGTAGTTTCATTCAAACGGACGTGCATGCCACGATTGACACTTAAGTTGTGAATTAGTTGAGTTGAATTCATTAATAAATTGGCTAAACAATTATCCATGCTAATTTGCCAATCAACGGCTTTATTGATTACTTTTAGTGCACACGCTATGGGTTATTAATTTTTTGCTTTCACTGATTTAGGAAATAGTTGAAGCGTGATAAGCTTGATTGTTTTTGTACATTTCTTTACGTAATGATATTTGTTCCAGTTATCGGTAAACTTATTAAACAAATGGAATGGCTAAACATGTTTCAAAGCTTTGACAGTGAGTAAGAAATATTTGCCGCGACACCAAACACTTGTGAAATTATTGATTTCATGCTGATAATAATTAAAATTTTCAATGTCTTATAGCCTTAAAATTGGTCTATTTAGTCACTCATCCGCTATTTACTTCTCAACTTAACAGCACCGCCAACCACGCGGACTTCAACTACTTTCGTTCTTGTTTGACACCAATCGGACCCACCATTTGACACCGCCACATGCCCCTGTGTGGGTGCCCACATATGTATGCCACCGGCTTAATCACTTACCAATAGAAAGATCGCTGCCTGCGATACCTGCTACATTTAAATAGCAAACACTCTCGGTGGCCGGAACCCAGTTTACACACGGCCTTAGAAGTTGGAGTGTAAGTGACATGGAGTCGTCGTTGTGGCTCGCTTTGCTGAGTAAGTAGATCTACAAGTCTCGTAAGTACTAAGAGATTACATTATTGTGTTTGTTCTTAAATAGCTTTTCTTTGGACCGCGAGTGCCAATCCTTTGGTGGGTCTTTTCGATCCCGCCTGCAAAGTAGTTCAAGGGGAATGTCCTCATGAAAATGTGTCCTTCTGGCTGTACTCCAAGTAAGAATTAATTTTTAAATTATTAGCGAGATTACATTTTAAATATTTATTTATTTATTTAATTTTTCACTCAACAGCTCAACCCGAGAAAACCCGATTCTGCTGAACCCTCTCGATCTCAATCCCTGGGACTTCCAGCCGCCACGCCCCCTCAAGATACTCATCCATGGCTACACAGGATACCGAGATTTTGCACCAAACTCCTTTATACGCCCCGTACTCCTGGACCACGAGGATGTCTATGTTATTTCCATTGATTACGGCCCACTAGTTCGATATCCATGCTACATTCAGGCGGTACAAAATGTTCCCCTAGTAAGTCGATGCATGGCCCAGTTGATCAACAACCTGGTGGATCGAAGAATTGTGTCAAATGACCAAATCCACTTAATTGGATTCAGTTTGGGTGGTCAGGTTGCCGGTCAGACGGCCAATTACGTAAAAAAGAAACTCAAGAGGATTACGGGCCTAGATCCTGCAAAGCCGCTGTTCATCATAGGTCCAAACACGAGGAGATTGGACGCCGGAGATGCCGAGTTTGTGGACGTCATCCATTCGGATGCTTTCGGTCGTGGAGTACTCCGAACGACTGGCCATGTGGATTTCTTTCCTAACTTTGGGGCCCAACAGCCCGGATGCATGGAGGAGAATATGCAGGATCCTGGTAGCTGTAATCATGAAAGAGCTCCTCGATTTTATGCCGAGTCTATTAATTCCACCGTGGGTTTCTGGGGACGGCTCTGTTCTGGCTGGTTGGTCTATCTTCTTGGACTCTGTCCCCACAACAGGACCTCAAGCGCTAATGGGCTACCATGTTTCAGAGGATCTGAGGGGTTCTTACTTTCTTAAAACCGGAAGTAAGCCACCTTTTGCTCTAGGAAAACAAGATGATGTCGATAATAGGCAGACCCTGGCCAAATTCCATCTGAATTATGAGCAAAATGAAATCGACGATGACTATGAACCACAGTTGTTGGAGGCATTCATAGAACTTGAGGCGCTTAATGTTGTTGTGAAAAAGGAGGAGGATGATTTGGACAAGCAGTTGGACTGGATCGAACGCGAAGAAGACCAGCCCTTGACCAGAAATCTGTTTAAGAAGGGGCTTAGTTCGAGAACTATTAAATAAAAATTAAATTGATAAGATAATTAGCTAAAATAAAAAATTGGTCAAATTTATTTATTTATGATTTTTATCTTTTGATTTAATGGCAAACAGATATTAAACCCTCTAAAAACTAAAAGAGATTAGAGATACAGCTCATGTTCCTCAATAAATCATCACATTCAAGTTACTTTCTGCTCTACTACAGAATTTTCATATCTAACGGCAAACACTACCCGCAGCGACCTTGACCCACTGTTTCACAGCCACCTTCCAACGCCTATGACAACCTTGACTCTTTATCACCTGCCAGTATTGCTTTTTTTTATATGGGCCCTCATTTTCCATGCTATTTTCAATGTTAGGCCGTGCAAATTTAATAGAATTGGAGTTAGAATCCGAGCTTAGAGCAGTCTAGTCTTTAGTCATGAGCAAATACGGCACAGCGATTCTCCTCTTAATAATCTTCGCTTGCTGCAAAGGAGAAAAACAACTGAGAGGCTGGCTGCCAGAGTTTTGTGTTTTCGGCGAACAAAAGTGTCCCAACTCGCGCGTTTCCTTCTGGCTTTATACCAAGTGAGTCAAAGGATTAACATTATGAATCAAGCACGGAGTTTATTAATATTATATCCCAGTCATACACGCGACAATCCCGTACAAATCGATCCCTTGAACCCGCAAAAGGAACTATTTGAGCCTCGTTTGCCACTGAAGGTACTCATTCATGGATTCATAGGAAACAGGAATTTGACACCCAACCTTGAAGTTCGAGATGTGCTCCTCCAAACTCAGCCTGTAAATGTGATATCGGTGGATTACGAAACTTTAGTGCGGTGGCCTTGCTATTACCCTTGGGCAGTGAATAATGCTCCAATTGTCTCGGAGTGCCTAGCCCAAATGATAAATAATCTAATCTCAGCTGGCGTCAGCAGACGTGAGGATATACACCTGATAGGATTCAGTTTGGGTGCACAAGTGGCTGGAATGGTAGCAAATTATGTCAGTCAACCTCTAGCCAGGATTACAGGATTAGATCCAGCAGGTCCCGGCTTTATGATGCAGCCTTCGCTTCAGCAAAAACTGGATGCCAGTGATGCGGATTTTGTAGACATTATACATACTGATCCATTTTTCTTTTCAATGCTACCGCCAATGGGTCACGCTGATTTCTATCCCAATCTCGATCAGCTTAACCAGCGAGGATGCAGTTATATAAGCAACTGGAGATTTTACAATTGCAATCATTATAGGGCAGCCATCTACTATGGAGAGTCTATAGTCTCGGGAAGGGGTTTCTGGGCTCAGCAATGCGGAGGATGGTTCGACTTCTTCTCGCAGCGTTGCAGCAATTACTCCAATATGCCCAACACCCAGATGGGTTACTTTGTCTCTAAAAAGTATGTTATACATTGACTTATATACTTTTTTTAAATATATCCGAAATTTGTACTTACAGTGCCTCGGGTTCGTACTTCCTCACCACCCACGAGGTTTCTCCATTTGCCAAGGGACCTCCTATCGAAGTTGAGTTCGATGTGTCGGAACTTCGTAGGTTGACGGAACTAGCCTTAAGCTAAGGCCACACCAAAATGTATGATTGTTATTGAAATTGTAAAGAACTATTTATATATATTTATGATATTTTAGAAATATTTTTGCTGTTTAAACTATTTTTCTTTTTAATTCAGTAGAGCACATAGCCAAATACTTCAATATTTCAATAAAGCAACGAAATATCGTAAAATTTTGAACAAAGTAGGCTAATTTGAAACATCAAGTGTATGCCCGGCTGGCGAAACAGTATAAGCCTCGATCTCGTCTCGTATACAAACTTGAATTCCTAAAATTAAATATTTTTTTGTAACTTGTGAACGATGTTTGTAAAACTTTTTATAAAAGGCTTAAAGAATTCCCAGCCAACGATGGAGGTCAAAGAGAACCACAAAATTATTGATCTTAAAATCGAGTTAGAAAAGCACGCGAAAATTCCAAGTGTACGTCAGAAAATTGTGTTTTGCAATAAGGTTCTCGGTGACGAATACCGCCTGTGTAAAGTGTTCAGAGAGTGTAGTGCAGAGCTTTTGGTATTTGACAATGAAAATCTATTTTGTCACGTGCGGTGCCCGGATGAGTCGAAAAACGGCTTCTTAAAGATGAACGACGGAAATATGAAGATGCCTCAAGACCTGCAGTCGAAGATCTTCGGGCTTGCTGGAAGCTGCTCTTCAGAAGGAAGTTCCGATCCAAGTGCTACTTCCTGTTGTCCTGTTTCTCGGAGTTTGGCTAACGGGTATAAGGATGAATGCAAAATTGAGTGCTGCGATGAAGGTGGCTCCGATAGACCTCCGTACACCAAGGTGATGCCAGAGGATCGCCGCTTCGGTGTGGTCATCGTGAACGAGGAATGCCCTGATAGCTGCGACTTCACCTGCATTCTAATGTTCTTGGCCGAGGCGTTCCACGAAGCTGAGGATGCAGAAACGTTGAATTTTAGTGAATGTACGCCGGCAGTTGTTTTCGACTGCTCATTGTTAATCGTGGCCGCGGATAGCGACACCAGTGATTGGATTCTCAAGGCAGCCAGACCTATGAGCCCAACCTACAGCGCTAATCCATTTATCAAGCACTTTCAATTGGTCCGTTGCACCTTTGTTATCCCAATGATTGTGGAAGAGCCACTTTGCAAAGTCTTTTACATCATTGAAAAACAGAACGCCGGCCTCAACACCGGAAAATGGTGTGTAATGAAGAAGGCAAAGTTGGATCCATGCTCGCTTGATTATCCTTCCAAAGCTATATACCAGAGTGGCGACAATTATGAACTTGTCGTTTACATATGTCTCGATTCCAAGTGCTACATCGAAAATCACTGCGCCAGGATAAGGTATATGTTGTGGAACCTGCCTGTTGAGTTCATCCAGGGCTTTAAGTGCTCATAATTTTTTGTTTTGTCCATTTTGGCACATCCAGAATTGATTGAAATTAAAATTGATTTGTTTTGTTTCCAAAGCTATCTACGAAAAATATATTTCAGTATTTTTAGTAGTGTAAAGGTTGTTCCTAAGTTTTTTATTCGACACCCCAAAAAACATTTCTAAGCGAAAAAATACCAAAACAAACCCGAAAGCTTTCAGAGCAGAGCGAGCTTTGACGCGCCGGTACGAACTTTCCGCGGAGCCACCAAAAACGAAAGACTTTGGACACGAACTCGGCAGTCAGTGGCTCACCAGAGCGCAATCAAATCGCACGTGTACGGTAACTGCGTGTCGGAATAAGGCAAGCGTGATATCCAATCTGCTCAAGAGATTGCGCGTGCCCGCAAAATAAAAAAAGTGTGGTAAAACACAAAACTGAATCAATTTCTGTGTAGAGGCAGCCGGAATTATGCCTCGCCAGCTTCGTCTTTGCCGTCTTGTTGTGCATTGAAATCGAGTCCAATGACCAGCTCTCGAGCTGGTGCTTAAGAAAGAGTTTTGCACTTTAAGACCGTCGTCGCCGGTCAGCGAGCAGGCCTTGACCCAAAGCCCAGAAGAGTTCAGAGATCCCTCTTGATATAGCCCAGTTATATAATCGCACTTGCAATTGCAATTAAAATCAAAAGTAGTGTGAATTGGCAAAACAAGAAAAAAAACCGAAAAGGAAAAACATGTGGCCAAAGTGTGTGAGGAAACCAATAAGTGCAGACTTTTGGCTGCAGCTGCTCTGCGTGAGTTTTACACTCTCCCGCCTGGAATTCGCCGGTTCGTATGTTTAGTGCTAAAAGAAACCCAACGAGATAAATTTAAGTTAAACTTTTACTTTCGCCCTGGTTGGCACCTATTTTGTTTTTGTTTTTCTTCGGTACCTTTCTTTTGGCCCTGTCATTGTGGTCGGCGTTTCTGTTTCTGTTGACACTTCAAATTGGCGTCGGCTTAAATTTCGTTTTTAACTAGTTGCACAATATTTACCATCATTTTCTTCTCCCCATTGCGACCTTGCCTCATATCTTGGTCAACAACTATATAAATATCTTAAAAAGCCTCTCTTCGAGTACCAAATGTCTTGTTAAGGGCTCATCCCACACAAAAATAATGCCTGTCATGGTGTGACTTTTGTAATCTCGCGTAGTCAAGTTAATTAATTGACCCGGCTACCGTTTAAGCCCGCCCGGGAATCTCTAAAATTTCGGGTGCTTAATTAATTATATATTCACATTTATATGGCCCTGCACCTTGACACTCTTTGTAGCTTTTGCAATGTATTTATTGTCCGGCAATATTTTATTGCCACTGACCGGGGTGTCACACGGGGCGTATGCGCGTTGCCCGGGTGCGTGTCATTGTCAAGTTTTGAATTGAGATGAATTCAGAGGGCCATGGTCGTTAGTTGATATAGAATTACAGTTTTTAGAGAGGGTTGTCATTAGGTCAGATTATAGGTAAATGAACCCAAGGAAACCTAAGCAATTATAGCCTTAAAGTGTGTCACTTTTGTTGAATTTTAGAAGCAGATAATTACACATTTAAGGCAGCAATAAAGTCATTTTTCAAGAATTTTGTTAACATGGTTGCTTAATAGAAAGCTAAGACATGCAATGCATTTGGCACCAGCCAAACCACCACTTCAAAGCCTTGAGGTTATGACACACAAATCTCGATATCGTTGTCGATTCGAAGTCAATTGGCCAATAATAACCAACGTAAAAGCCAGCCAAACAATGTCCATGACTCACGGCAAATCAAAAAACAAAAATCCGAAAATAAACCAGAAAGCAAAGTCAAAAGCAAGCCAACCCAAAAACATCTTTCACTTAGCAGGCGATGAGTAGTTCGTGTTTCACGTCCAACTTAAATTTTCTCCTTCCGCATTCGACTGCTTCCGTTTTGGGCCTGATTTGTGTTAGTTGGACAGAGTTTTCCGGTCAACCCCGAAGCCAAAAATTTCCCCATGAAAATTTCCCGCCAAAAATAAAATATAAATAAACAAACCCAAAAAAAAAGTCATTTAATTGGCATGCGTAATGCCCGAATGGAAATGAAAATGAAAAGGAGAGGTGGAGGAGGGCTTACATAAGATGGGAAAAACAGCTCACGAAGTCAGAGATAAGCGATTGTGAAAAACAAATGAAAACAGAAAAAGTGAAGACAATTGAGGCATGACCGCGACCACAGCCCATTGCTAATTGAAGAGTGGAGAGTGCGGGTGGGTTCGATATGTCTACAGAGAAAGAAAAGAGGACTATATACCTGGTAGCTCATAAACAAACAAAAATTTTGTTTATTTTGCTGCCTGTATCATGGATATCTGTGGGTGGTTCAGTAGCATTATGCTGCGGTCTCTGATGTAAGAATACGCCTATTGCATTATTAATTTAACCAGCTGCTGGTCCAACGAGCACTTGTCATCGAAATCGGAGTGTAATAAGCCGTGTTCACTGTGTCGCTGGGGTATGTATGCCCTATAAGGCAGCCAATATCTTCGGGTATTTCCAGTGGCCACCCAACCGGCAAGAGTCTGCATCTGCAATAGTTTCCCAGACCGGTTGCATGACTTTTGGTTATCATCCACATATGAGTACTTCAACCACAAGTGGGGCACTAACTTACTAGCTAACCTTTTGGGCCACCAACTGAGCCATTCGAAGGCCTATTCTCGTGTTTGGATTAGATTTTTAATTTGGCCATTTAGATTCAAGCCACATTACGCTGGCTTCTTACGCATGCGGTGAGCTCAACATTGCTGGCAGAAAAAATAGTTGGAACTAGTTCGACACAGAAGCTTTTAACGAACTCTCGTTAAATGCAAACACTACAGAATCCAGTTTATTAATGATTTTTGATTGGTAGGTTGGTTTGAACTTTGGTGCATTTTCTAAATAGAAACTAAAATGTGCCCAAACTTCTGGCCTATACTTTACTTACTTTTATGTGAATTGTAAGTCTAGCAAATTTGTACTGTCCGGTAATCATTTGCTGATAATTGCTACCTTTATAACACAAATTATATGTTAAGACTAAATTTTGAGTCCTAAAATTCTAATAAATGTAGTGGAACTTATTTAAATGGGTTGTCAGATATAAAGTAATACTAAGAGGAAATAAATGAATCGCAAAATTCGTAGGCCACACAATAGTTTAACTCAGTGCCCAAGTAGCATAACCATCTAACCCAACTTTTCACAATTGCGAAAAGGCGAAATTGGCGCATATCTGTTCGCAAGCAACGAGCCCAAGTGTCAGATAAGCCGATCTCAAATGGGTTTTCCTTCCACCATGAATCAGATGAATAAATTACGCATATTCATTCCGCATCCAGTTGCCAGCTCCAGTTATATCATGAGCAGCACGTTGTGTCAAAAATAAACCCATTCGGTGCAAATGGCAAACAAAGAGCGGCGCGCCACAATATAGCGTCACTTCCGTTTTGGGCTGACTTTTACTTTCTGCAACCCAATGTTGCTGCTGCAACTCCAAGAGCAACTGCAACTGCAACAGCAATCGCATGACATTTGCGGCGTGCCAAATTGCAAGCATTCAATGTCGCTGCCAGCGGCTTATGTAATTAAATGTAATATCGTTGAGCGAAACTTGTTTGTCAACTAAAATCTTGAAACTCGCATCTTACATCCTCCACAGCTGGCCAAAATGCGGGAGTTGTGGCAGCTGCGGTGGCAGCTGGACAAAATCAAACCCAGGTCTATGTGACAGATTCTTGCCTGCAGAAACCGTACCGTTGTCCTCACCCCAAGATCCAGTTCTATCTCTATACGAGGCGCACCCAGGAGCAGCCGGAATTCATAGATGTCCTGGACGCCAATGCCCTATACTACACGCACTTCAATCCCCGCCATCCCACTAAGATCATAATCCATGGCTTTGGGGGCGGCCGAAACCTGAGCCCCAGTCCCGATCTCCGAGAGGCCTACTTCAGTGTAGGCGAGTATAATATCATCATCGTGGACTATGCCGATGCCGTCAAGGAACCCTGTCTGAGTCAAATGGACTGGGCTCCTCGCTTTGGCAGTCTGTGCATCTCCCAGCTGGTTAAATACCTCGCCCGACATCCGCGTGGAGTTCAGCCGGATGATCTGCACTTCATTGGATACAGTGTGGGGGCCCATATCGCCGGTCTGGTGGCCAACTATCTTAAGCCGGAGGAGGGAAAGCTGGGCAGGATCACTGCTCTGGATCCAACGATATTCTTTTATGCTGGGGCGAATAACTCCAGGGATTTGGATACCACTGATGCCCACTTTGTAGATGTCGTGCACACCGGCGCTGGCATCCTGGGGCAGTGGCACTCCAGTGGCCATGCGGATTTCTATGTGAACGGAGGCACCAGGCAGCCGGCTTGTGTGGGATCAGCCACCCTATTCCGTGAGTAGAATTTAATTAGTTTGTATACCCTTGATAAGAATTTGTTTAACTCATCCCTAAACCCCCAGAAACCTTGGCCTGTGATCACACGAAGGTTACGCCCTACTTTATTGAATCCATAACCACGACCAGGGGATTCTATGCGGGTCCCTGCCCCAACCTGTTCTCTTACCTTATAGGATGGTGTGAGCCCAAGGACTCGGAATATGTGCTGATGGGCGAACACTGTTCCCATAAGTAAGAACTAATTTAAGTTATATATTTTATTTTTTAACCAAATTAATGTATTGCAGAGCTCGAGGTAACTATTATGTGACGACCAACGCCAAGGCGCCCTTTGCTCGAGGATTTCCGGGAAAAGGGCGATCCAATGGAGAGTACCAGGGAGTACGGCGATAAGGCTCATCAACTTGGCAAAGTCGGAGAAATGAATTTACATTTATTTGTATTTGAATAGTTGGAATATGCATCTTTACACCGTAGCACTCATGTGATTTTAGCTTGTTTCCTAATTGATACCTATTTATTTCATATTTTTGTTATTAGTTCTAAAGGCAGCCATTTTTCGTTGGGACTTGTACAAATGAATAGTTAAGTTTATGCTGAAGGTTGTGTGAAGAATAAAAACTCAATTTGTTTGGCGTAATTTTTAACATGTTCGTTTTATTGAATTCCAAATACATTTCATTAGGTATAATTTTGTTATGTTTCGTGACCTTCAAATACGTTATTCTTATAGCCAGATCTAGTGCAGGGGGATTGTATCTTTAATCAAATTTGTGTTCATTGGGGAAGGTTGGTAAGTTGTATTTCAAATGAGTGGAGGTCTTTCCGGGAGGTCTTGAATCTTTTTTACTCGTTTATGTTTAGGATTAGTTATTTGATTCTGTGTTAATGAGCATACACTGAAATATATAAGTATTTATTTTAATTTGGTTTAACTACCATACAAATCATACAACATGGGCGGGTGTTGCCAGAAAAGGGATCTTCGATTGTGTTTAATATTCTTAATTTTGATTCATAATTCAATATTTTGTATACAGAACTCTCAGTAAACACAAAGAATATTTTGTTTCTAATTATATACACGGTTTAAGTATAGCGGTAATATCATTACTACATCTTTTTTGAATACTTAAAAGATTTTGTAGAGGCAGATTCCGCAGCCCCTTGTCAAATATTTTGTGATTTGAATATATATACGATTTAGTATACGAGATATAGCATATATTTGTTTCGTATTTGTGCGCCTATATTTCTGTATGAAAGTGTGTGGTTTCTTAGCGTTTTCAAGTTGATTTCCGCGCACAACATTAACGTTTGGCTAGTTGTTAAAATACCCTAGATGTAACCTGTTCGTCTCTGACTGGCAATAGCAAAAACTGATGGTTTAACATTATTCAAGTTGCGCTCGTTTAGGTTTAGGTTTTTGTGTTATGCTTCGGCTTAATTTGGCTTTATGTACACTTAACTTACTCACAAAAGCATTTAATGATGGCATTCAACTACGAGATATATTTTATTTACAAACTGTTATGTGATTTTCATTATATTCATATCTTAGCAAGCAAAAGTTTAGCCGTGGCTTTCTGGTTAACATATTTATGTTATTATTGTCCACACAGCCCCGAGAGCTTGAGTATCTCTCAAAAACCAAAAAAGGGAAATCAAATCGGAAAAATGAGAGCCTATTGTCATAGACTAACGATTAAAAGATCCATACTCAATTGAGGAAATGGTTTTATGTACAGAATGGTATTTGAACTATCCTAATATTACACATACGCCCCAGTGGCCAACATTTAGAATTGAAATAAATTTGAAAAAATGATCATAATGAATTATGACTAGTCCTTACGTCACTAGGTATTGTCGCTCACACAAGCAGTATTTGTTGTCTTCGATTGGAACTTTTGTCCAAAAACATTTAAAATTTTAATATATTATATTATATATTAGCTAGTTTAAAGTTGCTATACGAGTATTTGCTTGAGTATTTAATCGCTGCGCTGTACAAATTACGGTATTAGAATTGACTCTTTTAGTTAGAAAATGTTCACGTTTTTAATACATAGTGATTTAAATGTGAATAATTTAAATTACCTTTATATAGTTAGTTATAATACTGGTGGCTAGCTTAATACGTTTGGGTAATATACAGACGATTATGGATAAATTTCGTGTAAATTTGTATCTTCAATTGAACAGTGCGAAAGTAAGAGCGTCTAAATATGCTTTGAGTGGCAGTAATTTAAGTACTTCAATTATTTAACTTTAATTTAAATAAATCAAAAGAAATACTAAAATAAGTTGGTGCTTAAAACTGAATCGAAAAAAAGGCTAACAGTGCATTTTGTAAGTTAAACTTGTGCTCATAAACTAAACTTGGTGCATAAACTTAAACCAAAATGACTTATTAAGAATATATTTACAATCTACTAGGTATTTCGAAACAGTTTAAATTTATTACTTTAGAGAGATTTAACATTGTTAATATATAGTAAACTTTATAATTTAGTTCTTATTTACCTTACAAAAGGAACACAATTTAACAAAAGTCAAGAGATAGTTCAGAAAGAAGGTTTCTTTTAGCTTAAGGTTAAGCTGAAAAACTTAAAGAAAAACAAAAAGTGTAAAATTAAGATATTTTTACTTTCAAGTCATGAGAAAGATACTTAAGAAAACGTTTATAGATATTAATTTAAAGTGTTCCTTTTGCTTATTATTAATTAGTGTGGTGAGCATATGAAGACCAAGTCTGAGGTTATATGCGCCTACGGCTATCTACTTAAGAGTTATGTTTTAGTACCTATATCATGCCTTGCTCATGTTCTTTCAACACAAAAGCATACGGTGCATTAGTAATTATTAAACTAAACAAATCAATCAAAAACAATACAGAGTTAACGGGATATTACTAGGATTTATTAATTAGCTAGTCATTTTTATGGTTATCATTCGTGCCGAACATCAACAATTGCTTGGGTTTGATTAAAATGTTCTCTTTACACGGAAGATAATATCATCAACGGTAATAAAACTTGCAGTTTGCAGTTCAACAACAATTTTTAGCTATTTATACGATTATACCGATTTAGATATAGTTAGTATAGGCTTCGTGTGGATTATGTGGTTTATGATATACACAAGTTTTGAATATATATTTCCAGTTCTTTCCCTATCTTGTGTTGCAGTTTTGATTTCGGAGCTTGTAAATAGAAATCCGCGTAAGCGAGGCCTTAATATATATACTATATGTATGCTATATAGATCGGTCTATAGATTAGGCCAGTTCGGGTCTATGTGGGCTAACGGTAATGGTAATGGCTATCGGTATTGCTGTGTATGCATATGTAGTTTCTCTGTTAGGTACATAGTTTCATTGTGTTAGTGTGGCATGTGGAATCCCCTTAATCGCTGACAAATTCGTTACTCTTTAGTTATATACTCGTATATATTCTCCGAAAGGCCTTAGGATCCCTTCATCGATGGAACTCAACAAATAGGGAGAGAATGGGGGGGAAACTTTAACGGCACACCAAGAACAAACAATAAACGACAAACGATTTTCGACTACAACTAAAAGCTATGATATATATCAGTGACCCATAGTGAACCCATTACTGCTGCTGGTATCCCTGTGGATCGTAGGACGGCATTTGTCCTTGCGTGTATCCATATTGTCCTGCATTCGAAACTTCCCCGTAAGACGGTGGGGCATCCTCCTCGGCAATGGGTGGTGCACCACCGGCCATGGCAAACGGATTGTTGGCCACGTGACCTGTGGCGCCGTAGCTAATGGCATTCGACTGCTGCATTTGGCTCTGTTCATTGTACTCGGGGGCACCCTAATTATATTTAATAAGTGTATAAATTTCAGAAATTGGTTTAATTTTAGATAGAAAGAATATCTACGGAGCATATTTCTAAACAATACATAAAGAACTAATAAGTTTAACACTTACAAATGAGGTTTCCTTCATATAGTCGCCCATCATGCCCGCTTGGCTAGGATCCGTAATGGCGCCTGGTGGTGGTGCCCACACCTTCTGCTCCTCGGGTGGGGGTTCCGCCCAAGGCTGCAGCTCTCCGGAGGCGAAAATACCGTAGAAAGTGCAGCCAACCAAATGAACACAGGCGGCCAGGGTGAACACCGTGGTCCAGCAGCCAGTAGGCTGAAAAGAAAATACAAAATAAATTCATAATAAGAAGATTAATTTTAGACTTGAACTTACATTAGCTTGGATAAGTCCATCTAGGGCGTAGGGTACAATGATGCCAGCCAGAGTGCCAATGCCGTTGGAGAGACCCATCAAGATACTAGCATAACGAGGAGCAATGTCCAGATGATTGACGTTATAACCAGATATGGCAAACCCACTAAAGGCCACGCCGCAGGTCAGGGCAAACATGGCTCCCGTCTAAAAGGAAAATCCCTCTAAAATCAGAAAATCTTGAAAACTTTTAAGGACCTACCGCCGTTGAGGAATGTGCCACGAACAGGAAGAACAAGCCCTCCATTCCGAAACCGCCGCAGTTGAAGAGCTTCCTCACATTGGTGGTGGACAGGATTCCATTTTTTCGCAGGTGATCCGCCAACATGCCGCCGAATGGAACTATCGTTGTCATTATCAAATGGGGCAGGGATCCCACGAAACCCGCCTCCTCCACCTTAAAACCGAACTTGTGCTTGAGGAACGAGGATTGGAACAGCACTAGGAGGTAGAAGTTCCAGGAGCGGCAGAAGTTGGCCACAATGATGGCGTAAACCGGCATCGAACGCATCATCTCCCGCCAAGGAGTCGTCTTTAGCGATGGCATTGTGGGATGAGCCGATTCCCCAAGCGATTTCTCGATATACTTCAGCTCGGGTATACTGATGGCCGGGTGCTTCCTTGGATTCTCGAAGCACAACCATATCCAGAACATATACCAAATTATTCCGAATACCCCGTAAGCGTAGAATGGCGCCTGATAGCCCACGGCATCGGCTAAGAGTCCGGATAGCGGTAGCCCCACCACCACTCCGGCGTAGGAACCAGAAAAGGCCAACGTCGCCAGTCTGGAACGTTCCATCGGTGGTGCCCAGAAGCGCCAAATGCCATGACAAGCCGGATACGTAACGCCCTAATATATAAAGTTATCATTTTATTACAGAAAAATGTATAATTTAATGCGGAAATTTAGCTGCTGCCAAAATCAAGCTAGTAAACCTCTTTCTCAAAAAGTATTTTTCCTTCTTCCCTTCTACGCTAAAGAAAAATGACATACTCCCCAGTCTCTTACACAAAGAAATCGCATTAAAATAAATGCTTTTGTTATTTTTTCTTGCCCTGCTAGGACCCCCATCCCTTTGAGGGCTTAGGACATGTTTCCATTTCACATATTTGCTTTATCATAAAGCAAAATCTAACCCTCCCCATTTTCGCAACATCACGCAGCCGTAATCCCCGGCTTTGATCTGTGGCAAAATCGAATTTGGTAAGTTGGTTGGTTGGGTTACGTACCTCGAAGAGTCCTTGCAGGACGCGCACGCAAATAACCACATGACCGTGCATCAAAGTCATGGCGAACGGCACGAAGAGATGCAATGTGGCGGAGCTGACGATGGACAGGCCGAATATCTTGTTGGCCGGGAACTTGGAGGCGATGAAGCCGCCGGGAATCTGCGTCACCAGATAGCCCCAGAAGAAGGACGAGTCCACATGGCTTTCCACGGCGACGGTCCAGTTCATGAATACAGTCTGAAATCCGGAAATACATTTACGGGGTGAGTGGCGCAGCTCAACAATCATTAAAAATCGCCGCAGGCGTTTATTAACGAGCGTCAAGCCGGATTCAGAGTTTCAAATGGGTTTCTATGTGTCTATGTGGGGGCGTGGTCTTTTGTGTATGACTTTTGAGTGATATCCGCCCCCACATACACACACTCCCTAATTGACAACAGCTTCTCGGCAAACGAAGCGAATTTAAAGGGTCCCTCTCCCTAGCATTTACTTTTGCTCATTTAAGGCTGAACATTTCATAAAGTTAATATGTACGCATTCAGCAGGGAAACTTTTTAAATGACATTTTGGAGAGGACATTTTGGAGAGTGATGTATATAGAGAGGTGTATATTAATCCATCTCTAAGCTACATACCCCGTTGTGCTCTCCCTTGAGCTTGGCCGCTGACATATTGCACCTCATTCCGAAGGCAATCATGAATCCCACGCAGGCCATCGTGGCGATAGTGTAGCGGGCCGGCATGCAAGGACACTCTGCCTTGCAGTACTTGTCGATCTTTCGGAGCGGCGGACGCTCAATCTCCTCGAAGGAGGCGGGCGAATCGGGCCGATCGTCATCGTCGTCGTAAGCGTGGCCGCCACCCGGTCCGCGGCCCTCACGCTCGCCCCCTTCCATCTCCTCGTAGCCACCATGACCGCCATGATAACCCTGCGATATCTCGAACTTCTCCATGTTGGGCTTGAGACTGGAAAAGATATAAGTGAGGAGTAAAAAGTGAGTACAACCTTATGATGATATTAATGCAGAGACTTATTTAAGTCTAATTCGAATACACAATCATGAACCCCGGGATATATCGCAGACATTTTCTCCTGGGGGCATAATTCATGCCAATTAGAGCGGATAGCAAGTAAAATCAACAGGTCAACGAGAGGGCGTGAAAACACAAATATTTTCGGCTTGTTAGCAGCAACATCTGCCACCCGCTCCAAGTCCGTCCAAGTATGTGGAAGGTGGTTGTTGTTTTTCCCAAGGGTCCCAAAGGAATTGCGGTTACGAAGGGGAGGAATTCCGTCCTCGGTGTGGAATAAAATTCAATTTTATTAAGTGCTGATAGCATGGCTTTGGGTATTTAAAGTTGATTGGACCAGGTAAGAAATCGAAGTCGCATTTCCCGATTTGATTTCCCAGTTTAAACACAGTTAAAAGACCTTGTCAGCGACTGATTGATGGTTGTGTGTTAGCTGATATCTGGGCTGATAGATGGGGAGTGAGCCCAACCACCCACCCCAGACCAAGCCATTAACCCGGGATAAGTGACACATCAACTGAGATATACCCTTGCCCATTCCCCTCGACCTTAGGAATTTTTCTTCATAAATATCCAGACAAAGTCCCCATAAGTACGGAATACAAACTAATAAGCAGCCACCAGCCAAAAACAAGCCACTACAGTGGATATAACTTTGCCGTCGTCGAAGTCGCCGCCTGTCACATAACTCAACTGTCTGACGCCAAAGCTACCCTCGTCTGGTCACGCAGGATCCCCTGAACAAGCGCAAAAAAAAGCAGCTGAAGGAGCAACTTTCGTCCTTCGAGCAACTTCTGCCTTGACCGACTTTAAGGCTGACGCCAATTTTATGCGGCAATTCCTATTGCCCTTCACAACAAAACGGGATCTGCTTTATGTCCGTCATTAGCTTTGTTATGTGCCAGAAGATGATTTGATTAACATATCAACGTGATGTTTTAAGATCTTGGCACCTAAGTTATTTTTCTTTGGTCTATAAATATTTGTAAAATTTACAAAGGATTTATAGAGATTTTTTGGGTTAGTATATGGCATATATAAAAAATATTTAATCAATTTTAAGTATCTAAGTTCTTCTTAGGTTAAGAATGAAGAAAAAAATTTGAAAAAGCATTTGATATAAGGACATTCCTTCGCCTGTTTTCCAGATATCACTTTGCATCCTTGACTGGATCTTTTTTTTTGACGTCTTGCCAAACTATCCTTGGCGCTAAAGTTCTTTTTTGATTGTCAGTAAAAATGTTGCAGACTTTTTGGCGCCGCCTAGATTAAGGATAACTGGCGCCACAAGCTGAAGTCTTTTGTAGAATTCTCTTTTGACTTTAACGTGGCCACAAAAACGCGACCATTAGAAATGTAAATGGGGCATCCACAGATATATATATAAATTTATATGGTGTGTATTAGTTTGTTTGCCTTGACAACTGAGATGCTGCGGCATTTAGAGGGTGGGAAAATGTGAAGTTGTCAGCGACACGACCGCGTCTTCAATGGCAATTCTAATTTCATTTTCACTGGCAAGGATAAAGGAACTCCTTGAGCACTCCCCCGATGAGGCATTTCAATTTCTTCGCGCCAAGAGCCACTCGAGAACTTCAGCGGCAGGTCCTGTTGGCAACGGAAACGGAAACGGCTCGTAAAAATCAATTTCATTTGGCTTCAATGCTGCAGCAGCAGCCCTTCGTCGGTATGCAACACATTCCTTAATGAAAGCGATGTGCCACCTATTGTTCCAATTTCTAATTTAGCGCCCAAGGTCCTTGAGAAATCAGGCGAGGTGTGGCCATAAAATTGCATACCAGGACCACACACACATTCATTGAGTGTTTGCCCAATATGCCCCAGAGTATGACTTTATTGTGTTTTGGCCGGAATCGAAGGTGCCGGAGCTGAAGTTCCCGGACACGTGCTGCCAACGTGCCTGGAATTCCTGGCGCACCGGTGAGCTTCGTCGGCATGCCAGTGCGTTCATTGTCACCACTGGAAAGTCCTAAAAGTCCTGCCAGTCCTGGCTCCCCCTTTAATGACTTGTTAAGCATGCCAATAATTTTACAACTTTCCCGGGCACGACACGTGCCGAAGTTTCGCGACGCCGGCTAGTCGGGAGTGCGTATCAATATCGGTACACATTTATGGCATGGTCAAGTTCAGCCAACCACGAACACCGACCATCCTTGCGTTAAATTAAACTCTCTCTTTTTTTGTTCTTTCAAAAGTCCATTTGATTGCAATCATATTTCACTCTGGGCATATTGCTACCCGTCATTGGTCTACACTTGTCAACAAACATATAAAAAATAAAAACTTTTTGAGCCAAAGTATATAAACAAGTACACTGACCATTTTTTATTTTTAATTTTTTTAAATTTTCTTTTTTTTTTTTTTTTTAAATTTTTTAAAATTTTTAGGGGGGGGGTTAAAAAGAAAGGGAATTTTTTAAAATTTCAAATTTTTCAAATTTTTCGATTATCTTCAGTTTGGGAACAAAAATCAAGGTGAATATGGTGGCTAGGCATTATTGTTTTTTTTTTGGCCAAAATCCAAAGCCTTGATCCATATTTTTCGATACATAAAATCCCACAAACTAAATTTTTCCATTGAAACTGAAATTTAGGGAAGAGTGTACAATATAACAAAACAAAACGATAATGAAAATTTGAAATTCAAATTTGAAGATCACCTTACTTTGAACACAGTACCCTGCTGCAATAAAAAAATTTTCGCTTTCCTGAACCCTGTTATGTGTTATGTATCATATCATATTCGACTCACCCGCCAAACACGCCCGTCGCCTTCTCCTTAAACGCCGTCAGACCCTTCATGGTGATGCTGTGGTCGTTTCCCTTGTTTTCCTCTGACTCCTGTCCTAACTCCGCCCCTGTCTATGGATCGCCAAGTCCTGCTCCTGTCCTCTGCCTAAGTCAGCGTCTGTTGTGCTTCGTTGCCTTTTCCGCTGTTATCACTTGGGCGCATAAATATATTTTGTTGCCTACTTCACGGCGGATTGCCGTGTATATGAGCGTGGCGAATCGGCAGCGGTTAATTTCCGTGAAGCCAGCGCAAATTTGATGACTCTATTTTCGGGTTGGCTCGTTCACTCAGCGGGGGATTTTCACTTGGTCGCCATATAATTTCGATTTACGTCGAGTTTGTGCATTTTCATTTACAGTGCCTGCAAAAGAGATTTGTACCGGTTATTAATGGGTCCCACGATTTGTGTTCTGTTGCTGATAAGCAAAAGTCTCGTACAATTTCATCATTTTGCACATTCCATGTAAGCGGCTTATGTTCATAAATTTGCTTGGTCTTCTTAGGGAAGCGATGAAGGCAATGAAGGTTACTGGGAGGGTAATGGGGTAACTAGTGAGCCGGGAGAGCATTTTGTAAATATTTCTAACTTTGTTGGCTATTTTGATTGCCTTTGTATGCTTCATTTAGTGTGTTTGGGAAATCTGAGCCTTCTTTTGGTCGGAGTAATCCCTTTTCAATGGGGTACAAAAAGTGTTTAGGGAGAATGTAAAGGAAAACTAGGAAAAGGATTTTAATTGGAGCTTTAAGGAAACTCAAAGGAAAAATAAAAGAAAACTAAAAATTAACATAAATTAAAAACTTAATCTTGATCATATAGTGGCAGTATATCAACTGGTTTAGGAAAGAGTCAATTTTAATCGACTTTTATTTATATTATGAAAAATTTATTAGATACTTTCATTAGTTTTTAAAAATTTAAGTAAGAAATATAAACGTCATAACGTCATCCTATAAAAAGAAATCACCAAATTCTCCCCAACTACTTTCCAAAAAGATTCCATTTGATACTCTTCCCCCAAAAACCATTTGTACTTTTGACCTTTGGCCAAACCGCCTACTTACATGCCACACCAGAGTTACGTAATCCATTTCGTAGTGGTGCCCGATTACATAATCTTCTTCTAGTTGTAACTTTAGCACATTTATCTTTGTTGGTTTAAGCGGTTTAATAATATTTTATTATTCAACAAAATTGGTTTAGTGTTTTAAACTATTTAGTTGTTGTTGGTTAGGGTATCACAAATAAGGTACACAGATAACAGATAGCTTGATTATACACTACGCGATACGCTGCAAATAGGATAACGAAAGGATATGAAAGTATGAATTATTTTTATGTTATATAAAATATTTCAAACACCTTAAAGAATAATTTAAAATCTTAAGATATTTGTTTATTTCTTTGCTGGAATTCTCACATTTTCTGAGCAACACACGCCCCGCCAAAGTAAAAATTAAAATAAAATCAAAAACTGAAAACTAAAAACTTTGGTTAAACCAATTAAAAACTTAGAATGTGGGACGACAACATTCAGACAGAGTTTGACCACGAGACCGGCGGCAGGTTGTCTATGAAACCGACGACGTCGACGACGATGGCGATCCGAATCCAACTCTGTCTGAAGACTGTGTGACGTCCAAATCAAAACCAGACGCGATGTGGACCTCCAGCCGAAGATCGGCGGAGGACAGGTGGCGCAGGAACTTGGATACATAAGCAGCCATCTCGGGCTGGAATGTATCATGTGTATATATATGCGCTGGGTATGGGGGAAACTAGTGAAGAGGTGGGGAGGGGGTGGGAGGAGCGTAGTATATGCATTGGAAATTTTCAACCACTGGAATGTGCGAGATTTTCTTTTCAAGGGTATTACGAGGCGTAGCCACAAAATCGCAGTTTTCTCAGTTTTTAGCCATTAACCAACACATTTTCTAAGCACTCTCTATTAACACACGATTATTCAGATATTTTCAACTATATCTGATATATTTTATAGAGTTTTTAGTTGTATTTTCCCAGCTATATACCCGCAGCTCCAGGCTCGCTTTTTGGCCTCAGCAGGACAACGCACGAAGTGAAACTAAAAGCGCCCGCATTCGCCTTTCTTTTCTGCCCAGATGGATGTCCTGCCAGCGGATTATGCTCCTTCGCAGCATAATCAACGCACCCATCTCGCTCGCACCCACTGTGGTGAAAAGCTTTCCGCGGCGACACAAGTTGCGCAGGCCCGAGAATCCTGCGAGAATCCTTCGTCCTTCGGCATTGGTCGACGGTGGATGGCTACAGTAGCAGTTGAGTTTTGGAGCCGCAGTGGGGGAACGTCGAACCACCTGACCGAAAAGAACCAATCAGAGATCCTGATACATAGGAATGCCACCTCCTGTGGGTTGGCATGCGAATCTCAGTCGTGCGTGAAATGCTATTAACATGTTGCCAGGCCATATTCCATTGTTTTTCCTCCTGGCACACAAACATCCCAGGTCCTTCTCTCGACTCCTGACAGAATGTCAGCCATTTTGAAAATTTTTCCCGACTACTCTGGTGGCTCGAAATAGCTTCAAACCTTGTGAATTTTGGAAAATGCAACGATTTTTGGATGGGCATTTGCGGGGCGCTCCTCTTGATGATTGACCACCTACAAATGATTGAGCCACTCCCCTTGAATTTGATCCATTTGAGTTGTACGTGATGCTTTTTATATTGGCCAATTTCTAATGGATGGTCATTAGTTTTAGGGCACTTAAATGGGGGACAATAAGTCATTAATTTTCGTAAATCATTGCTTTGAATTTAGCGAAGTAAAAACATTTTTGTTACGATGTGTTTTTTCTTGTCTTTTTTATTTAGTACTATTTAAGTTTAAAGTTGATTAGGTTAAAAGTTAAAAAATATATATTTATTTTAGAAATTTAGTATAATTTTGCATCTGTTCATTTCTCTTCTTAATGAAAATAAAACCAAAACATATTATTTTTTAGACTTTTCTTTTAATTAATTCAATTTTAGGATTATTAATTAGTTTGTTATTACTTTCGGCTAATGTTTATAACATATTTTTACCCATTCTTCGCAACTGAAAACCAACGAATGTCGCAACTGCTAATTTATCCTAAAAGATAAAGTTTCATAATTGGAATGCTTATATCATATCAAGTCCTCTTCCTCAAAGGCCACTTAAAGTAGCCAATAATCTTGGTCAACAGTGTGAGCAACTGCCTCGGTTCTCACCCACCAACCTCCTTTATTCATAATCCACAAAAATTCTATGCCTCAAAGAAATCCCTGCTTCCGTTCGGAACCCCATCCCAGAATCCCCTTCAGATATCCTGGCCACGTTGCTAATACGACGCGTTGGCCTTACCCTCATAAGCATAAAGCAAACAGCCAAACAGTTGCAACTCAGCCAAAAGCTATAATAAAGTTGCGGAAGTAAACAGCAAAGCGAAATAAACAAGAGGCAGGACGAGCTGGGAAATGAAACGAAAGTCAACAAAACAGTAGCGGGATTTTCGCATTCGAAAGGGATACAGGAAAAAGCAGACTTCGGGGCAGACGGATTTTTCACAGACAAGACGGCGGCACAATAATAGCAGCCACAACAACAGCCTCATCTTTGATATTAAATTGCGGAAAAATCCAAATCCAAGCGGCGTTTTACTATTTAAACAAAGCGATTAAGGGTGCGCGGCCAGCGACTAAAAGCAGCATCCACATTGATTGACGTAAATGAAGAATAATCGAATTGCGCTCATAAAACTCTAAACTAAGTGGCGGCGTTGTCAGGCGGATCGAGTGTCGGTACGCTTACCCACCGTGCACAGTGGAACAAATGGAGCATTAATATTGATTTTAAAATATAATATTATCTTTGTGAATTTGTATAAGTAACTAATAACTATTTCAGTTTTATCTACAAATAAATATATAAATAATATGTTATTAACTTGATTTTTCATCTAAGAACCACTGTACCCAAATCAGAAACCATAGCTGTTGGCCCGCTCTCATAAATTGTCAGCAACAAAGTGTCAAACTTGAGTTGACAGTCCCCCGGACGGAGTTTCATCCTCGGATTGGGGAAAATCTGTCCCGGCTTCAGTTCCCATCGCACGTCAGCGGTAATTAGTGCAGCTTCGGCAGAAAGTCGTCTTCAATTTCATTGCGCCAGCGTAATCATCATTATCCTGTTGGGCCTGTTGTGTCCTCGAAACGGCCTCCCGTTGTCTTTGCCTTTTGCACTAATTACAAAATAACTTTTGCAGCTTTGTCATCTCTGTATATTTTTTCGTGGGGATTCCCCACGGTGTCTATGATGTATGGCTTTTCGTTGTCTGATTTATGAGTGAGTTATGGGAAGGAGTATCTGCGGATTACCGCCAGTGTAAGGGTTTCACGCGGTTTTAATTACCAGCCGGAACTTTGATGGCTTTAAAGCAGATGAATTACAACTTGGAATTCACAAAAGTTCGTCAGTGAATTTCCCACAGTTTCAGGGAAAAACGAAGCCGGGAAATTGATGAGCTTCTGTTGATTTAGCAGACTCATGCTGTCAATCCACATGTCCACCCACTCAATCACAAAACTAAACGCTGTGCTCGTCGATAAGCGTGCCACATAGTAAGAGTAATAAACTGAGTCCCTGGGAATGAGGGAGGTTACAGGTCGGGGGTTAAGGGTGTGTCTCAGCCCAAAAACGATTCCTGAGATTTAATATTTATTTTTGTTTGTGTGCAAATAGCTGGAAGCGTCTGAGATATGAAGGAAACTACAGGGGAAGCTATGAAGCGGAGTGAATTCGTGATGTTTATTCCATGGCAGATTTTACTTTAATCGTTTTCTTTTTTCGAAATCCATAACGTTTATATGACTTAGCCGTAGCTCTCTGATATCCATTTAAAGCGTAAAAATATTCAGATTTTACCAAAAAATTATCTGATTTTTATATTAATAGTTTGTGTTTTTGCCCTTAAAGGGCAGCTTTTCTCTTCCTAATTAGCATATGCCTCCATTTAGGGCTCAACTCTTTGACAGTCCCACAACAACAAAATCCATTAGGGTCATAGAAGGAATATTTATTCATTCGAAATACATTTTTCTCTTCGCTTTCCGCACAACAATAAGAGCAAAATACAAAGGGCGAAAAGCGTCAGTCAGTGCAACTTTATTTCAAGCTAGAATGCACAGGCACTCCACCTACTACGCCACTACACACCGCCCCTGCTCCCATTCTGTGCACTTAAAAAACAGCTAGTTATAAAACTAAATATGCATTTTCATGTATTTCATAAAGATGTATTAATACAGTTAGGGGAAATGCAGGTTTAACCAAATATTATTTATAACTTTAACTTTTCTTATATAAAGAAGTAACACCTTATTTTGCTGACTGTAGAAATCCCAGTGACAGGCGGCATACCGGAAGCAAATGCTTTTGTCGCCCGGCGTGTGCCGTCCTTTGTTGCTGCCTCGGTTTTTTGTGTTTTACCCTCAAAATGCATGAGTTTACTCATAAATGTATATCTGAATCTTTAGAATGCCTTGATTAATGTTGGCGCACGTTGGCTTTTACCCCGACCACCGCAGGATATGGAACGCAGGAGCGAGAACGGGCAATAAAAATGTTGTCACACATCATTTAGCAACAACGGGCAGTCTCCTAGATGTCTTAGGCCTCAAATCGGTTATAATACATTTATTTTAAATTTTCAAACATTTCAATTCACTGCTGGACACCTGATACCCCCGTTTTCATTCTACCCAAAGAAGATCCGTTGCCATTGCCTGCCAGGCATCATAATGAATCTAATCACTTACGCTCGAGTGCATCAATTATGCTGCCATCAAGAGTCAGGAAGGGCGATGGCAAGGGGGATGAGGCGGACGGGCTGACAAAATGACTCCGAGTTGGAATGACAGGCGTGGTGGACGTGGACCCACCAGAACAGAAGCGACGACGTGCCCATTGTTAACTGTGAAAATTTGTTTGCTACGTCATCGCAACAACAAGCTCGTCAAGTTGATAACTTTATGATGCTGTAAACATACATATATTCATACACCCCGAAGAGTCGGAAAATCTAGACACTAAGAGATGGCAGTATTCTTAACTTTTGAAATATACTCTGAGGAGGGATTCTTCTAGATGTTATGGTATCAGTTTAAACAATTTACTAGAAAACGTATAAAGGAAATATACTCAGAACCTGAAATATAGTTCCGAATAACTAACTTAAATTTCTAGATAAATTTAATGTCAGCTTTAAAGCCACTGCTCTTAGGAAGAGTCCCCTGACCATTTCGGTCATCTTTGTGTGAAGAAACCGCAAAATGTGTTTGGCATCATTAGAAAAATATTAAATTTCCTCTAAGTCCAGATCTCCCTGGCAAAGGGACTTGGCTGGCGCAGGGCTTTAATTGCTGGGAATGCGAATACTTAAAAGTTGTTGCCTTTTATGCGGTTGCCGTCAAAGCGAAACTCAATTAAGCTGCAGTCACCACCCCTTATAACATCACTCCACCCCTGGAATCACCCCTGATTTTCTCCCTGATTTAAAACTGCTGATACGGCAGTTGACGACGGCGACATAGGACATCAATGAGGACGCTTTGTCATGGTTGCCCAGCCAGCCACCGAATGCCTTTTCAAAGGCATTTTTAATTGAAATTATCCGATGCTACCTTTTCAGCCTTCGCCCCGCCAATTTTCATCTGAAATTTGCGTTTTTCTGCTTTGTTACCTTGCAGTTGAGTTGATTTACATGTGAGACGTCCTGCTCTAAGTCCTGCTCCTTAGAAAGTTTCCTTCGGCCTCAGCTTGTTTACATCTTAGTGCGCTAATAGCGGCCTTAAGTCTTCGAACGATACGCCATAAATCCATGTTAATAACGCCGTCGTAAAAGGGGAGACAATACTGTCTCGATTCGCAAAGACTAAAGATACACAGGAAAAACAATTTAAGAATATTTATTTTTATCAGGGGATAAATCAGTATAAATTCAAGCAACGTTTGTGGAGTTTCCTGAAGCATAAAAGTCATGAATTTGTATACTAAACTGACAATTAAAAATGTTAAAGTTATATCTTTCTTGTAGTGTAAGATTCTGTTGTGACCAAGTAAGGGAGATTCTAAACTCAAAGACATTTAAGTAGATTAAGCGACTTTCATGTCGAGTCCCCAGTCTTTGGGACATCAACCCAAATGAACGACGACAGTGAAACAATTCACGAGGCACGCCCGGTGGCAAAGGACTTGAGCACGGCGAGCGGCAGGATATAAGACCCGGCAATATGCCTTGCCAGTTGCCACTCGAAATATATGCAAATATAGTACTTGTGCGTGGGCGTGGCAGATGGGGCGTTGCAACGGGAGCAGCATCAGCAGCAAACAATGAAAGTAAATGCCAAAACATTTTATTGATTATCAGACGAAAGGGAAGCTTAGACAGTGGGTATGGTTTGCAATTTTTGTTGTAAAATCTTAAAATATTTTAAAGTAAACTTATAGAAATATTTGTTTCTCTAGATAAATTTACCTATATATGAAATATATACAAGTATCTTACCATAAAATGTTTAGAACTTCATACTTCCTAAACCGAACTCATGTTTTTTCAGGCAGTTATGATACTAAAAATGACAATAATCACATCTTATTCCTTAGATTCTGCTAAAACAAACTCTTTCTAATTCCATAGTACCTGGTCCTTCAACTGCCATTAGTCGGCGCCGGCGAGTGTGCTACACTTTTTTGCAGTTGTCTGACGACAATGCGAACTGGAGTCCGAAAGTCCTGGAGTCCGTGCCAGCAACCCAAAGTGCGGACCTGGTTTTTTGGTATGGGTAAGAGCATTGAGCATTTTAATAACCGCAGTGGAAAGCGGAAAGCTCGAATCGGAGAAGGGGGAAACGATGGGCGGCCATAAATTATGCCACCCACCGACTGCAAAAAGGCGAAAACATTGACAGTGGTCCTTCGTGGGCCGCCCGTTGAGCGATTTGTAGTAGACAACTCCCCTTTTCCTCAATTGCTCTTTTTGGCGTGGTGTGGCCCAAAGGACCTCCTTCTGGCTCTTCACTGCATTGGAAATTTTAAACTCTATCGTTAGAGATAGTAATAAAAGAACGAGAGCCAGAGGCTTCGAAGTGGTCAGTGCGGCGTCATAATGCAATTGTATAATTTTCTTAAAAGCTCACTGTCGTCGACAATAAATGTAACAATAATACGCAACTCGAGTGCACTTAGAACCATTCACAGAGATCACAAAAGGCATTACAGAAATTAAAAATGCCCCCAAATGGGCAATGAACCCCGAAAACAACACACACACACACACACACTTTTGGTCAAAGAAAACAATCAGGCAAATGGTGTGAAAAAGGGCATTTTAGCTAATTGAAATGAGCCCGCAAATAAAATGTTTGCCAAAAAATACAAGTAAATAGAAATAAAAGTGCAAATCCTTGGCAGCCGCTTGGAGTCACGTTTCAGTTGGGAGCTTAACCCAAAGCTCCTTGCCTTCCTTTCGCAGGACCACCTGTGGCTTCGCGGCAGGATCACGTCTCAGGTGCGAAATGAAGATTTATAAAATGGCAAATTGATTTAACGTGCCAAGTGTTTCTTAATACCGCCAACTTGATGAAATTTTAATGTCTTCCCCAGGGGGCAAAAAGGGAAATCCCTGCCCGCCCCTTCCACTCATATGGTTCAATTTCACCCCCGAGTCCTTGGTAATTGAGGGTTAAACTAGCAAGTTGTGGCTCATCAACAGGTAATTTCTGGTCAGGATTTTTATGACTACTTGCCTGTCTTGTTAGTTCAAATAAATAATGCATGAGGCAACTTTAACCTAACAAGCTCAGCTCGATTTTCCCTCACGATTGTCCCACAAAAACCGAAATTTGAATACTTGGGCGCATCACGTTTTCCGACTTTTCTTCTCCACTTTGTATTGCCAATCGCGCTGCGCATTTTTTATTATTTTTTCTTTTCTTCTTTATTGGTAATATAATACATTCAATTCAGTTCTTGGCTTTTCCTGGGCAAACAGAGCGCGGAAAAAATTCAATTAAATGTAATCGCATCTATTCCTTCTGCTCCCGTGACTGATTGTTCTAAGGGAGAAAAGCGCGGAAGGAATTGAAATTAAAATTGAATAAATAGCCAAATAAACACGCTCTTTGAAAATAAATGCTAATTCCGCGCTTTTCCTCAAGTTTCCACTTTCGTTTTTTATTTCTCATCGCCAATCTAAAGTGTTCGGAGGCACGTGCCAAGCCAAATCCTTTTAATGTGTCGCCAAAGTTGGGAAACTTGATATGGGAAGTTTGTTTGGAAGAAGTACGTTCTGGGGTTTTCGAATATCAGCTTTGAATTGATGTAATAACATCCAATTTTTTCTAAAAAAATTCTTAATTTAAAGAAATATAAGTAGAAGGTTCTTTAAACAAAACAGAAATAATATCATTAAAGGAAAAGGCAGCGCCGCAAACCAAATTAGGAAGCCTGAAAACTTTTCAATTACCATCGGATTCAATTAATAATACTGCTCGGCAGGTACAAACATACATTTTGGCTAACCAGCTTAAATGGGGAAAAAACGTTTTCCATTTAACAAGGACGCAATGAAATTCAATTAACCTCAAGTGGATGCCACAACAGCAGGACTCGCCTTGATGGAGGGATAAAACAAAAGCAGAATCTGCGGTGGCATTCACACCTCATCATCGTCAACAGAAGGATATTTATGGAGTGGGACGAGCATGGATGCTCCAGAACATCCCTGGACTTGTTTGCCAGCGTTTAGCTTCAGACCAAAGACCAAAGCGATATATTGCCACCCGGGGTTATCGATGCCATATTAAACTTTCACTGCCGCTGGCTTGCGATGAAAAGTGCTCAGAACCCAGTCTGATTAAGGGCTGAGCAAACAAATCACGAACCAGCTGGATTGTTTGCTTAGCCAGTGTCTAAACATCGTTCTCAACTGTTTTTTAAACTGTTTGCCAAGCGGTTCTGGATCGAGGAACAACCCCGTCGTAATTAACATTTCAATTTTACTCATCGGGCAAATGTATCTCTTGTGCTCCAATGCGTTCCGTTCTTCGGTAAATAAATTGTATTTTAGGGCAATTGTTGCTGCTCTTTCGTGTTGACATATGCAAATTCCAAGCACCGCCCACCACAATTCACAGAAGTTTTCTGATTACTTTTAAGGGTGTCCTGGAAGGGGGACGAAATGAACCTGGTTATTTGTCAACTTGATGGTTGCCTTTGTAGGCTGTTCAATAGCATTGATTGTTTGCTCTTTGCTTGCTGGTTTTTCGAATATATTAAGAACTACGCTTTATTAGGAACAGTGCAATCTTCCAAAGAGATAGCTAAACTAAGCCTATAATGTGAAGACAACATATCTTATTTTCAATCATAGTCTGTCCCCTGTACCTAAAACTCTTTCTGTACTTAATACCCAAATCGGCATTAATATAACTATATTATATCAAATATATTTCCTGATAATCCCTTCTATTAAATATCTCATTTTTCCGTATCCATTCAATGTGCTCAATCTTTAGATTTGTCATTTAAAAACTACAAATTTTTAAACTATTGCTTGATAAGTTTAATTTCGTTTATTTACATAAAATCACATTTGTTTTCCAATATAAATACAAAAGAATTCCACATTAAAAACAATTAGCTAATCATAGGGGGTCTAGATCGATATGGATTGATATGATGTTGCTATGATATTCTTTAGGTTCATTTAGAGATATAATAGCTGGGAGTAGCGAGAAGGACTACTCCCACCGCCTTTCGAAGAAATCCAGAATTACGGGATCCTCTGATATCGACTCCAAGCAACAGAGAGCTGCATTATTGGGCTCCCACTTCTGTATCTGCAACTCCGCCAGTTCCGACGGCAGTGGAGCCAGAGCAAGCGAGGTCCTTGCCAAGGCATGTTTTTGTGATATCCAGGGGGATTCCCCTTTATTTTCCTCGTATTTTCCTGTTTTCCGGCCTTTCCTCCCTTCTCACGTCCGATTCCTGGGAGTCGATTGTGGTTTGTGTGTGGCGCCAGTGACTGGGCCGGGGTTTTTATAGCTGCCGCCGGGAGGACAAAGCTTTTCGTCGACTCCCCCCGAAAAATGGGAAACTTTCGTGTTGAGTTTCAGCCGAGAGTTAAGAGTGTTGAGTTTCCCCACGCAAGTGGCAACAATTGTTGCCGCCTAATTGGGTATATTTATATATGTAGAAACTTGCCTCAGTGGCGCGTTTAGGTAAATAACCATAGGTATATACACAGTTATCTGGGTGTGTGTATGGTTGACCTTATGCACACAAGGACACGGGAGCAAAAGGAGGAGCCAGGTCCTTTCATCGCAATGGCCGCCATTTGAAAATTTCGCCGAGCTTCGCATAAAATTAAATGTTATTTAAATTATGCCCGCTCCTTTGGAATAATCCTTTCATTCCTGCGAGTAAGTGATTAAAGCCATTAACGAAATTATCAAGGATTATAAAGATTTGTACGGGACTTCGCAGCGGGTGTTGTTTTTGGGGCGTCTCTCGCCTGGAAGACAATGCCATTTCCCGTAATCCAGGGGCTTCAATTAATGGAGTGTCGACGTCGCCCACTCGCAGAAAAGGGTTGCTGCCCCGCCCCCGGCAGTCCACTGCTATTGGAAAGGGGTGGCTTTCAGATTTATTTTATTTATTTTATTTTTTATTTTTGAACATTGCATTTCGATTCCCGTCTGCTGACGTCAATGGACCTCTGATTTTCCAGCCATAGTTTTCATTTCTCCCTCGACGTCACTGAGGTAAGCTTTTTCATTTCACTCAACACTTTTTTTGCTCTTCAGCATTTGCAGCTTTGTATTGGTTTTATTGGTAATAAACCAAATAACAAATGGTGACAAGAGTAACAGAAAATTTTATATTATACAAACTAAGGCATAGCAGGCTTTGAAGTAAAATAACAATTTGGAAAAAATATTTTTGTAGATTAAATAAAGGAAAACCATAATGAAAGACGGAGCCGATACTGATTTTGAATCCGTAGAAAAAAACACACAGGCACCGCTTTCTAGCAATGAAGACGAAGAACCTCAAAAAGATCGAAAATCTGAAAAAGAACCTATATCCCGCCGCAATGAAGAAGTACTCCTTAGCAAACAAACTTATAATGCAACAGAACCAAACACGGTAAAAGAAGTTATAGTTGAGAACGATCAAAGAGGTTTATCTGAAAAACTTTCTGACCCAATAAATGGTGAATGTCCTTATCATGTTTCCAATAAACCAAATAGTAATGATGAACTACTTCAAGATAGCTCAGTGATTTCAGGGCGGATGAGTTTAGATTCAATTGATTCAGAGCTTAAATCTGAGTACACTATGGAGGTTTTAAGCGAAGATATCAACAGCTCACCATCAAGAAGAAAGATTAAGGAAAACGATTTAGTGAAAACGGAGAATGTGGAAGACCTAGACGAAAAGTTTAGGAGACATTTTCTCCAGACTTTTAAAGGCTTGCCCAGGATATCGCAGATTTCGTTGGACAATGATTCCACAACATCTCAAGAAAAGAAGCAGGAAGGTAAAATAGTTACACAACTGTCTACTTCTAAAGAAGATACTTTACAATATGATAACTCTAGTATAACATCAAAATCTGAAGTTCAACATAGTGTATATAATATACAAAATAGTAAGACAGAAATAAATTATATATCCAATAACACTAATGGAGAAATTCAAAAAGAAAACACAGCTGAAAGCACTCTACCTGAAAGTGAAAACCTTCGAGAACTTAATAATGATGAAAAGGCTTCCTCTTCAAATAAAAAAAGTATATAGTAGTAAAAAAAGCAACAATTTTTTATATAATAAATAAAATAATTCAATAATATACATTTTTCTTGCAGTGTTTTAAGCAGTGATTCAACTTCCTACAAAGAAATCATTAAGTTCTCTAGTGAAATCACAGAGTCGATTTCAGAAATATTCCTTCCGTTCTTGCCCTGACCACTTCTTTCATCACCAAAGCAACCGACTCGAAAAAAATTTCGGGCAACTTCATGACGCTAAATTAACTAGCAGACATTTCTATTAGCTCTTAGGAATGAATGCCAAGGCAATTTACGCTTAATATATGCATGATGCTGTCCGCCCGATAACACTCGAAGAATGCCATGGGTTTTGGTGGTGGCAGGACCTGGGATTTCATCCAGGTTGTTGGGACAACGCCGCCGCCCTTGTTGCTATCTATCTTTATCAATGTGCGGCACGTGGAAAAGTTTCGTTCGTTTAACTTTTCCACCCAGCTCTAAATGAATTTAATGACTTGGAATTGGCCACCTACCGATTTTGAATTTTAATTTCGCAGGACTTTCTTTGAACCAGACAGTATGCATTCACATCTGTAATGATTACTATGAGTTGTTATTATTACTATTCAAAATTAAGAAATACCAGCTTTCTTGTTATAGGTCTAGTCTATATAAAGGAATCTAAAAAATTGCTTTTCCAAATCAAAGCTAGCAGCAATCAAATAAAAATGCGATCCAAAAGTATATCAAAATAATCGGCTAAAATCAATCGCTTCCCTTGGGAGGGTAATTTGTATACTGGTACTCTCATCCCTGTACAGAATCGGAAGGGTATCCGTATCTTTCAGATATCTTTTCTTCGCCAAGTGCAACAGCCGAGAGCAGGAGATGCTGGGCAAAACAATTGCCGTCTGAGAGAACTCCCAAAGTACCTTTTCACACATGAGCGCGCCAGGCACAGGACGAAGGACGTTGGCAGACGTTGATGAGGGGTTGAGGATATAGAACCCCCGATTTCTGTTGTTGTAAATCACAAAGTGAAACCGAAACCGTTAACGTGTTGCGGTTACGCTGCTGACTTTGCTGTGTGGCAAAAAATAAGGCAAAAAAGGGAGAACCGAGGCAAGTCATTCCATTTGTGAGGCTTTATTAAATGCGCACTGAGCCGGGGGGCAATGTCCTGTCTCGGCTTTTTATTGCGATTTTTTTTGCAATGGTTTCGGTCTTTGTGTGAGTTTATCAAGTTCCTTACATTTGTTTTCCTGTAAAACGGGGGCAACTTCCCCAAGCAAACTTTTCTTATTTAATGATTCCTTTTAGAGCAGGCCCTATCGATGGGGGAAAACCGAAAGGCCGGTTTCGCATTTCAACTTGAGAAATGTGAAATTGTTCCAGTTCCTTTTCTTTTTGTAGGACGTCTAAAGATTTGTCAAATCTTTGACACAATGATGCATAACGTTATCTGAGATTTGCCAAGTGAAAAAAAAAAAAAACAACAAGCGACTTTGCGAATTAATCTTCTTAATGTCTGGGTCTTATAACCATGGGTACTAAGTAGAGTGCTTAGAAGCCGAAATCACTTAATGCGATTGCCAAAAAAGAGTGTGTTGTTTTTGGGATGACTACCAAAAAGATTCGCTAATTGCTGCACTCGTTGAGAATGCAACTTGGCAATGGGTTGCCATGGGTGATTCTCAGTGCACCTCGGATGGCCATAATCATATCAGCTTCCGCACGATTTAACAGCAACGCAATTTTGATGGGACTCAAACCAGACCGAGGACGTCAGCATGGCAACCGATTGTCTGGCCATCTACACTGTGAAAAACACAAAAAATCATTGAATAAAGAGGTAAATAAAAAGTTAACTTGAATTAAAAGTAATAGACAAATAATAAATACAAAATAAAATTCCAAAGTTATTCCAAATTTCAAAAGTAGATATATTTTTTATAAAAACATCCGCATTTTGCGGGCTGTATTCCATTTGGTTTTGTTCAACACTTTATTTGGCTTCGCATTGATTGCTCCACAATTGCGCAATTTCGCTCACTAAAAGCATTTCAAAAGTACTGGGTGGGATGGGCTGGTGCTTCCTTTGCCTGCTGCTATGACGCATAAGCTCCGATAAAAACTGTTGTTCGATAAGCATTTTGTTTGCCCGTGTCCTGAGTTGTTATGGAGTCTGTGCCTCCGAACAAGTCATGAGCTCTTGTGGGGACTCTTAAGGAGCTGGGGTGCATGATTCAATGAAAAGGAACTCTTGGCGAAGCCATAACGAATCAGTATTTGATGTAGAATTTTGCAAAGTTATGTGAATGTAGTTGCAGTCGTAAAAAAATTATGAATTTGTGGCGAAGGGTGAGTCAATCATATGCAGATATATGATTCAGTAATTCCAATTCATAGTTTATGTTATGGTTTCAATCTCTGTATTAGACCCCTATATTTTATTTGCCAAGAATGTGTAGGCGGCCTGCTAAATAGATGTGCCCCTAGAACTGAACTTTACTTTATGCATTACAAAAATTCCCGCTGCCATTTGGCATAATGTCCTCTGCGGCTTAGTCTCCACACTCCCACACATGAGCACATACACATCATATTCATTATGAACGGCTTAAGCGATTTCCCCAGGGCCCAGCAGCTTAGTCCTCCACGCAGACACTCATGCATATGCACAGATATATTTGGGTTTCTATTTATTTCTTTTTATGAAAGTCCTTTTGAATGGAATCCGATTTGACGAGCAGTCGAAAAAATACCTCGTCAGCAAATTGGCAGCTCAAAAAAATGGGAAAAGCGGGAGAACCAATTCTCAACCTGATTGTTGGCCACATCAATCAGGGGAAGCAACGTCCGCTCGTGTTTAACATTCAGGGGAAAACATGGAAATAATAATTAACGCTTATGATTTTCCTCTACCCAAAATGGACAACAATTCTCTTCTTTTGCTAATGAATATAATCTGTCATCAAAGCCAAAAAGCCACCCCCTGTGGAAACAGGTGCTCGCTTTTTCCCCACCTACTTTTCCCATATACTGTTGCTGTTTTTCTAGACACGCCTCCTGATGTACTGTATGATTACATTTGGTTCCCAGCTATTAACTCAACATAACTTGTGAGTTTGGCGGAGGAAGGGTTAAAAGGTCGGCCGACGGAAATTGCATTTGTGCTGGCCCAAATCAGATAAGATTCAGCGACGACGTCCTCGTCCTTGGCCAGGATATGACATTAAAAGCGCATCAAAGTCAGAGGCTACGCACCAGCAGCGGAAACTGTTGCCGTAATTACATTCAAGGATGTTCGAAAAAATTCAGCAAAATGTAGTTTTTCCTTAGAGACTTATTGATACACTTACATTATATTTGACTTCACCTTAAAAATGTTACTTAATAAATGGTCAGCGTATAATTTATACACAAGATTTAAAATTTGTTTATATAATTCTTTATGGTTTTCATGATTTTCAATAATAAAGTCTTCCTCATAACTGAAACCCCCTTTGGTGCACATCCCTCATCCAATAAGAAGCTCATTGCTGGTCATTTGCGAGCTCCTTAAGGCCAGACTGCTTGTGAGCTTAGCCCTTCCCGCAGGCTCAACTTTGATTTGGTCTTTGTTTGCGCCGTTAAATTAAATATCCCTTCCGAGTCGCTCGGCATCTGTGCTCATCTTGGCTGCCCAGGGACAATGGCAGCAATTCCAGTCATTTCCTTAATAGAAATCTTATCTTTTGTGACGCCTTCGCCGTGAGTCTAAGCCGGATATCGCACCTTTGACATCTGCCCTTGGCCCCTGACCAAGCAACTTCCTACTAAGCACTCAGAGAATACTCACATCCGGTCTGATTTTTTTTTTGTGAAAATCATTTGGAAAAATTGGGTGTTTATTTATACCAACATTAAAAGACAAAAACCATGAGCTGTTGCTGTGGAACTCAGACGCCAAGATGTTGTGAGTGTCCGCCTGGCTTAAGAATTGATAAGACCCCACAGGCGCCTCTATTCGACATGCTGGGCCCGCAACCGGATGAGGTTATCATTATGATCCTAGATCGCATCCTGTATCTCTCAGGCGCCACAAAAATAATTCCCATGCTGGAGTGGGCGGGCTATGGTTTGTTTTAATAAATATATTTTTAATTCGGTTTTATAACAGAAAATTTATTTTAGGATCTGCTGCTAAGGATTCCTGCCCACCGTCCACATGTCCATCAAGCCACTGCAGTTCCGCTACCAGCTCAAATCACCCTTCGTCTTCAGTATGGAACACCTGCTGCTCAAAAGCATCAAGTTGCTGTAAGCAACCGAGAACTTGCGGTAGTCAAAAGGGTTCACCAAAGGTTCCGCCGGTTCCACACAGTCCAAAACCATGTTGCATTAAGACGCCAAGTCGTATAAGTGCCGCATCCAGCTGCCCCCGGCAACGTACACCTAGAGTGGATTTCGATAATCCGGCGGACAATATTCCGATGCGAAGAAAGGCTGGCAGCATCTCGGTTAGAGAACGTATGGAACGTTCCATTTCGTCGTGCTCGGTGGCTTGTCAGCAGCTGAAAGCTAAACTTGCATCCGAGGAAATCTCGGGACAAAAGGATCAAAAGTGGTTGTGGACCCGTCTGACACACGGAAAGAATGGCTGCATGGTGTATGAGGTGTACAAAGACTCCGATGCTGACAGCTCGCCCTCCAGTATTCGATCGGAGGCACCAATTATCCTTTTTCTGGTCATGCCAAATGGCTGCATCATGCCCTTTGAGTCGATTAGCAGTCCTTAAAGCGGGATGGGCTCGCACGAACTATATGCATTTTGCTTACTTTCTTATTTTGTGGTCAATTAAAAAATTAACTTTTAAGAAATTTTTAATACAAAACATTATCACATATTTTTGTAAGGTGGTATCGTTTAAGCTATACGTATACACTTTCTTAGCATTATGAAGACCACTCCAGCACATACAAATATATAAGCAGCTAGTATTACTACGGATTCTAGATCAGTGCGTTGCCCTGGGTTAAGAGTCATATTGACCATCCCGGTCAGGAAGTTGGAAAGCATGAAGTGAGTCAGGCCATTCATGTTGAGGCTCTCCACAAAGGTTGGCAAGGATATACTCTTTTCTTTAACATCTCCAACTGATTTCTCAGTACTTAAATCTGGCCTTACAAGTTTAAGTTCAAAGAAATAAGCATATATCACAATAAGACTTAGGCAAACAGCAAAAATCCACATCACATAGCCAAAACTAAAAGTCACACGTGCAATTCCGGTTAGGAAGGCACTTATAAAGACCAACAACCAACAGAGGATGGCGACTAAAAGGATTTTCTTCAACTTGATAACTAATCCCTGATAAGTGAGGTGATCCTGAGAGGTATACCACTTGGCAAAGTAAATGCTGAGCAGATAGAGAGCCACACAGCCGTGTAGGGAACTCAGACCTTCCCGATTGGCACTGAGAAAACCTTCGTGAGGTGCGGAAGACATCACAAACTCAGATAGCCCTAACTGTAGCACCAGTTCATGAACAAATAGTAAACCTAAAAGTTAAAATAATATTAAAATGGGTAAACATACATACAGTACAACATACCTAGTGAAAGTCCCAATAGTTTTCGGTCCGAGCTCACCAAAAGACTGTAAAAGCTGCCCATTAGTTTAGTGAGGCCCAGAATGAAGAAGGCATTCAAATGCGTTCCATATTCCGTCTCATCTTGATGATAGTCGATCGCTGTGATGACTATAGTGCGGGCCAGTCCTAAAACAAGCAATGGAACAACGGATCTCGGTAGTTTCTTTAGGTCAGTGGTGTTTCTCGTTCGATGTGAAACCAATCCCATGGTCACCACAAACAATCCGATACCCATATCCATCGCAGCAGCTCCGAAATTTCGACTTTTCCGGTAATCCTTGGGATATGATGAGAAGTCCACGGCCAAAATGGCGGCACAGGTTCCACTGTAGGCAGTGGCCCTCAGTAAGGTAAAAACTGTGGGTCTCTTGCCTACCTCATATTTGAAATTCGGAGGACTTGTAGGTATGTTTCCGTAAAGATAACCCAAAACAGCAAAGGAAGCCACTAATGAATAGGTATAGTTATAGGCACTGCCTACAGTGATTAGAATCACGGTGGGTAATCCAATCAAAATAAACTCCAGAAGGAATTTTCTAGTGGAATTTTTTGGCAGGTGTCCACATAGTAGGCGGGAAAGAATGAACCCCAATACCGTGGGTAATATCACCAAGAAACTATCCACACTTTCCTTAACTGATCTCCAGGATTTTAAATCCACTTCGTCTAAGTCATAAGTTACGGAATCGCCCATTTCGGCCTCCATTTTAGAAAGCTCCATGAAGTTAAATTGATTTAAAATAGAAAAGCAAAATGGAAATTAATATAAATATTTTGGGCCGGCATTGCTACTACTTCTGCGCTGAACAGCTGTTTCTACCGATAACGAGTAACGATAGATCCGGACACGAATTCACAGCAGGCAGCTCTTGACATGGAACATAGACCAAACCAATTTTTAAAAGATAAGTTTTTTTAAGTTAATACATTAAATTAATTTATCCAAGTTTAAATAGTTAATTTATATAATACCGATTTATTTTGGGTCTGCAAAATAAGCAAAATAAATGCATTTAATCACAATTGTGGCAATCTACAGCTCGCTGCGCTGTGTTTTGGAGGGACTTTCTGGTTTCTGCTGAGGGAATTCCTTGTGGGAAAGTATTTCCGTGGCTGCTTCATCTACGACGTGTACAAATTCATTCACATCGAAGCTATAGTTGGTGAACTTGGCATGTGCCCCGCCCTCGGGGTGATGTCCCTCGTCCTGGGGATAGACCAGCTCCCGCTGCTCCCAAGTCCTATAACGAACACCTCGCAAGCGGGCCAAGTCCTTGTAGCAATTGGGATCCTCGCAGTTGTACAGCTCAAAGATGCACGCCCAGTTGGGTAGGAAGAGCAAGTGCGTCAAACCGGCGCCATGCATACCAATAAGTATATCCGTGTTCCGTGTGATGGCCAACTGGTCGGTGAAGGAGAGCCTGCCAGGAAAGAAGGATACTTTAGAATTTAATAAGTTGGTGCTTCATTGCTTTCTTTACCTCTCATAGGAAACGCGCTGCACAGTGTACTTATCATTGGCCTCCAGCGGAGCTAACAACTCGTCTTCATTGAGCACTTGTCTGTACTTTGTGCGGCGCGATAAATAAGTTATTCTTATTCTCTTCTGCGGTGGCTTGTAGGGAATCTGAAGACGGTGTAGGATGAACTCGGAAAAGGCGCGAAACAGACCACTATTCGAACAGCCCTGGATCTGAATAAAGAAACCAATTTAATGTCTTGGTAAATTTCAAGTTCAGTTAACTTACTATGGGTGTATTGTAGAAAAGCCCAAAGATCATCCTAGGCAGCAAGGGAAGGACTACGTTCTTAAAGCAAACCCTCTTTCCTTCTACATCGCTGAGGGTCCACACAGGTCTTTGCGAAAAGGCCTTGAATGTGTCCCTGAAGGGCGAGTCATACGGATAAGTTTCCCAAATAAGGATCTGCACATCTGTGTTAAAGGCCGCAGGATGAGATTGGTTGACGAAAAGCGAGGCGTATAAGTTAAAAAAGTCGCAGAAGTGATGATACATGTTGTATGTGGCATCAATTTTCATGATAAAAGTGGGCGTATTCACTACCACGTCACATAGCCCGCTCTCCAGTATGGGATGAGGTAATACTTCAAAGTTTCTCAGCTCTGGGCCCCAGGATTGCAGGGCCGACCCAATGTGATCCATTTCACTCGTGAGTCGCGTTCGATTAAGATCACAGTGTCCAAGCAGCTGCCCTGGACCAAGGACATCCATATGGTAACGAATGCGCTCTTTCCGCTGCAGCAAATCACTGAAGTCGAAGAGAAGATTACGGCCACGGCAAAAGCGCAGATAATGAGTGCATTCCAGCGAGGAATCTGCCAAATATGTGGGCACGCATTGCGGCGCCAGCTGGGAGAGCTGCTCCTGGATATATCCAAAGTCCGCCTGGTTGTAGAACGTCCTTACCTGGGCGTCCTTGCTCCTGGCCCAGCCAGTGTGTTCCCCTGGACACTGGGGCGTCTGAAAGCGGCCATCCGGCGTGCAATCCCGTTCGTGGCCCCAGCAAGCGGATGAGATTGTGGTCTTACCGGTGAGATTCGTATGCATTTGCTGTTTTAGCTTGGGAAAGGTGTTAAGATATCGGATGAGGTGCTCCGAGGGAAGGCTGGGCAAGGTGAACCCATCGAGGTGCTTGGCATCGTTCACCTGATGAGCCTGGACCATGGACAAGTGGAGCATCCAAATGAGAATTGGCAGGATTGGCATCTTGAGTTCAGTTCGGTTCGATTGAATTAAGTACTTCGTTGCATGTGATGTTCCAGCGATTTCCCGGCGATTTCTCACGCTTTCAAAAGCAGCATCTTCAGGTGCATTTCTCGGCCAGAGATGATGATGATCTCACCTGGCCTTAAGTGGCTAAAAGATGATTATGAGCGGGCTAAGGCTAATGTTATTGTCCATGTTAATTGTTCGCCGAAGAAAAACCTGTCCCTCAGTGTGACCATCTTTCTGCTGAAAAACGCAAAAAAAAAAATACTGACACCCCGAGTCATATAACTAGGTCAATTACATATATACACTTAATAATTAGTAAGTTTGATAAGTGGTACTTCAATTATACAAATTTATTTACTTATTTTATTTATTTATTTATTTATGAAGAGCTACTAAATAATTTAAAATTAATAGGTAACGGTGATGTTGAGCAATGGCAACGGGGGCCTTCCGCTCGAATTATAAAAATAATGATTTGAAATTAATAAAAATTGGTAGTAAGTAATGATGGTTTAAAACATCGATAAACATCTACCGCGTTCTTAAACCAATCTGTCCCTGTATTTTTAGCCATTATTTCAAAACTAATTTTGAACTTTTAACAGTTTTCCAAAGCAGGAAATTTTATAATTCCGTTATTCCGGACAGTTTATATTATTGCGGATAAGCTGCTGGATATAGTCCTCCAAGTGTGGCGATATGAGAGAGGCCGCAGTAACGTTATTACTACAAAATGTACCATGGTCGCCAGATCCCACATTTCGACTAATCACAGCCACCAGGCACTTGTGATTGTCCAAGCCGCAAGTCGTGATAACTCCGCTACCACTGTCGCCCTTGCACAGAGTGTATTCATCATTTAAGACCACGTTTAGGTCACCATTCTTGGGTTTGCTTAACCGGCCATAAACTGTCGACAGGTGGCCATGGGAGTTCCAGGACGTTATCATAGCATCACCCTTTAAATCCAAGTGGGAACCTATGTTATACGGCAGGCAGACGATCCTTTGATCTTGCCTGAAATCCATTCGCTTTTCCAGGAATATAATCCCAATATCATACACATGGTTGACCCTGTTGTAGGCGCTGTGAGGAGGATTAACCGCATACATTTGAAGTTTCACCTTATAACTTGCTGGCTTACCCGTATACGTCTAGCCTTCTAACCTTATGCAGGTGCTCGCGGTCAACGACCAATGAGGATCGGTTGCCAGAGGGACCAACTAGAAAGTCGTCAGGTTTGTATTCACGGTCATTCATGCAGTGGGCCGCGGTCAGTACGATATCCAGACGAATCAAATTTCCGGTACAAGCAAATTCGAACTTGATTGTCGTGCTGTTCAACTTGTAAATGGGTACTACCCAGGAGGCTCTTAGCGAGTCCGTTGGATCTCCTCCTTTACTTAATGTTATCTCGGAGTAATTGAGTCTGTGATTGCACTCGTAGTTACACAGTTTATCTTGCTTTTCACACAAGTCCCTAAGACCCTCCCACTCTCCATCCTCGGTGCACTTCACCGACATCGGCTCCGAGGCCTTGTGCGTAAATCCACTGGCACATTCGAATTTGACGTGGGTATCTGGAATCAGTGAGTACTTGTCTCGGCAGTTAAACGGTGATCCACTCTCCCCATTGTAGCATCTCGGTGTAAGGCTGTACATCTCTGAGATCTGCTCTGGACTGCAGTGTTCTGTAATATAAGATATATCGGTAGCTTAACATGTAGATTAATTATTCCGAAAATTAAATATTTACTTGTACAGCGGGGGTGAAAGTCCTTTTCGATCCACGTTTTATTTGACTGGCATGTAATCGGAACGTCCTTGAACTCGTATGGCAAAAAAGTTAAATCATCTTTGCATTTGAACGTCACTCTTGAGGCTTGAATAGGCGGTAAGACTGAGATTTCCTTATCTTCGTCCCAAATAACCATTGTTTCGTTGTTATACCAATTTATAGGACAGCCATAAGTGCCATTCGTTTTGGGGTTCCTGTTGATCAGTTTTTTCACGCACAGTGGGAATTCATCTCGCCAAAACCCATTGCTCATGCACACATTCCAGGTCTTTCGTTCAGAGTTCCAACATTGAACTTCCGCCGGTTGATTGGCATACACGAAGCGTTGGGAGTTTTTCATTTGGAAGATGGTCCTGTTGGTGAACCTGAGTTCCAATGTCTCATAGCAGACCGCAGGAGGCAGCTTTGTCCAGTTAATTGCTCCATCACAAACATTGAACAACTCGTCGGATCCATCTAAGCAATCCATCTTGTTATCGCACAGATGCTTGCTGTCCACCAAAACTCCGTTGGCGCACTGGAAGCATTTGTTGTCTGTGCAGTATTGCATACAGACCTCCAACGATTCATCCCGACCGTTGGAGCAGTCGACCACATTATTACACTTTGCCGAATTCGACACACATTCCCCAGGAAGGCACTCGATATCCGTCTCCCTGACAGTGCAGTATTAGTATGTAGTTATAATGCAGTAAATAATTCATTTTTTTTTAGAAATAAGGGAATCCCTCCAAACTTTTCTACAAGTAATAACCTTTTTTTGTTTTATATGACTTACCCAGTACAATTTCCCCGAAAGCGTTTCTCCAGTTCCCCTGGATTATTTTCACATACTTGTGGCAATTCGTCAGATCCATCGATACAGTCTGCGATATTGTTGCAGATCAATCTTTCAGGGATTGGTGCCCCTGCCGCACAGTTAAACTGATCAGATATCATGTCAGACAGTGGAATTTTGCAGACTGTAAAAGATTCATCGCTGGCATATTTACAATCCGGTTTGGCATTGCAGAGATCATCGATGGGTATACACCTGCCATCTTCCAAGCACTCGAACTCCTCATCATCGACGCAGCCTTGTGAGGGACTGATATGTAATACTAACATTAATGTAAGCACCAGAGACTTCCAACTAAAGCGAGGACACACCATTCTTGACCGGCTATCGGCACTAAACTAAACGGCTGACGATAGCCCAAGCTGGTTTTCTTCGGTCGCCAGCGACTGCTCTCAATAATCTAACTAAAATTGTGATAATAACTGAACTCTGAATAAAATACAAGAAATGATTCATTCTTTTTCTCTTTTGAAGTTTATATAAGCACTGCTCCAGTTCCGAACTCTTATAGGTTGCAAGGCCAAAACGTTTAATGCAAAAATGCATTTCAAAAAAATAAGTAAGTTGACCCTAGATTAATTATTAACACAATAAACCAACCAAGTTTGAATTAAAATTGAACTTAGGCATGCTCTTGTATTTGTAAAGTTTACAGCGTTTATAAATAATGATTTACGAGTACTTAGCGTAATGCTTAGCCGCGAAAAAATAATTGTAAATAATTGTATTTGTTAAATTAACTTAGGCCATAGACTAAACAGAGAACTACATACAATCAACTAATCGAAAACTAATTATCACTTTAAAAAATGAACAATTGATTTAAAAAAACTATTAAAAAATTAATTTAGCATTTAGAAGTGTCTGCACATAATCGTATCGTATTGTATAAACATGTATAACTAGGAATGCGTGTCCATGGGTCTGAGTCTCAGATCAGACGAAGACGCGCATCAAGTCGCTGCTGGTTGGAGTGGAGTTCCCTCCCGGATTGGAATTGTTCCCCTTCCAGGGAGGATTGCTATTGGCGCTGGGAGTGTTGCTGCTGTTCATATTGCTGATGTTTATGTTGCTACTGCTGTCGGATAAAGTGCGCAGCAGTTGCTTTTTGAGGATCTGTTGCGGCGAATTGTTCTGAATTTGGATGGCATTGTGGTTACTTTGCAGCGGGAGGGTGAAGCTGGGTCGGCCGAGCGTCTGCAGTTGCTCGTGTTTGCCCGCTAACAGACGCCGACGTTTCTCATAGAAACTGAAGGTCAGCTTATTATCCTCCTCCTTTTCGCGATCCTTGTCTTTCATAGGATGCTCGCCTCCTTCCTCACTTTCCGGTGAAGGTTTCTCTTCCTTTTTCACCTTTCCCATTAGCAGTTCATTTAAACGCTTGGCCGTCATGACACCTGGTGATCCGCTTCCTCCCGCTCCACCTTTGCCGACTAGCGCCCTTTTATTGCATCTCAATCGATCCTGTGCTATGACATTCGATCTCTGAGCGTATATGGTTCTGCCTGAAGCGGGATTCTTACCAGGAACTCCATTACTTAACGCCGGCGAGGGCGGCGGTGGTGGGCGAGCCAGCTGTCCAACCACGCCCAAATGACTACCGCCTGCCAGAGACAACAAATTGTTGTTGGCCTTCCGCGTGGTTAGCAGATTTTTACGAAAAGTTACTCCCAATCCCTGGGGCATCTTGACCATACCAAATGTGTTCATGGCCAAAGGACGAGGCGATCCAGAGTACAGCATCACATTGAAATAGCTGTCTTCATGGTATTTGGCATTGGCCAGCGTTGGATGATGGTTTATTTGTGGATTTGTTGTGGGTGGCTGGCTGGCGACCTTGGCCTCCAGCTTAACAGTCTTTACGGTGTCGCTAACAGTCTCCAGTTTACTGAACTCAAAGTCGCCCAGCTCATCTGCCAAATGGCTTATTTCAGTTCCAGAGCTCAAACCAGATTGCATGCCCGATTGCACGACATTCACGTCTACATTTTCGTAGCCCGCATGGGTTAGGAATTCGGCTAAAACCTTTTGCTGCTCTAGCATGGAAACGGGATTCGTCTCGCTGATCTCGTAAATGATGCTGGGAAGGATCATGTGCTCCTCCAGCTGCTGTTGCTGGTGAGGATTGCCCAGGGCTTCATCCGTCAAGGATGGCACGTTGTAAACGCTAAACTGACGCTGCTGCTCGTGATCATGCAGCTTCTGTTCCTGTTGCTGCTGTTGCTCCTGCAGTTGCTGCTGTTCAAGCATCTGTTGTTGTTGATAGATCAGCTGCTGCAACTGCATGGCATCAATGGTAGTCAGTTCTTGCTGATGCTCTTCCTCGCCGTAAACCTGCTGCACCGACTGTTGCTGATATACGGTATAATCCTCGCCAATAGTGCCGTCCTCGAAACGCAGTCTTTTGGTGGCTTGCGCGGGATGGGGAAGAGTTCCATTCTGCGATTGCTGTTGTGGCTGCTGTTGTGATGTGTCCAAGGCGCTCTCATCAAAGTTATTGAGAATCTCATTGATCAACTTGCTGTCCAGCATCTCGTCAAGTGTCTGGGAAATGGAATTCTCATCGGAGGTGTTGGGCAAAGGCAGTTCCTCCTCTTCGGGTGCCACCTGCTCGGATGAAACCGCTCCCGTAATCGAGGATACCGCCTGATCCAGCTCGCTGAGTACTTGCTGCTGCTCGTAGGAATTAACCAGGGGTTTTTCTTTGTTCTTCTCTTTCTCCGCTTTTGTTCGATGATCGCTGGAGCCCTTCAACTGCAAAAATAAACAAATTGGTAATTCTTTCACTATTGTTGAAATTAAATGATATACCTTCTTCTTGGGCTGCACTTCAGGCAACTTTTCAGTCTCCGTCTGAAGCTGGGCAGGTGAGTAGTTGACCCCCAGTGCCACCTCGCTTGCGGCTGCTCCTAACGTAGGAGTGGGCGGTAAACTGCAGGATGAGTTACTTGAGGAGGAGAACACGGTAATGGCCGGAGCAGCTACTGCTGCTGGAGGTTCCTCTTTTACAGGAGCAACAACGGGTGGAGCAGCTATAGCGGTGCTCTTCTTTGAACCCTTGGATTCCTTGTGACTGGACTCCAACGAAGGAGCCGGAGCTGGAGAGGAGTGGTGGCGATTCTTCGACGACTTGGACCGCGAACGACTTCCAGCTGAAGTACTGCTGCTGCCCTTTGATGAAGAAGAGCTACTGCTTTTGCTGCTACTCTTGTGACGCGACGAGGATGAGGAAGAGGTGGTGGAGGATCCTACTCCAGCCAGATGCTGCAATGAGGCCGAGCTGCTGGATCCGTTTGAACAGCTGGAAAGCGTGGAAGCCGAAAGTGTGTCCGTCGGAGAACTTGGCACAATGGCTCCACCCTCCTGGCTGTTTTCAGTGGCAGTGAGACGCGAGTCGCTGGAAATGGTGGACCCATTTGGATTGGGGTTGACCTTGCCGGATGTAGCCTCCCAGACGCTCGGATGCTGCAGTGCAATATGGTGCTGAAAGCCTGCCTTTGTGTAACATCCCGAGCAGGAACTACAAAGTACTATATCCCGGCTGGCCAGCTTGGGAACCAGGTCATAGTAGGCCATATCCGCCGACTGAAGACGCTGGACCTGAACTTTAGCATGCTGATCTCCGCCGGCGGAGTTCTTTCCACCCCGAAGATAGATTTTCTCAGCCGTTCGCAGGTGCTTAATGACCTTGTCCATGTCCAAAACCTGCTGCCACTTCTGGCCCTGCAGTGAGAAAAGCGAAAGTCCCGATCCAGCACCGGAATTTGGAACGACTGAAGAGTCCGGTTTCGCCATGACCTGCGTCTTGTGCTTGGTTCCATTTTCTGGATAAACTCCACCACCGGAGGGGGCCACATCGTTCACAGGCATTCCGGACAAAAACTGTAGTCGCGGAATCCAGCAGTTCGGTAGATACGGACAAAATTGCCCTTTAAAGCACCTGTAAAAAAAAATTTTAGTTACACACAAACGCACTTTCGATAAGTTATATTTTGGTTCCTTTTTGACAATAACTAACTAAATTCTATATAGTTATGCTTGTACATTTAAATCAACGGTAACTTTGTTAAATCAGCTTTACATATTGCCTAAATAATAACAACTTTCATAAAATCATTTTTGTTTTTCTTTTTTCAAGATTGACCTATATTTATAAAATGTTTATTTGGTAGTAAGAAGTTTTGCTCCCTCGCAGTTTTTTTTAATTAAAAGTAATATTGTTCAACACTATAAGTAATAATTTTTGTTTAATGGATTGTTATCTTTCGGAATCAATTTTTTGTTCGCACTTATAAATCCACTGGAACTAACGAGCCTGACCCTGAAAAGTCCCTAAAGATAGGAAAACCACTTGTAGAGAATGTACTGTACGTTCCGAAATGGTACCACAAACATAAGCACATTGTTTTTAAGAATTTTCGATTCTGTCATTTTTTTTTACACCGTAAATTTTCAGCGAAAGCTTACAGGTGAGTGCCGCCCCCGCCTCTATGAGCTGAGCCCCCTTTGGGCACACACCCCTGGGCCGGATCAGCTGTTTTTGACAACCGCTACTCGAATGATACCATCTCGCTGGCACTGCCGCACACATGCGCAGCTACTCACACCGACACACCACACACTTGCACCCTTACCAACACCAACGCAACACAAACAAAGCACACGATTGAAAATCACAAAATAAAATTCACACAAAATCCTCACAAGCAATTGCACTTGAACCCTGAATTATTTTGAAATGATATGACACTTACGTCGTTAACACAATTCCATATTTTTGTTTTTTTTTGGGCTTAGGTTACCGTTCTATCCTACCCTTGGATAGAATGGTTTTTTGATCGCTGTATGCCGAGTTAAATGCCCAGTCAGGTTGAACAACGCGACTTGATTAAATAGCTTAACTGATTTCTTTATAAAATCAATTAAAGCGTGCTAGTTCGGATCGCGTATTCGCGTTTTAAGAATGATATTATGAATATAATATAACAATTCGATAGGCCCTATGGCATCTCCTGATATCGATTCACGATAGGTCTCAGACAAATGGCATCTCTTCATCGTTTAACTATTGGCGTCGTTTTAGATAAATGACATCTTCTGTTATCAACACGCGATATGCTTCGAACAAATGGCACCTCTGGATATATATTGGCGGTATTTTCAATTTAAATTATTCTGTGCTTTTAAAAAAATTTTCTGAAGAGCGTCCAGTTGTTCTTAAAACCTCAAAATATTGTATTGATTTTGACATCATATTCCGAAGTTAAAAGTAATAAAGAGCTTGCCCAAATAGAGCCAAAGTTCTTCGCCGCCTGAACTTAATATCACAATATTGAATATCCAACTTCCAAGGTGATTTTTTTACAGAAATTTCGAATAAGTTTGAATTAAAGAGTTTAAAACTAAATTTTAACGGTTTTTCTTTTCGTTGTTAATATCAGTTGAATTTAACTATCTGGCAACATTATATACATACATATATATATATATATATATATACGGAACAGTAAATGCATTAAAGCGAGAACGAAAATAATCCGCAAATGAATTAAAACTAATAGTAATCGCTAATTTTTAACTGTTGACAATAAGGAACCGTAATTCCTATAATTTACCAGTAACTCTCCAACTTTCGTCTCCTGCCTGCAAGGCTCGATTATAAATACGCCAGTCTGATAATATACATTATAATACAACATTTATCGCGCTGCTTCAATACTGCGGTCAAAATCATTTAATATGATAGGATCCCAATTTGATTTGATTCGTTGTTCCCAATTTGAATCTAACTAAGGCGGGATTTCATGTATCATGCAAGCGATGTGCACGACAGTATGTTGAGGCTTGACCGTGCGTAGACCCCCCAACATAAAACATTTTTCTTTTATTTGTTGTAACCATTGCGAGGACGCTTGTAATTGCGAATTGCGATTTGGCGATGCGCTGCTTTCGCTTAATGCGCAGCTCCTGGCAGACCTTTTTGATTGTCCCGAAATCGAGGATTAAGACCCAAGATCAACTAAACTGAACTGCTAAATTCAAAAACAAGAGGCCGACAAAAAACAGGAAACAACTTTTTGTTTGGACGCGCATAAAATGGAACGGAATGAAAATAAGCCAAGAGCCCTGAAAGAGACACAAAAGCACGGAACCTGAGCAACACACCAGTGATATAATAGTAATCTACAAAATCATTATTCCCCTTTAACTTGTAAACTTCGAATCCAATATCACCCAAGGTACGGCATTGATTTTTCTCCCCGCACACGGCCTTCATATTATACAGAAAATGTTTATACACTTGCTTCTTTTTTTGTTTAGCCTTTTGGCAAGATGGCCGTGCACCTGAAGCAGATATACCACCATTTGCCCCTGACGATCACTCCGATCCTAGCGCATCCTTCGCACATACTGCAACATGCTCCTGATCCTCAACAGCCGGCTCCCAATCCTCCCCAGCCACAGCCACCGGACCTCACCTTCCACTGCATGTGCTGTGCGGAGTTCTTCGTCCATCCATTGGCCCTCTATCAGCACATGAACACTCTGCACCCTAATGAGCCTACCAACGGACAGCAGGAGCAGGAGAGTCCAGGAGACGAAGGTGAAGACTACAGCTGGATTTTCGAACCTGTATGCGAGCTGGCGGAAGATGGTAGCGACTCTTCGGACGGTAGCGACTCTTCCGGTTCCGACAGCTCCTCATCCTCGGATGACGACGACGATGATAGCAGCTCTAGTTCGAGTTCCAGCAACTCCAGCTCATCCAGCAGCTCAATGCCGAGTTCCAGTAACTCAAACACCCAGCAGAGCCAGGAATCAATGCAGCCCATGCGCGGTTTGGTGGCCGGACCGGGCCAAAACGAGTTTCAGCTTCAGATGGCGGATCCACGAGAGTCGACCTCCATTTTCATGCTGCAGCCGCCTGTCAGTTTTGAACCCTTGCAACAGCTGGCACCACCCGTTGCCACTCCTCCAATGGGATTCTCCATGGACTCAGCGCCGATTAAGCGCCGGCGAGGAAGACGAGTCAACTTCAATACCCCAACGATTGATCCGGCCGTAAATGGTACACAGAAGTGCTTTCAGTGCACCCACTGTGAGGCCAGCTTTCCGAACGCAGGCGATCTGTCTAAGCATGTACGATCGCATATCACCAACAAGCCGTTCCAGTGCTCCATCTGCCAGAAGACCTTTACGCACATCGGGAGCCTGAATACGCACATCCGGATTCACAGCGGGGAGAAGCCGTACAAATGCGAACTCTGTCCTAAGGCATTCACGCAGTCTAGCAGTCTAATGGTGCACATGCGCTCCCATTCTGTGCGCAAGCCGCATCAGTGTCTGCTGTGCGACAAGGGATTTATCAACTATAGCTCTTTGCTGCTACACCAGAAGTCACATGCCGCGCCCACGGAGACGTTCACATGTCCGGAGTGCGAGCGGGAGTTTAAGGCAGAGGCCCTACTCGACGAGCATATGCGAATGCATACGCAAGAGCTCGTATACCAGTGTGCCATCTGCCGCGAAGCTTTCCGCGCCAGTTCAGAGCTCGTCCAGCACATGAAAAACCACATGGGCGAAAAGCCGTTCACCTGTTCCCTGTGTGACCGCTCCTTCACGCAATCGGGCAGCCTTAACATCCACATGCGTATCCACACTGGCGAAAAACCATTTCAATGCAAACTCTGCGACAAGTGCTTCACACAGGCTTCGAGCCTGAGTGTTCACATGAAGATCCATGCTGGCGAGAAGCCCTACCCGTGTCCCATCTGCGGAAAGTCTTACAGCCAGCAGGCGTACCTCAACAAGCATATCCAGGCACACCAGGTGGCTGCTGCGGCATCCGTTTCCAGCCCTCCCGAAATGCTGATCACAAAACAGCCGCATGAGACATTGGTGTGCATTGTTTGCGGCTCACTGCATGTGGATGCCACAGCACTTGCAAATCACGTGACCAGTCAGCATGCAGCGCTTCTAGACACCATGAAGCAATCGGCAATGAACACAACACTAGGACCCGCTTTTCCAGATGATAAGTGTAGCCTAGAGGAGCAGCAAGCCTATATGGAACAGGTTCAATCCGTCTTACAACAGATGAACCAGCAGCAGCAGCAAATTCTCCTTCCATCGCAGCCAAAGTTGCCAGCCATGGATTCCACCGGTGAGGACGAAGAAGAACCCGATGAGGTAGAAGAAGCTCCGGATGAGGACGAGGAAGATGATCCAGGGAAGATGCCAAAAAAGGAGCCTGAAGTGCAGGAGGCGGAGGAGGAACCTCTCATTAATCAGAATTACCCCATTCTTGGCCTTCAGGAGGAGCAGATCCTTTTGCACTCTGACATGTATTACGAGGATTTTGCTGACATGGACGTCGGCTGTCAGGAAGAAGTATTCGGCGACTTTGTCGTCAATGAAGAGGAGGTATACACGGAGGAGCTCATCTAGACATAAGTACTAAGATTGGCCATAGTTTATCAAGCCAATTTATATTTATGTACATTGAAAAGGCACGAAAGTTCTTAAATAGTTTTGGGCCATGATGATGATTTTTATAGCCCAATTTTTTAAGTAACTTTTAATTTGTTCGTACTATAATTTTTTTTTTATAAATATTGTTCTTGTTGGGCAGAAGTCGTGGGGTGTTTACTCAAATTTTTGTCCACCTAAACGCTAAATAATTCGGGAATACATAATGTTGAACTAAATTTTAATGTTAAACCTGACTTAAGTATTAGTGAAATAACTTACATTACCAAACATCTACTACGGAACCACCACACCACATTTTTTTACTAATCATAAGTTCAGAAGAGATTTTCGATGTATCCTCTCATATCAGACAAAGCCCACACGACTAAAGACCATCCAAATATGAACATATTGTAATTTGCACATTATCTTCTAAAGATATTACATTTTGTTAGTATTAAGCTCTACTCTATGCTGCTCATTTTACATCCCAAAGGATATTCCCTTACCTATGTTGGAATTGTAATTATTCCAATAATTCCATTTCGCGTGTTTCCCAAATCGCATGAAGAGATTACATTAATCGTTATATTTAAAAATCAAGTCTTTTACTTTGGGGCTGGAAACTGACTACAATTAATTTAAAATTTTTAACTCAAAGGTAATGCGAATTGTATTTGATTTTTCTTTTTTATTTGTGTAGATTTTATCTAACAAATGTCTTTAAATCCTTGTGAAATTTCCTGCGGCAGATGCTGCAATGCGGCCAGGCTCATTCAGGTCCAACGAGGGATCCGTCTCCGCCACTCCGAACATCCCAGGTAGCAGATAACCGCCGGCCAACGGATCATCCGGTTCCAGTTTCTCTGGCGGAGAGATCAATACATCGTCGCCCTGATAGACGAAGGGCAGCCTAATGATCCAGTAGGCGCTTTGCGATAGGCGTGGTGGGATTATGCTGCCTAGAGTGAAGGTGTACTTCCCTTTGCCCACGCACACCTTAGGATCCACAATAATATTGACTGGAGCCTTGGGTGTCACCACATGGATGCGCATCAGCTGCGCTAGGTAGTTTGTCTGGGATCGGCAGGGGCATGGATAATAAAGCGGCATGTTATTATGAACCACCTTGCTGCAGGTGTCCCGCTCGATGTCTGCCCCACCGCGTAGAACTCGATCCGGGGCGCACATCATGAACCTATGTCCACGAGAGCACTCGTACTCCATTCCCACGAAGATCTTAAGAGAAAGCCTATCGCCTTGCTTTTTCCACCGTTGCTGCTTCTTTCCAGGATGCTGCTGCTGGTGGTGAGGGTGGTGCTGCTGCTTGGGGGCGTGAACTAACCGCAATTGGACATCCCAAGGCAGCAGGAAATTGGCGCCGGACAAGAAACCACTCTGGAAATGCTCTTGCAATCCGGTATTGTGGCTATAAATGGAGCTGGGACCCACGCAGGCCAGTGACCAGCTTGGGAAGAGCGGCAGAAGACCGAAGTCACTGACTGTGTGCACCAATCCCGGTAAATATTCCGTGGTGGAGGTGGAATAAGAATCGGGTGGTCCAGCAATTTCTTTCTTGACAGGTTCCTGGAGTTCAACCACAAGTTCGTTTTCCGTATCGGCACTGGATGTCCCACTACTTGTGGAATTCTGCTCGGAATTTGTCAACTGTTCGGAGCTTGCATGCGATTCGTTCAGTGAGGCTCCGAACCCAGCTATGGACATGTTTAAATCGGAACCAAATGTTGGTGAAAGAGGCTGGGAGCAGCCGTTGCTTGCGTTATTCTGCTGCTGCTCCTCCACTGGCTGCTGTTTCTCCTGACCTTCCTCCTCATCATCTTGGTCTTCATCAACATCTCCCTCCTGCGGCGGACCGCTTTTGGCCGTGTGCAGAAGGGGAAACGCTGCTTCAAAGGCCGCCGCACGATAATCACTTACAGAGGGCTCGAAAACGGGGAACTGGTACTGTTTGACTTTAACGCACAGGTTGCACATTTTAGCGATGTGCTCGTAGTACTCGTAGTTAGCCTGCCGCAGGTTAAACGGATCTTCCCGACGACCTTGTGTGCGGCCGCAATTACAGCTAGATATGTGGATCACACCACTGTTGTGTTTATCGTGGGGGACATTTTTGGGAAGCGTGCAGGGATGGGAGCGCAGGCTTAGCTGCTCGCACTGTTGACGCCCATCTTGCCAGTGTTTCTGGCATATAGCTGCCAGCTTGGCGAGTGCCGCCGTTGCCTGCGGACCGCGACCCTCCTCCTCAAATGCAACGGTGGCATCTGCCAAGAGTTGCCTGTGGGTGGAGCTACCATAGTTCGCTGGTGCAGCGTTTTTGTAGGCAGATATTCCCTTCTTTAGGCCTATTTCGCATAGGTAAGCCCAAAATCTGAAAGAACAGATTATAGAAACTCAAAAGTAATATATATTTTACTCACTTCTTTTCATAATTCAAGCTCTCGTCGAAGTTCTGCAAAAATATTTTCTGTAGGGTAGAAGGGTATATTAAGGCAATTTCCAGCGACTAATACATCAATTTACTCACATATTCTTCATTGCTAGTCTCTTGATTCGGATATCTTGCGTTCTCCACAAGCAGTTTATACATCGTGGCCATGCAATCGTGCCATTCCTGGATATTCAGCAGGTGGAACTGACCCACCTGTGGTACCTGCTTAAAGGAGCCCTCATCGAAACAACCTAACAAGGCATCGTGAACGTGTCTCTGAAGAAAATGCCAGACCGTGTGGTCCTTTTTATACTGTTGCTTCTCCAACTCCTTTTCATTCAGCGGTGGGCCATAGGGTTTGACAAAGCCTTCGAAGGGAGCCAGTTCGAGGATCTCTAGGTCTTCCTCCTCTTCCTTGGCATCCGGCTTGTACATTGCCAGATTGAGGCAATCGATGGCCTTTAGCAGTTTGTCAGGATGCAAATCTTCGTGGGCGTTAAAAAAGACAAATTGCTTGTTATTGGGCAGAGCTACCAGCGAACTACTGCTACTGTTGGTAACGATATTGTGATGGCGCAGCAACTCATATATGCAATCCTCAGTTTGGAACTCGTAGGCAGAGACACATTCCCGGTTCTTGGGCTCATCACGTGGGAAGTTTTCGAACAGGAAGAGAATTCTAGGGGCGCACAGCCGTGCTTTATCGCCCATTCTGGCTGCTGGCGTATCCCTAAGCATTTGAGGTAAGAAGTGCATTAAATGCTGTTCCCTAGCAAACTTCAGCAACTGGAACACCGTGACCAGTGTTGGATCGAAAGTTTGTCCAGTTTCTACGTAAACTACAATGTGGCAAACATGCATGGCCAGCAGAGTCATGCGCACGAATCGACATCGCATCTTCTCATAGAAACTGTCGAATTCAAAGGGAGTATCCACGTCCTCCATACAGACATCTATCATTTGATCCAGGATTACCTCGTCGTAGGTGGTCTCGAAGTGGAGCAATAGGCAGGAGGTTCCCGGCTTGTAGTAGCACTGCACCTGGCCATCTTTTGCTGTGTGTTTGAGAGGTGGCTCCATTCCAAATGCCTGCATCTTGTTCGCTTGGTCGCATTTTGACCGGCCCACGATTCCGACCACAACCAGCGAACTTTGTAGCTGCTGCATTTCCTGGCTAAATAGAAATGTTGATGAGAGCCCCTTGTAGTTTTGTAAAACTTACGCCACATTTTCGGGTATATCCGGGTAAGTCCATGTGTAATAGTCCTTCACATCCATTTTTACCTGGAGTTGTTTACAAATTGCGGAATCAGCTGTTCTAGTGCTGCCAATCTAGTAAAATGCATGTGTTTATTATATCGATTGTTAGCGGTTAAGTTGCTATCGATATTTTTCCGTTAACAGCCGCGGCTGTTCAAATTTGAAAGCGATTTAAATGCAAACAACAATAAAATAAGTATGCAATGGTAGAAATATGTTTGTATAATGCAAATAATATTTATAATAACTAAAAAATATAATAACTATAAAAATAAAAAAAATGCAAAGCAATAGAATTGTTCAGTAAAACTCCAAAAAAATGTTGTCTAAAGCAATTAATTTTTATTGTAAACTTTTCTTTTGCGTTTTATAAATATTTTCCATTAGCTTTTCATTACAGCTCTTCGCAGCGTGTGGTTTTGTGTGTGCTTTTCAGATATATTGTGTGCATGATTAAGTATAAATGCTTTAATGCTAAACTCGCTTACATAATGGATTGGTGCGTTCTTTTGATGAGGCAATGGAATAATGCGATGATTAATTGGTTGTTACTATGCAAATAGCATTTTTAAGAAGTTACTAATACTTTTTAGATCTGATAGAGAGAAGTAGGGGCTTATTCTGAGAGTCTAAGTGTGCTAAAACTGAGTGATAATTGCGTATCTTCCTCTTTCGCCTATATTGAGCACATTTAAAATACTTTTAAGTTTGGTTTTGATTGCTAGAAATGTTTAGATACTACTACAAAGAGGTGTAGATTTCGTGGAGTGAAGAAGTGTTGATGCTTTTCCGAGGGTATTTACAAATTTTCTTGGGTATCAAGCTTTGTGGGACTGTTTAACATTTTATTTACAACTATACTGTGTAGTCTTGACTTTCTAAAATGCAGCATGATTTATAGGATGTGATGTTACTCTCTTGAAAACGCCGAAAAGGGATTTCGAAACCAACTCTGTTTTCGGTCACTTTCAGAGAACAAAGTTTTGGATGTGTAGTTAAAATTCCGTTTTGCCAGGCTTTACTGTGCATCTGTTACTGTCTTCATTACCGTTTGTACTTGCTAACTGCGCATGCAAGATCTTCTTCCTCCACGTTTTGGCAGTGAACCTGAGCTTTCATCTTTGACTTGGTGATCGCACACTTTACTTACAAAGAATGTATTTGATTTATTAAACTGCAGCTTTCGGCTACTTAGATACTCGTATATGATATTCTGGGGTTTATATTGGTAAGTGATTAAATGAAGCACACACATGCAAATAAACTAGTTTTGTAAAAAACAACCGGAGTGTCACTAAGGGTCTAAATTCCCCTCATTGAATCTAATCATATTTGTTTAACTACACAGGGTTTTCCTTTGCGTTGCTTTTCAATTTAAATGTAGCTAAACATTTGCTTTTGGTTTTGGGCCATATCATGTTTGTGTTTTATTTAAAAAATATCATCACAAAATTGATGAAGTATTATGTTTTGGCGGCATTACACCATAAGCTTAGGGCTAACGATCTTCATCATTTATAATCGTTTCCAATGGTAGCTTAAATTAGGTTAAACTTCAAATTAATCAGCGCAAAAAGATACAAACTAACAACTAAAGTACATGGAAAAAATCAACACAGTGTTCGAATAGGTAGAGCTTAAGGGCTTGTAAACTGAATTCTTTGTTCTTTTTGTTCCAAGCTAAACTTAATCATCTAAGTGTTTATTGTGTATCTGCGTATTATATGTGTAGGTCTGCTGGATGATTTCTTGAATGAGGGGCTGGCGGTTTACAGGGTTTTTGCACGATCCAGCAGATCTCCGATGAACTTCGATATGTCTGATTGCGGGCGTTTGCAGACTGAAAGTAATCTCTATATGAGGGAGGTAAAATCAATTAGTACGGTGGAATCCCCTTTGGAAATTTAAGTACTCACAATAAGATGAGATCTTCTAATGTCATCTGTGTCCATATCAAGTATCTCGTCAATGTCCACATCGATGGCCTCGCTCTGTTGGTTTAGGTAATGGCAAATGATTAAAAATTAATATGATATTAGTAAATATATCGCAATAGATTTATCTTTTATTTTCATGAATACTTACTGGTGGATCGAACAGCTTCTGGAGTTCATCATATAGCCACATCTCCACGGCCAGTCGCTTGCGGATGAGGCTCATCTGGTGTGACCCGTACTTGGCCGTGAGGAACTTCTCTCGCCGCTCCTTGACCTCCGCCCCCTTCTCATTGAAGTTGACCCGGAGGTTCGTCCGGTTCGGGGACCGCTCACAGTCGTTCATTTGCTCCAGACCGCACTGCATCTTCGAAGATCGATTTAGCGGTACAAGCTTCGTTGATTGAACTTTAATTTGCGGAACGCCTTTAATTAATTGGCGTGGTGGCTGCAATTGAGGAAAACAGTTGGACATATATATAAGTCTCAAGTGGCTGTGTAATTAAATAAAAATTAATCGGACATATGTAACTGTTTACGGCAATTGCCAAGGCTGAGCTTTCCAAATGTGCGTCACACCCATTTCTCTTAAGATCAAGAGCCCAGCCTCAAGACCCGTTTGTTGGCCTAAAGGCAATACCAAATTCCCGCATCCGTGACTCACCCAACTACTCTGCCCTGCAGACCCAGAGCTCTGAATCATACATTCCATTATCTGCCCATTTGTTCGTCAGTGGACTTTTTCTATGTCCAGAAATAACGACGACATGCAAGCCGAACACTGAACAGGAATAATTGCTCACGTGTCACTCAGTTTCGTCCTATCGCCCGTCCTGTATCTCTGTGGCTTTTCACATATACCTTAACTCGTATATATATATAAATACATAACAGCTAATTAAATTAATGTGTAATGTATGACTCTGATTTCTGTCTTTTCACTTTGGCCCGTTCAGTAGCTGGAAATCTGATTTAACACACTGGCATATACGATATGAGGGCTTATGTACACTAACAGTATCTCTGCACATATGTACACAAGTAACTGAAACCACAGCAAAGGTCAAACTTTGGGTTGAACTTTATTTGTTCGAAAAATTTAATTAACAGTAAGCGAAATGGAAACAGTTTTGGATCCAATTATTTACTTTTTTATGAGTTTTCTTTTTCATTATATTAAATACACACAATACATAAAAAAGGATATTTAAAACGACAAAAACTGTAAATCCATTTATTAAGAACTAATATACTGAATTAACTGAATTAACTTTGTCACTTTAATACATTTACTCGACATATTCTATGACATATTGAACGGGCAATATTGACTTTTCATATTATTTATAAACATACTGAATCCAAGTGACATTTTTCCCGCACTTCCCCCAAATCGAAGAGGGAAAAACAAAGGTTAGCTCCCACCCGTGTGTCAATAGCAACAGAGGCCGTCGTGCCTGGTACCGTGAAAAGCCCGTTAACACCTTTCCCACCCCATCCCACGCACCTTTGGTATCCTTGATCCAGTAACACAAACCATCCCCGAAAAAACATTCGCCTGTGCAAATGCCCAAATCCAAACCTTGAATTTTCCAATTTTCCCCCCGAAAAAAAAGTTAACAAACTCGATTCACTCTCGTTCTTTGGTACTGCACTAAAAACGAAATTGAATTGCAAATACCCACAGTCGAGTATTGAAATAGTTTTCGTTGCTTTAGTTTTTGTTTTTAGTTTGTGAGGTATTTCGAAATGGTGGGCCATGTGGCAAACTGCATTACATATACAAAGAGTTTTCCGCATTCGCCGCTAAAAATACATAAAAACACAATGCCCGACCCCGCTTATTTTTCACACAACTGAATTTTCCAGCCCGTGCGAAATCTGATACCAGATTTACTCAACAGCCATGAGCAATTATGAAACCGACGTTTAACTTGTCACTCGCATGTCGGGCGACCAGAGCTTTCTGCTTTCTCAGGGGGCCCAAAAGAAGCGGAATCCGGAGATTTGTTGTGAGCTCTGAAATATGAGCAGGGCAGATCTCTGCCCTCCGGGGCATTGAGTTCTTTGCCACATGGAGTCTCATTTTCGTAGGGCTTTGGCCCGGAAATTACCCTAAACGAAGTTAATTGTGTGGATCCGTTTGGCCTACTACTGGAGTCAGGGAACACTTCTAGGGGCTTGCTGATGGCCTGGCGACATGATACCATTTTGGAAGACAGCCGCTGGCGGAAGAAAAACGTGTGAAGCAGAGGATGAAATTACCATCTTGGAATGGGTACCCTCTGGGAATAACCGTGATCTTTTCTTTCGGAAAATATTTTCATTCTAACTCAGCTTTAAAAACAAATCAGATTTGATACCAAAGTGATCATATATGTTTCGAGTTTTTTTTGAAAAAAATATTTACAAAATAATTATAATTATTATATAAAAATGCAGAAAAATGTTGTCGATTATCTAAGTACCGGCTAAATATAAAAGGGGAAAAAGAGAGAAAAGTGTAAAACATTTCCCAACGCTTGCCTTTGTGAGTGTTTTGCCGAGTCAACGGTAATTGTGGGATCTAATAAATTATGTTGACTAACATGAAACTTATCTAGAGAATTTCTTCAGATTTTCCCAAAGACAACATAAAGAAACGAGAGCAAAAACTATTTGACCGTAGATTACGAAGGGCGATGATGTTGTAAAGGGGGCGCCATGGAACCCCAAAGGCAAATTATACCTTTATTATTATGGCTTGCCACATCTAACGTTGAGATTTTGCATAAATATTATGTTGAAATGCCTACGGCAATGCGGCAACAACATGCAACATGTTGCATGTGCAACAGCAACAGCTGGCCCAGTAGAAGCATCAACAATGTGCAAGCTAACTGCGAATGAAATTGTATCAAGCAGCCCCCTCAGCCTACGCCCCTGCAGTTCAGTGTTGCAGAAACTTCCGGAATCGAGGCAGAGAAAGAAAATTTGTTGTAGAATTAATAGAATTAATATTCGAACGTGCCAGAAATCAGTTTCCTTTGATAAGCAAGGAGATAACAACCCCGTAAAATGTTTCTAAATAAAACAGATTTTTTAAAGTGTGTAAAATATTTCTCACAAATGGTACTAAAATTGCCCTCTCCTTAGTTCAGCTTAATTCACTTTAACCTTTAGGCTTGGTGAAGAAAATTAGAAAGCCTGGTCAGAAGGAACCATTAGATGAGTTGGCCACATGCGATTGCAATTTTCGGAATAGTTTCATGCATTTGAAATGAGTTCGATATGGGTAAAAAGCTCTCTTCCATTTCCAAAGCCATTCGAATTAAAAATGTAAATTGACATTTTGTTTGCCACTTCTCCCTTGGCCACAAAACTCAAATGTCAGCCATAAATTTTTCAGTGGTGTCTAGAGTCCAGGACATACGCTGAAATCCTGCAGTCATATTCCATCAACAAACTCTTCTCCTCGACAGAGTCATTCGTTAAACTGAATTTTTTGGGGGGAATTAAAAACGAAATTGATTTATCCATTGGAGACGACTAATGAGATTTGTGTAACAAAAGTTCAATTAATAAACGTAAATTTGATGAGCCATAAAACGAAAAAAAATGAAATCAAAGTGGAAGTCGAAGTCAGAATCAGAGCAAGTTCAAAACAAAGGCCCAATTTGTTCACCTTCATCAGCCCAAAATCCAAATTGAATTTTAAATATCCCCTGCTACCCTTCCCTTTGATATCCCATGGGGCATTTATGGATAAATGCAAATCGAATGTGTCGCAATTGCCTCAGAAAAACATTTGGTTTCCCAAATTGGGAAATATCGCTTTTGGGCAGACGCCAAATGCTGACTGCAGAAAGTTCATGTTAATTTCAAGGTAATTATAGATTAATTATACATTTACAGTGCGTTCATATCCACTTATATGGCTGTCGGTCTATAAAACACTTTGCCCCAGCACTTAAAAGTGATCTAAAAAATAAAATGGCAATTTGGCTGACTGCCAAAAATAGAATAACTTATCTTAACTTATTATTTATCACAATATTCCAACTTTTATGCGAATTACGTGGTGGATAGCGAGATATTCTAAATCTGGGCTAATGATTTCGATTTCTTTTTGGTCCAAGACTAATTTGAATTTGTAAAAAAAGAGAGAATAAATATGATAAGAGAGACCGAAACCAAAATATCAAGTTCAGCAACTCGAACCCAGACTAAGCATGGCATTAACCTATATAGGAAGAAACTTTGGGAGCCGAAAAGATCGGCTTTCGAACGTTTCTGAAAAGTTCATTCAAGCCGAAGTTTTCACAGGCACTGGGGGAAAAGTGAAATGTGACGCTTTTATGCTAAAAAGCCTACAAAATGAAGACCACAATGGGCCAGCGTTTGTCTATGCAAATGGTTTATGATTCGCGGGCCGTGAAATCCCCAGAAAAAGTCCAAAAAGAAGAAATGGGAAAATTGGAAGCCAGATAAAAAAAAAGACAACTTAAAACCAGTTTATGAAATCTCTGAATAGAAAGAAACTCAGGGCCAAATTCATTGATATCGAAGGGTGTTCAGTTCCTGCTATCAGATTTGGTGTGCCTCTATTAATTTATATTGTAAGTATACTGTTTATTAATAACGTTACACAACGGTGGGCTTATCAGCCAGACAAAAACATCGAATGCGTCTATAATAAATTACTATATGAATTGCTGCCTCATTTAAATAAGCCGTCGCATTGCATAAACAATCTTGATAAGCCGCAGCTGCCGATGAATCATGGCATATATGGACATTTAACTCCAACAGACCATCTAATTAATATATTAAAATTTTCGGTAAGTTTTGACAATCTAGCACCTCCCCTTTAGACACACGCCTGTCTCTATAATTCTATGGTTTCTTACTGACGTTGATCGCTCGTTAATTTGTCAAGAATTTATTGTTAGGCAAATCTTAAAGTCTAGCGCCTGTTTTGCACATAAAAGCCAAGAAATTAACTGAAACGCAAATTAATCAGCAGCACATTCAGGTAGAAGAAATCAAGGAATTTAAATAAATCTTTTAAAGTAGAGAAGAATCATGTTGCGGCAGCCTTTTGCTTGACTACGAGAAACTGCTCAAATGGCTGTTTAATTTAAAAAGAAATTTAAAAGTTTTCACAATTAAATTGAAGGCATATACAGAAATTGTTGAGTCGCAAAAAGTCCGGCCAAGAGCCCTCGTGTTCTCAGATTGAGCAATCATTTTGGATTGGGAGGCATGTGGTGACTCATTTTCGGGAGAAGGTAAACAGAAATATTTTTTGTTTCTTTTTTTTTCTGTAATATTGAAAAGTTAATTTGGCTTATTGTTTATTCATTTTGGTCAGCCCCTTTTCAGAGTCTTTTTTTTTTTTGGATTGCCCAAAACGAAATGGGGTTACACAGCCGGACAAAGCGAGAAATGACCAAAAAATTACTATGAGTGGCAGCCTTATGGGTAAATAATTACAAGTGAAAACACCTACGATATCCGCGTGTTGGGCAGTAGTCAAGTGGGTAAGTGGTCAAGTAGGCAATGGCCAAGTAGCCAAGTTGCCAATTCCGAGGTTGTTGACCCCGAAGGAGGGCGACTTAAAGCCTGGAGATGGGCATCTCATATTCGGACTGCTTACTGGGCAGTTGCCAAAAACCGAAAAGAAAAAAGAATTGTCATGGAAAAATGATACACAGCATTATTTTGGCCTGGGCAAAAAGTTTTCCTGCATAAATTACCTTTGGCAAATGTTTGCGCACTTCGGTTGCGAGTTCTCAGTATTCTAACTCCGGGTAAACTACGTAGACTACGTGAACTCAAACTGGGCGGTCTACTTGACATGGTTTTCGAGGCGGAAAAAATCAAATAAAGTACAATGGGCTAAACTGTATTTCCAAGCTAAGTATTTGCTGGCTAATTTATTGTTTACGCAATGTTTTTGTCGTTCTTGGCCAACAGCGATATTGCGTCACGGACTCTGAGAAAATGCTCGACTAGGTGTGAGAAATCTCGGTGAGTGATGGTCACAAGTGGAATAAAAGTTTTGCCATTTATAAATAGATGTCATTTCTCATTGAGTCCAACGGATTGACCGACTTTTCGCAAAGGAGGCTGAAAATAAATATTGTGGAAATCTTCGGGATCTCTAGCAGAAGATATTGTGCAAGGTGGAAAATGTGGCTGTTTTCTAGAGTCCACAAAATACAAATATTTATAGAAAACGACTCATTGTATATACATTTGCTTAAAATTCCTATTTTTGAAAAGAAAATTAAGTGATTTTCCCTTTTTAAGTTATAATAAATTATTTCTTAGTACTGAGAATCTAGAAAAACGCGTCTGTTATCCAGTCACAGACCAGATAATTTCAAGGAAAACCCAATTGTTATCTTTCTATTTCCTGTTGATGTTTATTGGGTAATCACGGGAATGTTTACTTCATAGATTCCCTTTAAAATGCGCTGTTTTCAATAGCAGAAACCCCCTCTGCCACCCCCTAGTTCATGTTTCCTATAGAGGGAACATCATTTCGGTTATCAAGTGCCACCAAACTCACAACCCCAAAACAGAAAATCAAGAAAATCGATAATGTAAGCACATCGCACGCATTTCAAAGTCAAAAAAGGTATAGATGAGGTTGGATAGGTGTTTTTTTTGGAGGGTTGGGATGTGCATTGGGGGCGGGGCGGGGCAAAAGAGCAATCAACAAATATGTGTACTTGCACATTTACGTCTGGCTGGTTGTCAATACTGAAATGTCTGTAAATAACAAAGGCAAATAAGTGATAAATCGAGCCATAGAAACCGACGGTGGAAATCACACGCAAAATGCACGCATCCATTCCCACCAGTCAAGTTCATTGTACATTTTATTTATGATTGCCTGTGCGTTATACATGTGACGGGGGTAATGGATCCACGATTCTATGCCCGAACTTCTCGGGCACTGCCAAAGTCATAAAAGAGTCGGGGAAATGAGTCCACATAGCATTAGTCAGCTGCACTGTGAGAAAAGGCTCCCTCTGTGGTTAACTAACAACTAAATGGGGGCACTTTTCCTTTTATTATTATAAATTTATAATATTTTACATAAATAAATAACAGTCAGTCATTACAAGACTAAAATAAGAACCATATAATATAGTTTTTCCAGTTCATATTTATGCATAAAAGCAAAGCACAAGTTGTTGTTTTCCAAGGCAGCACCTCATAAAAGATGCAACGAGCTGCGAGCACAGTCACAATGGACTCCTCTATCAATACACCACGCACATACGCCCAGACATATATATATATATAGAGCTATATAGTTGTGTTTATAAGTGCAGTTTTATAGCTACAATCACATTACACATACGCCATGTCAGCCACAGCTGTCCGCAGTGGGTTATAGTTCAATGATTCCACGACTCCTCCATCTACACTACTACTCATATATATATATATAGTATAACTCCACTGTCTGCGAGCACTCAAGTAATTCCATTCTATTATCAATAGTTTGAAAGATACTGGGTCTTGGCACAACTTGCCTTAATTGGAAGCCATAACTTATTTATAAATTCAAATTTATTCAATTTAATCACTTCGTGCGCTCCTGCGATTCAGAACAATAAGTTTTAATTAAAAACATAATTAATATAAAGTGAGCATAACCCATGTGATGACTTACGTAGATTTATTTTCTATTTCCGCTTGGAGTTACCATTTAAATGGTGAAATTAAAACGGTTTTTAAGCCCATTCAAAGGCCCATAGTCATTTATCATAATTTCTGCATTAGCCATAAATCATTGAAATGGTCAGAGATGCAGTTCATTCAATTGAACACTCCCAAATGTGATTGGCATTCAAAAGGCTTTGCCAAAATTGATCTATCTGTGGCGTGCTATACATACGGGCCTTCTGTTACGTTTAATTTTTGAACGAGCTTTTAATACATTTCCGTTGCGATTTATAATTCGGTGTATCTGGGAGATAACATTATGCCAAACACGTAGATGCCTGCCTCCGAATAGAAAGACAAAAGCACAGGGAACACGATGAGAAATTGCTTATTAATCTTTTTGATGAAATCGCCAAGTAAGAAACATTTGAGACGTTACGTTTGCTTTTTCACATACATATATTTTTTCCGTTGAATTTGACTTTGTTTGTTATTTTTTTGGGTTATTTTTAGACAGCCCAGGATGTTTGCAAATGTTCTGCGGTTTAATGTTTAGTTTGGTATATAATTTATTGTGGTTTGGCATTAAGCACAGCATTTGCTGGGTTCAAGTTCATCTTGTGATCTATTCCCGCGATGTGGAAACTTCTTGAGGCGACCTTCGCGGCAGACAAAGCGCTAATCTGCAATCTGCCAGCTGAGCTAGTTGGTAAATAAACAACAAACCGCCTGGGTTTGTATCTCAAAATTGATTTTGTGCCCTTTGCAGAGAATGTCGCTAGTCATGCCAGACAATGGAACCCACTAGATTCACAGATTCATAGATTCACCCGCGGAAACGTGCGTAATGAGTTAAAGATACAGATTTGCCTATCGGTATCGCTAACTGTATCTCTATCTGTATCTCTGACCGACCGTTCAGCTGCAGTTTTGACACGCTTCCGAACACCCTGTAAACATATCGATTGAGGCGGAAAAAGCAAAAAAGCAAAATATGTAAGCATGTCAGAATCAAGCGTCGTGTGTCCAATACTCAATGTATCTTGTATCTTGTATATGTATCTTGTGGCGTGTTTGTTTTTACTGCATAGTGAACAGTGATTAGACACAGGCGGCCGCAAAATGTTATGACTGCGAATAAAACCAGGTTACAAAACGCAGCAGACACAACATAAAAGAAATTACGGCTGTCGGCACACATTATTCTGCGATACACTAGCACTAGCACCAGCATCCAATAATGCAACTTCTGTGGGTTGCGGAAAAGCGAGTCTGCGATTGATAAAAAGTCAATTAAACTGAATTGCATTCTTGCACATTGGAGTAGAGCTTGTCTGGCCTGTGAAAGTTTTACCCATCATCGAGCAAAGAATTCTCATTCAGTTTAAGAACACATAGAAAGTTTAGTATGGAAATGTTCCAGCTTATGGAGATATTCAGATTGACTACCATTCTGAAACTTCTGGCTGTGAAACAAGCTCATTGCTAATGCTAATATTTGCCAGCTAATTTGGCAAGTTAGACTGGCAACTTCTGTGTTTGATTTGCTGGCCAGCACGAGATCTCCGTCTGGCCGAATCCGAATGCTAATCGGAATTCAAGCGCGTCTAGCTGGCGGTGTTCTACCGAATTCCCCCTCTGGAAAACCGACTGGCACTTGGGAATTGGAAGCGTGAAGCGCAGTTGCGTTTTTCGTTACGTTCCGCTGAGTGCGTGGCCAAAAGCGGCAACCGTCCAACGACCACCGACCACCAACCACCCTTCGCTGCCAATAAAAAGTTTCATATATGAAGTTGTAAAATAGAAGAAATACTCGAACAGATACAAATAAAAACGTAAACGAGGCAGCAACCACTGCATAAAATTCCGCAGCTCAACACGCACACTGGCTGCCTTTCCTGCAGGTTTCTGATGGCGAACTCGGCTTCTGTGCGGCAATGTCTGCGGGTCTTAGTGGTAATGGTACTGGAAGTGTGGAAGTGGAAATGGGGATGGGACCAGATCTGGCCCGAAACTGGGAGTGGGACTTTGCCTGGTACTGGACAGGTGGCTGTGACGGGCACGCTTCTCCTGGACACTGGACACTGGTCACTCGCCAGCTGAAACAAATCGACCCGATCGACTGGTCTACGAGCAGAAAACACAAAAAACAAGCTATTTTCCGGTTCTTGACTGAGATGAAAGTTCTGGGTGTAGAACAGCATTTTCATTTTTTTATTTCAATAATATTAGAGAACATCAATATTGATCTTTGATACCACAAAGAAACATAGAAAAAACACAAACAATTCCTTGAAAAAGTTAATGATAATTCAGTAAATTTTTATCATTACAAAAAAAAAAAATGCTATTAATATTAATATTTATATTTTCTGAGTCAACAAGGACTCTATTTTGTATTATTTTTTCATCAACTCAAATTGGTTTCTTTATAGAATTGTTTTTTATACATGATAATTATATAAAATTAATATGTTATATATATTAAATATCAAAAGAAAATTTACTTTTGGAAATTTTCCAACGATGGATTCGTCTTGGTTTTGTCCGTATTTGGCTTAATTGCTGTGTCTAGTTCTCGACTCAAATTTCACTTGCCGAGATTTTAAATTAATTTTCTTTTTTGCTGTGGCTGGTGCCGCTTTAGGATTTTCCACTTTTCTGCTGCTGCTGCTGCTGCGACTTTCTGCTCAATGAAATTTTCATTTGCACGAGAGCACAATGAGGGCGAAAAGCACACACACACACGGCGACGTTCGAGCGGTTTGTTTAACTGTTTGTTTATAAAGCGGCAGCGGATTGCCCGGAGTTTGAATACTGTATCTGAATAAAGAAATTCTGGACTTATTCAGAGCTTAGCACGCGCAGCCGGTGAGCACCAATGACAGACTGAATCGGCAAATGGAAAAGTATCTGGCGGATACACACCGCCGTTTCACTTAACAGCGCCCTCTCTTTCGCTGTTAACTCTCGGGGGCTGTGCGCGTTGATGGGACTGCTGATTTGTGGATTTGTGGAGCTGCTGACTATGGCTATATGGTGCGATTAATGACCACCGGCTCAGCACCCAGTCTTTCGAGCTCCAATGATTCGATTCCAGGTAGCCGTATCGCGAGATAGGCCCAAGCTGTGATCTGTAAATTTACTGCCTTGCCAATCGATTTCGGCTACACATGCCGACTGCCGTAAAGTTCTATTTATAGGGCTTTGCTATCCTCTACTAAATCTTTATTATTCTGATCTGATCTTGCGAAGTCACACCTCTATAAAAGTTAGGTTTAGGTTAGGTTTATTTTTAAATTTAACGACCAGTATGGCGGGAGTATGAAATGAAAATTCTGTATTGTATGACTTTCTAAAAGATATTAAAAATAATTTTATTTTTATATAACAATGTGAGCATTGCAAATACGATTAGTATATCAAGTATTAAAAGGTGTAATACGTCTTAAACTTTGAATATTCAAATTTTATAATCTGTTGATAAGTAAGTCAGCGATAACAGTGCCTAGAATATGAGTCGATAACCTCATGAAACACTTATAGGCTAAGGTGCGAACTCTGTGTTTATTATCAATAAATATTTTAGATATTATTTTTGTTTTATTTTTAATATCAAATTGTTCAACATACTTCTATTTTTAATCTAAAATGAGCTTAAAATTTTGTTTTCTTTATTTAAATATTGATAACTATTAAAGTAAAAAATATTTCTAACTTTTCACTGTGCTCCAGCGACGACAAATGTCACGCTGCTGAGCACCGTCGGTGGCTGAGCCTAGAATGGCTGGAACTGCAGCCAAGTGCAACTTTGTGGGGGAGGGAAAGAGAAAGAAAGAGAGAGGGAGGAAAGACAGAGTGGGGTGGGAAGAAAGCAGCGGCAGCAGGCCGAACTGGTCAAAATTTACAGTTGGAGCGGAAAAAGAGGCGAGAGAGAGAGGATGCACAGCCATTGACCATAAACTTGAAAACAGAACGGAGGCGGCAGCATTAGAGTTAGTTAACAGTGGTGGAGAGTTAACAGTGGCTGAGAGCCACTAGAATGTTAGTCACATTCGGCTGCCAATTATGCTCGGCGATGGAGAATGGAGAATGGGACTTAACACAATGTGACAGACGTCACTCAAATGGCCAAGAAGCGAGCGAAAAAGTGGGCACAAAGCGTTTAAGAAAATCAATAAATAAATATTTGAAGAGCAGAGCGGATGTTAAGTCCGACGTCTCAAGCCTTAATTACCTTTCTTTGACTTTTTGACAGCACATCATCTCCTTGGCCACGAAAGTAATAAGATATTTATGCGGCCATGGCCCCACATTTCTTTATACACTTTAAATATTAAAGTTAACCGCCCATTGTGTTGCATAAGATACATACTTGAGATGGCTGTTGGCCAACACTGCGTATGCTTAATTTGGGAGCCCTTAAATATTCAATTGGCAAAAGTGACTTTTGACCCTTGGCATTCATTCATTCATTCGTCGTCCTGTCTTTGTCAGGCTTTGTTTTTTGGCCAAATCGTTGAACCCAAGTTCAAGAGTTCATCTTGAGGCAGCATCTTCTGCACCCCCTTGGAATTTCATCTGCTCTTAGCCATGTTTATGGCCCCTTGTTGCGCATTTATTGTGCGGTTAAGCCAGTCTTTGCCACCCCACAAAGGGAAAAACAACGAAAATTGGCACTAGCGGGTTCCTTGACGCCACCATCTTTTTTGTATGAAAAATACGCTTTTATGCTCTCCATTAATTCCATTTGGCCACCCTGTCTGAAGGCCCACCTCTGAGAAATAACAAAAATAACAAAAGCTGAAATTGGTTTAATAGTCGCGACGAAGTCTGGGCATTTGAAAGTTTTTTCTTTATTTTTCTTTTGCATATAATTAATGATTAGTTGGGTCAGTTCATCAGTCCACGGGGCTTGGCTTTACGCATCATTATTTGCCGTTCATTACCTTTTTATGTTTTAGTAGAGAGGGAGGAAGTCTTGGCCAAAAGTGTGTGAGAAGTGTGACTAAACTCTGACTTAATGATTAATGTTATGATAGGTTTTACTTTTCATTAGTTGCGAATTCCCTTGATTTACTTAAAGAAAAACTTGTTTTAATGTTTACTTCAGGTTAGCTATAGCTTTATAAATAGAAATGATTTTATTCTTTGGGCTTTTCCTAAGAAGTGGAGGCTAGCATTATATTTTGATCCCCCTCCTCGGCACTTATGATTCTCGTATTTCTTTCACACATTTCGCTGTTATGTTGAACGGTTAATCCAAGGTCTTTTTTAAGCTCTATTATGTAAACGAGCCGACCATTTTATTCTTTTCTACCGTTTACTGTCACAAGCTCGATAAAAGTATCTATGACTGTTTTAATTAAAGTTACGTTACTATAGCCAACAGAGTTAAGCCATATTTATGATGAGCTCAGAGGCTTAGTTTGCCTTTCAACTGGGGATCTTTAAACATAGATACCCCTTTGATAAGGCCCCTGATTTAGCCACAGCTCATATATCTTGTTGGTAGGTTTGCTCTTCTGCTTTAGTTGGAACAAGCTAAGAGATTCATTCATTCGGAGTGTTGTTTGTTTGGCTTTTGTGTCTAAATGCGAGAATTATATAGGGAAAAAAGTTACAGCTTTCTGGCGAAAAATCAAAACACGTTTTCCAGCGGCAAGGCCACACAATACAAAGCACCAGACGAACTCCAAGAGCCGCCAGGTACATCTGGCCCACCTGGCGACTGATGGAGATCCCGGCCCCGGCCCCGGCACGTCTTGTCAGTCACATCTCTCCCACTCCCCATTCCCTCATTTCAGATCCCCTCATCTAGTCAACCCGGCTCCCTTCTTTGTGGTTCGTCTGGCGAAATTTCCATTTCGTTAAATGTGGAGAATTTACGAGCTCTTCTGGCTGCACGTGCAGATGTCCTTTCTGTCCGAAATGCTTTACGAGTCCTTGCAGTCATTTGGATTTTAGGGGCTGCCCCCTCAGGGGGTGACTGGGGATTTTCTAAATTTTTCTCTCGGTCTCCGACTTCAATGTTATTGAACTTTGGCGTCTCGACGTCTGTGACAAAAGCGAATAAGTTTTTCGGATAACGCAAATAAATTTTAAGCAGCCTAGACTTTTGCCAGAAGAACTCCAAAAATATATACAAGTGCAAGGATATATATCTATATATATAAATTTATATACACAATACGACTAGGGCATTGTGCACTTGTGTCAATAACCCTTATTAGGGGAAAAGCACAAACTCCCACAAGTCATGCAAGCTCATGCAATTTTCTTGGAAATTCGTCGAAGCCAGCAGAAAGGACGACATTCTGCAAATACTTTGTGGCAGACAGAAACTTTGGCTTGAAAACATAAAGGTACATTGATAATTGCTAAACTCTCTTTCTGGCACAATTAGAGGGAAAACCCTCAACAATTTTCGTTTGGTGCTTAAAATAAATGCAAATCACTTTTTAGTTGGATGTAATCACCAGCCAAACAGCCTGCGAACTACCCCAACTACTAGCTATCCACATGCCACGCCCACTGCCCTCTACCGCCCCTTTATTCGTGCATTAAAAGCATTAACATTGCCAGTGGCAGCACGGCAGTAACTGAACTGAAGATGCAATTTAAGCGATGCTGCTACGATTCCCTCTTAGTTTCGACACATTGAAGGGTAAACATGGATATGCAGGATTAGTGAAACGTTTTAAAATTAGTAGTTTAGATTAAGAAGTTATTTAGGTTAAACATAAATAAATAAATAAAAGAATGCATTTTTTTCGCATAAAGAAATCTCAGAATGAAATTTGATTTGTAATTTCGAATTTTATATTATTTTTTTTAGCAATTTGATGAGAATTATGGGCACCCATAAATATAGGGTACTTATAGAAATATACGAATGCTGATGATGCACTTGGAGTCCTGCCACACCTCCAAGTGTACACACAGTTACGGGGGATGGCTGCCCACTTGGGTGACGTGACTCCGTGAAATATGCAATGGTTTTTTGTTATGTTGCTACCAGACTTTCGCATTTTGCCCACTTTATGGCTCCAAATGCTGTTTCCTCTTTACGACAGCTCGTCCGCCTCCCCTTAGTCCTTTCCCTCTACCATCTACGCCACTGTGATTGTGTTGTTGTCTTGCAACTGGCCTAAAGGGGTTGCATATTCGCTGCTCGTGCCTTTTGTGTTTGTTGGGCTTTTGTGCAGCAAGTTGCCCGGGTGTTTTAATGGGCGGCCGGGTGCAGATGCAGCAGAGTGCTTAACGCTTTATTTTCATTAACATTCCTAAGTTGCCTCTTCAAACGGCTTTAAGCTGTGCCAACGAGCGGCGCATGCGTCGAGGGTGCTGTTAAAGAACAGAATCCTCCGACAGGACCTGCAATTAGTAACTAAGCAAAAGGGTTCGCAATGATGGTATTATCTAGATGCCAAACACCTGGCCGTTAAATGAACTGTTTCTTTGAGTGACAGTAGGGTTAAATTCCCATCAAATTAAATTCTATCAGCCATGGTATTACTTCAAAGGTGAACCACCACCACCTATTGCCAATCCCCCAACCGCTATTAAATTATTAAAGTATCTATAGACAAAAAACGAAATGCAAAAGCTTTCTATCGATTTTCATTGTTGCATTGAAAAAAATTATAGCTTATTGATGGAAATTTTAATTTCTAAACTAATAATTTGTTACAAATTAATTTTTATCTTTGAAATGTTTGAGGACTTTGCTTATTGGTTTTTAACCTTTTTTTATTATTGATATTTTGATTCATATTCGTTGAATGTTTTTGAATTTCTTTATTGATACTAATTAAATTTAAAGGCTCAAAAATATATAATTACCACAAATTGCTAAACATTATTTCTCTCTGTGTGGTCTATGTTTGCGGTTTGAAAACACAGACACTTCTGAAGAGAATGCTGCGAAAGGCGGGTCGACATCCCCGGATGTTATTGTTTCCAATTGACAATATACATTACAAGGTCTGCAAGGTTGGGGTTGAAAGCTTGAACATATGTTGGCTGTGAGAGGGAAAGAAAGCTTTAGACTTCCAGGAAAAACTTATAGGAGTGTGGGTGGTTGAAAGGTAACCCCTGGAAGTCGCTGTTATCGATACCAACCACCCCATCAGCTGATAAGGAAAGCTCCAAGTTGCTAAGGGTGAAAAAGCTTAGAAAAGAAAGTTTCCAAATTTCCTGAACACTTTCCATTGGTTTATATTTCGCTAGCTATCCAGTTTGTCACATAAAATCAAAAAATATAGATATAATGCAAAATAATCACCAGAAATAATAAAAAACAGTGAAAAGTCATAAACTTATTATTATCGCGCCTTCAAGTGATAATCAAAGATACGTTTGCGGTTGCTATTTTGAGCAGTCCAAAGAAAAGACCAAAAATCAATAAGCGTGTAAAATTTGTAAACACGACAAGCCCTCGACCAGCCTCTCTTGGTTTCTCTCCGCGGAAACCACCCCAGCCACTCCCCCAGTGAACTGTGACCGCCAGCTGGCCAAAAAGAAAGGCCAAGCCGTGACCGTAAAACCGCAAATATAACCATTAGCCGCCGAAATGGCTACCAATATTGCGCTTTCTGTGCTGCTGATGATCGCGGGAGCAACAGCCACCGCGGAGCAGGTGGAGTACCTGGATCCACAGCTGTCTTCACCAGCAGATCATCGGCTAAACAAGCGGATGGATCTGGAGGTGTGCATAGGTGAGACTTCCTCGAATACCCGCGACTACATTATTGGATTCATTTGAAGTCAGATTCAAAATGATATATATTAGTTAACCGCAAGCGGTGACCTAAACGACCTCTTCTTACCATTATAATTATTTTCACTATGTCCACAGGTCACTTTGACGTGCATAAAAATACGATAATACGTACCGGGGAGTCCCAGGCGATTGGTGGCAAGTACCTTCAGGGTCTCGAGCTGGACACCATCGAGGAGTGCGAAAGGCTCTGTTGCGAGACGGAATCCTGCGACGTGTACATCTTCGAGCGAAAGGCAGGAGGCTATTGCTATCTTTTTGAGTGTGGCCCTCCGGAGGATTTCCGTTGCAAGTTCACGCGGCACGCCAACTATACGAGCGCCGTGTTAAACCCCCAACCCAAGCAGGCTAGCGAGTTGGTCAGCACTCCGCGACCGCAGTTGCCGCACATTCCCAGCAACAATGTTTCCCAGCAGGAATTGGAGCTGAGTAACCTAAAGCTAAAGCCGGAAGCGAGGGACAAGCCCACAGTTTCCACCGTCGCGCTGGTGGCTCCCACATCGGGAACGGGTGTGGGCCAGTCGGCCGTATACCAAGCTCAAAGTGGTGAGTTGTGGGCTTACTCTTAGAACACGAGGGTATATTCGACTTTAAAGTTTATGTGGAAATGTGAAAAAGTTTCTTTAAAATCTATCTTTGTTTTATTTAAGAATTTTTCAAAATGCTTGTTCGGCATTACAAAATTTCTATAATTACCTGGTACTTGTTATTCGATTCCATTTAATGAGAAATTATTTACCATATTTTAGTTCCCGCTGCGAATTGCGGACGCTTCCAGTTCACCTGCCACTCCGGAGAGTGTATAGCGGTTTACAATGCCTGCGATGGCATTCCCCAGTGCGAGGATGGGAGCGACGAGGGACCGGAAGTGAGTTGCCCTATCACCTCCATGCTTATCCCCTTTACAACCGTTAATTGCTAACACAATTTTTAGTGCATCACCGTATCGTCGACGGCCACAAAATCAGGCAGTAGCAGTATCAGCAGCAACATGGAGCCCGTGAAGCCCATTGTGCAGCAATATGTGCCAACTCAGAACGTGCAACAACAGTTGCAGGTCGTGGCCCAGCAACAACAGCAGCAGCAGCAACAGCAACCACCGCAACAGCCACAGCATGTCATTGTTTTGGGACCACCACCACCACCTCCGCCGCCACCGCCCATGGTGAACAATCGGGAAGATGCCGCCGCCTGGGCGAACCGCAAGATGATTGCCGAGGGACAGCAGCAGCAACAACCATTGCCACAACAGCAACTCCAACAGCAACAGCAACAATTGCAGCAGCAACAGTCGCCACAGCAAAAGGCAGAAATCACAAGTACAGGTAAATAGAAATAATTGGAAAATATATCTTTATAAGTGGGAAGGAAAGCCAAAGTCTTGAAAGCCAATTTATTTGCAAGTTGTTAGTTCATAAGGTGGCAATATCTTTGGAAAATCTCTTAAAATAAAAATTTCTTTCCCTCCTGTTTTAAATCTTAATTAAAGTCCCAGTACCAATTAGCTAGAGTCAGAAAGACCAGACAGTCTGACAAAACTAAAATAAAATATTTATAAGAAAAAAAAAGAAGGTCCCCGATGGGATCCCACTTCCATGACCATTTGCCTTTCTCCTCATCCCAAGGCTTTTCTTCTGGGAAAATCGCAAATTGCCCATCAGTTTTCATTGTGTGAAATGGGAGCTGCCCGACGCTCGAAATTGATTTACGGATGTTTGTGCAATGTGCGTGCTGAGCCTCTGTCTACCCGTAATTAATTCAATTAGCTGAGCGTTAACTGGGGGACACACTTCATACTTCCTTGTGACGCTTCCACTTTCTTGCAGATGAGCAGAGCCGCATCTTCAGCCACAAAGGCGGCCTCCAATTGCAGCCAGTGGTAAATGGACAGGGACAACTCCAGGTTCAGGGCCAGATCCAGGGATCAGCGCCGGTTCAGGTTCAGGGACAATCAACACCGCTCCAAATGACCAGCTACGACAACAATCAGGCTATATATGGCATGTCGCTGCCTCGCTCCGGAGTTTATCTGCCACAGCAGCAGCATCAGCAACAGCAGCAACTCCAGGTTGCCAATGGCCAGCAGCCAGTCCAATCGAATGTTGTGTGGCCACCACAGACTCCCTTGATCACGCAGCAACAGTCGCTGGTACAGCAGCAACAATCCTCGATACCGCAGCAGCAGCAGCCTGGTCATGGCTATGCAGCTCCTCCAGCCATACAGTCACCGTCAGTTCCGCAGCAAGCCATGTTGCCTGTCCTTAACTCAGCTCCCGCACTTGGAAAAAATCAGGGCCAATCGGTAGATGGGGACTACGATGATTATGATGAGGAAACATACACAGAGGCACCAAAAAAGGTGAGATCTGGAAAAAGTTAAGATCAAAATATTAGTCTTTAAATTCCAAATCCACAGAAGCAACACAAGCACAAGAAGGTGAAGGCGAAGACTGGCAAAGGATCCCATTGAACTAGCCCTGGAGCAAAATAAGCTACAACAGGAGGGAACACTTCCGGTCCTGCCTGTTCCCGTTTCTCCGGTGCACGAGCAGTACAAGATGATTCACGAGAATCTGGCGATGGAGTTCAGAGATCACGACGGTCACTCAGAACGTCCTGGTGGAGCAGTCCTCTCACTGACCCTGGGTCTATTGGTAACCGCAGCCTTGGCTATTCTTATAGGATGCAGGATGAGAACGGTAAGCCGGAGGGCACGACGACTGGGCGGCAAGACGCCCTATTCGCAGGAGGCGGACTTCCTGGTCAACGGCATGTACCTCTAAGCCAGATGCCAGCGGAGTAGGACGGGGGTTGCCAAGATTCTTTGTGTTGTTCCACGTGCGGGGGAACGTGCGTATATTTATGATTAATAATTAATAGTGTAATGAAAAACATATTTTATATAAACAAAGATATATCAAATAAAACTAAAACTTAAAGTAGCTAAATGGTATTTCTTTGGATGGATCATGATTACCATTAAACCGATCAAAAAGTCAAAATAATAATTTTGCAATATTTTTTATTTAAGTTCTTTTCCATCCTCGATTTCAGTTTTTGTTTTGGTTACGAAAAAAACTTACAATTATTTTGTTATGAAATCTTGTTTTCAGTTTTTTTCATTGATGTGACACTGTGACTGTGTTCAGTCATTAAAACTACAAAATAGTAGGAAGTTGGTTTTCTTAATTTTTTGTTTTTGTTTTGTTTTTCCTTTATATATCAGCTTTTTACTCGTAATTGCCTTTGTTCAATATAACAAATTTTGCTGTGGTGGAGCCTTTAAATTCTCAAGTCTAAAATCAATAATAATCAGTGATTACTAAAAAGTATTTGGCCAAAAAACAAATTTCAAACGCTTAAAAATATCACATTAAAAAATTAAACGTAATTTTATATATAAATAACACAAATTTATTTAATTTCGTTTTGGAATTTGGAATAGGTTGTCTTAAATTTTGTATACATAGATTTATTTCGCTTTTTTTTTATTATTTACCACTTTATATTTAGTCTTTTGTTGATGAGAATTTTCCTTGCTGTGGCCAGGATCTTTTGAATGAAAATCATCTTTTACGAAGTTTACTGCCCTGACATTGGTTGCATTAATATATATTACGCATTAAAATAGGCCTTTCTCTTTACTTGTTTAGCTCCATTTTCACTTAACACTGTACACATATAATGTAAACTAATTGTATTTATATTTATTTATGCAGTTTGAATAGTTTATACTTTAATATGTCAATGTGCAATTTATGCTGCAATTTTTCATCCCGTTTGACTCGTTCCAATGTTTTCGGTTGCTAAGCGATCTAAAAACAAAACTAGTTTCCGAAAAATACAACTCAAGAAATCTCCAAATGTTTTTACAACTTTCGTATTAACTCGATATAAATATAGGCTGAATTAATTGGATCGACTGGCTGTTGGCGGTTGCTGTTCATGTTATGGTAGTTTTTACTGTTAATTTATTAGTTATCGTACTTTAATGTATATTTATAAAATAGACTTTCTCCTTAGCAAGTTGCGAATTTTCGTTTCTGTTGTTGCAGTTTTCGGTTTGTGGTACATTTACGATGCCAACACTTACGCATCATGTTGCGTACCTAAATGAGTAATCGAAGGATGGGCATAATTATATGGCTTTTTGTTTTTTAAGACTTTGGTTACATACCTTTTTGTCCAAAGACGCGCAATTCGATCATGCTCCTCTCGATTCTGCAAATATTGCGTGGCAATGCTGCCCACCAGCGGGTCGGCTGTAAAGAGATTGTGTTTATATGAACGATTTAGTATTGACAAAGTGATTATTGACTCTGTGTGTATGTACAATCCATTACTAGGAATTAATCAAGTAAGGATATTCATTGCAAGCAATTCTCACCTGGATTACAGTCTGTGAGCAGGGAGCAAATTGACAGCAAGACCTTTGATATGGTCAGCGCCGGCGACCAGTTGTCCTTGAGTATATCCAGGCAGATGACACCCTGGCTGTTGATGTTGCAGTGATATATGCGCGTGCGGAACGTGACTTTGGGCGGCTTGAAAGGGTACTCCGGCGAGAAATGTATGTCGAGGAAGAAGACGCCTCCCTCGTATACGGATCCAGGTGGTCCCAGAATGGTCGAAACCCATTCGTACAGGTTGTCGCCCTTGGGCCCGGCACTGCAGTTGGGCGGTGGGTCCAGTGTGATTTCGGCAAGCTCCTTCTGGATGCGCTTAGCCGAGGTGCCCAAGGCCTTCGATATCCTGGGAGTGGGCTTTGTATCCTTGCGCGGCTCATCTCCGCCGGCTGCATTGCTGCCGGAAGCGCCTCCGTTGGCATTGCTGCCCCTGCCACCACGTGCCTGCGGCGTTCCGGCGGACGAGGGCTGGCTGGGGTTGCTTGCGTTACTGGTCGTGCTAGGCACGCTGGGGGCATTCGAGGTAGCGCTGGAGGTGGCCACCTCGGCGGCACTGCCCGCTGCTGGGGTTGAAGACATTTCTGGTCGGGGTTCTTCGAGCTGTAATGAGCAGGTGGAGAGTTTAGAGGTGACATATTTCCAAGTATTTTACGTGCTGAAATAGTATATCTAATGTAGGGGATAAGGCTAAGATTATGTTTCGAAGTATTATGACTAATTAGAATAATTTTTCTAAAAGCAGAATGATGTTAGTTTTAAAACGTTTAGTCTTTCTAGAGGCATTTATTACGGAAAACTTTAAATTTGAATTTCGTAGCAGGATATTTTTTGGGCACATTTTATCCTTGTGTAAGGATAAGCACATTTGGCAATGTGTAAGATAGGTGCCAGTGAAATCCGGCTATTAAACGCGGATTTTGGTCAGGGTTTCCCCAGGGTCCTTGACCTGGTTTTCCACCCAGTTTCTGCCTCTTTGTGATGGCAGGGGTTTGATTTTTTTTTGCACAAACGCACACAAGTCTATCGAGTATTGGCAGCGGCCATTTTGGCAAACCCTTGGATGAGAAAAGGGCGCTATTAAATGGTTTTAAGGACCCGCAATCGGGAATTTCTGCTCAGCGGATAAGGTGCTATATCCTCGTTATTTTGCAACCGACTTTCAACAGCATGTGCTGCACGCCGCAAAAAATCAATCAGCAGACATTTGCAAAATGCCGCCGCCGACTGAGCATGATGCTGCTGCTTCCGCTGCCTGCAGCTCGGTTGCACAATTTCGCGGAACTTAAACGCCGATAAAGAGGCTGCCTTCCTGAAGGCATGCCACTGATACACTATACACACCTCACTATCGCAGTTTCTTTCACTTTTTTCTATCACAACACTTGCGAAAATGATTCGCTCGCCTCTGCCTGTCGCCTGCTACCCTCTCACTCGCACTCGTGCGCTCACGGCCTTCTTAGTTGGTACAAGGCTGTTCTGTCGGCGTCCTCGGTGGGTGGGCAGTGTGGGCGATCGAACTCCTGCGGTTTTCACCTTTCCAGTCGCTTTTTTTTGGTAAAATTGCAGTTGCCAATTACGCGGAGACGCAGAGCCGTCTTTATCTTTGTTAGAAACTCGATAATTTGTATGTTTGTAGCTATTTATGGTATCGCTCCGGGTCCGTCTCTAGCTGCAGTCGAAACCGCTTATCCCATCCCTATGAATCCATCGATGGCCAGTTTCTGGCAGCACCTATTGCCCTTTATTGTCGTCTGGCAACTCTATTGTTACATTTAAATTTAATTTTTTTTTTTTCATTACAAAAGTAAAGTAAATTAAAAAATGTTGCTTGAGAAATGTTTTGAATATTGGCTGAAAACTGTAAATTAACCCGTGGATTTGATTAATTCAATAAATTGAATTGATAAATTAGATTCTGGTAGTGATATTTTGTTTCTCGTTACTAGATTTCAAAAAACTACTAAATAGTTCCATTCAATACATATATACTTTTAACTTTAAATCTATTTTGTATTTTTAAATTTACAAAATTTAGGATTATTTTGTCTCCATGTCTTCTGCTAACGCCTTGCGTGACTTGAAAACGCGTACCGTGTTGTCGGCACCTCCGGAGACAATATACTTGGGATTGGACCAGTCAATATCCAGAACCTTTTCGCCATGACCCAGAAGATCGTACAGTGGGGCCTTGGGACTCCTGCAGTCCCACAATTTGTTCTGATTATCGTATGCGCCGGAAACAAAGAGGAACTCCTCCGTGTTCGACCACATGACGCTCTGTACCCAAGCATTGTGTCCCAGATAAGTATTCCGCACAACAGATCCCTCTGAAAGAGAAAATTAATATTAATTAAGTGAAAGTTCGTTGATAACTTCGGAAAATGTGATCGTACGGTTTGTCCTGGCATCGTATAGCCTCAAATTCTTGTCCGCCGAGGCCGTCACTATCAGGCGGTTCAGCTTTGAGTAGCTGGCATCAAAGATAGACTTGTTGGTGGATATTTCGGTCTTGATGCCCTCAAGGCCCAGGTCCCAAACTTTAAGAGTGTGATCCCAACTGCCCGTAAGCAGAGTGGAGGCATCCATCCATTGCACGGCAGAGATACTTTCGCGATGTCCCTGCAGCGTCATTTTTGGGGTCTGTAGAGAAATCACAACTTAGTAAATATGTATTTTTTATTATATGAATTGCTACTTACCCTCACACCACTCTCCTTCATTCGCTTAGAGGCCCCTTCTGCCGCATCGTCCACCTCAGCAGACCACACCTTCAGCATGGTGTCCCAGGAGCCAGTGGCAAATCTCTGACCATCGGGACTTACGCTAACGCTATCAACGCCTCGCTCATGGCCCTTGCAAACGGAGACACACTCAACCGAATTGGAGGCCACGCTCCATTGCCACAGCATGGCGGTTTGATCCTGGGAGGTCGACACAAAACGACCGGTTTCCTCGTCCAGCGATATCCAGTCTACAGCCTTAATGGGCGCCGTGTGGCCGGGAATCGTGAGGATATGCTTGCCCTTGTTGGTCCACAGGTTCAGGGTGTTGTCATAGCAGCCGCTGAGGATCCACTTACCGCTGACCTTTACCGCCGACACCCAATCGTCGTGGAGCAGGCAATCCTGCGGTTCCGGCGCCGGAAACCGCTCCACATACTCGATCTCGATGGCATCCTCGAAACTAATGGCCTTTTCGCGTAAATGATCGCAAAGCCTGCCACGCAGATATTCATCGAACACCAAGAAATCAAAGTCGGTTTCAGATGAACCATCTTTTTGGCGGAGAAGAGCGTTTACGAATGTGTTTAACTCGGCGGTGGCGACTGTTCCATCGATGGCATAAGGCACATCTGGCACTGCATAGCTGAAGGTACGATTATATATTTATAAATTCAGAAGGTATTATCCATGGACCCTTACTGTTCCTGCTTGGTTTTAAGGTGCACTTGCACCTGTCCCTCGCCGTTTTCCACATCCATCTCCTGGCCCACGTGCGCTCTTCTAGGCACTTGTTTTTGCGTCAAATCGGGGTTTTCCCGCGGGTGTATATGGTGGTTATGAATGAACTCCTGTTGACTTGAGGAGCAGTTGAGCCCTCAATTAGTTAATCTATTCGCTGAAGTCCGTAGTATTTAATAATATAAAAAATAAGCGTGTTTTTAAAAGGTAAATGCAACAAATATTACAAAAAACGCTAAAAATGGCCAAAGCGCCAATCGGGGTGAGCACTTTTATCTTTGCTAGTAAATCGGTTTGTTATCGATAAATTACCGCGAAACTGTAAATTTAAAAAATTTGTTAAATATATTATTCGATCGAAGAAACTAAGTATGATTATTTTCTATGATTATCAACCTTTTTAAGTGCTTTTTAAATGTTATTATTAAAATGTTATATATAAATTCTTATTATGATGATTTTAAAGAAAATTAATGCAATGATATTTTTTGAGCGTCCCCTTCTGACATTGCCTCTGACTTTTATTTTTTATTTATTACATTAAGAAAAATTCGCAATGTTGATAATTAAATATTTTTGCAAGCAAATCAGGCGTTGATGATTGTCTGTAATGTAGCCTCTCAGTCTATCTCTCTCATTCACTCGTCTTACGCAAAACGGAAAAATAAGAAACGGCCAGCCGTTGAGGCAATTTGTAAATGACTCTTCAATCTTCAAAGACTGGTAATTGTTGATGTTTTTCGTACAGGCTATTAATATGAACTAGATAGCACCTGAAAACCACTTTGCGGCTGAGTGTGCACTGGAAGGTTAAATGCCTCTTGACATTTCTGAAGTGGCGCTTAACCTTCGCATTAAAATTGGACAAATGCCCAAGAAAATATTTCCAATAAAAAACTGTATTTACCTTAATGGGTCGATGGGGATATTAAGCTGGAAGTAATAACACTTTTTTTGTATTATTTTTACTGCAAAACTTTAGCTGCTAGTGGGGCTTCACGAAAACCAGAAACGAAGCGAAATGAAAGAGCTGAAGCTTTCCAGATTTTCGGGGCTTCCAGCGGGTGAGCTCAGCTTATAAAACGGGCTTGGCGCCTGCGCAGCCAAAACATTACAACAAACGTCGCGCGCAAGGTAAGACCACATCCAAATTCGATTTGTTTCGTTTAACGGGAGCATTACTGAATCCGGGAATCTTTTGCAGTTAAAAGCCACATCTCCACCAACTACAAAATGAAAGTGTTCGCGCTGTGCTCCATGCTCGCCCTTCTTCTGGCCGGCGCCCAATCCCTACCCCAGAATCGTGAGGGAGCTGCCTATACGAACGAGGCCATCCGACAGGCCCAGCAGACGCTCCTCATTCCCAAGGATGCCCAGATTCAGAATGTCCAGGAGGGCATCGAGTTGGGCGCCTACGAGCAGATCCCCGGCAACCAGCGCATCAACCTGTTCGAAATCCTGGGCGACCAAGGTTCCCTCTGAGGTGATAAATAACCTGCAGTCCCAGGTCGACCAGATTGGTCGCAACTAAGTCGTAGGACCAATCCCTTGGTTAGCTCATTGCATTTCGCCCTCATTTGTTAAGTTTCTCAGTAATAAAATGAAAACATTACCCATATTTAATCGAAGCGTTTCTGTTTTTTGCTCTTTTTCAAAAACCCATAAAAGCGAAAGTGATCCTCCCTCCGAAAACCTGTTGGTTCCTCTGCAAAACTCTTGATCGAAAAAAGTGATTTATTTGACTCTTTGTTGCTTTTTCCTAATGCTCTTCGGACACTTTCTCCTCGCTGATCCCGCTGCGCATACGAATTAACAATAAGAGTCGGCACATTACTATAAGCCATGGTATCCTCAACCTTGTTATGTAAGTCGGGGGATTGTGCATTACAGTTCAATATGATGGAGTCGGTGGTAACCCGAGTGGTTGCCCCGACGGCAACTTTTGTGTTGCCGTCGTGATGCAACAGTTGTCGTCGTGATTGTTTTCCTCAGACATTTTTGTTTTTTTTTTGCTGGGCTTCGGTTTGTTTATTTAATTTCTGGTAATTGCCGCCACATGCACTTGCATGTGTAATGAGGTATCCGAGTAAAGGCGTGGCATGCCCCTAGGGTGGCAGGCTTGCGTAACAATCTGGGTAGGAGCGATATCCGAAGGGCTTTCGGGCCTTATGTAAAGTCTATTATTATTATAAGTCGAACCTTAAGAATTGCCTAACTTATACCAATATCTGATCTACTTACCAGAATCTTTACCATTTAAAATCATGTGCTGTGTGTTTAGAATTACCTCATTTTTATTTCATAGTTCATACATTGTAAAATGAGCTTCAATCTAAATTTACACTAGTTAAAGTATTTTCATAATATAGTTTACTTTATCTCAAGAAATCTGTGTGGTTGTGTGTGATAGTGTGCACGATCATCGCCTAAATAAATTATGTTCATATGTTCATATAGGTAATTGTTTATATTATGGACTAACTAAAGAATGACTGCGTTTATATTTTGACACTTTTCTCATCTCGTTAGTTTTGCAATTCGGGCGAGTGTTCTTCACTTCGATGTCAAATTTAAATTAGTTTAATGTATATAAATTATGGTTAAAGTAGGAGTAATTGTAAATTGCTTTAAATTAAAACTTTGCCATATTCAGTCTAAACTTAAAAGCTTTTCAAATTAAAGAGGACTATATAGTTTGCCATTGCATTTTAAAATTAGCAACCGCTGGAGCGATAGGTTCACTTTTCACTTTTCACTTTTTCAAATCATTTCCATTCGTTATGAAATAAATTACAAATTAAATAAAATCATGATGAGATAAAACAAGTTAAAAATTTCTCCTTCTCGTATATGTTGCGACTTATTCGATGAATTCCGATTGTGGGCGTGGCAATGATTGGTTGAATGTTTTTCTTTTTATGTGCACTTAGGTCAATAGATATAAATAAGAAATATAACTAAGCAATAGGGATTGCCTTGGCTTGCGCAACGAGGGCGAACCGATAATGAAACATTTAGTTATTGCATTTGGGGAGCCCAGCTTTGCTAATCATAAGTTTATGATTACTTTCGTAAGATTGATAAATTCAAAAGGTCGTCGTATGCAGTCTATGGAAATGATACTCGTAAATCTTCTTCCCCTTTTTCTGGCTACTTAAACCTAACACTTTGCTCACTTGAATCGTTGGATTTTCATTGCTTTTCCAAGCTACTAGGCCTTACGGTGTATGTATATACAATAAAAGGTTTCATCTTCCAAGTAAACCAACTCCAGCCGGCGGTCTTCAGTAGATCCGCTGCAGGTATAGACGTCCCAGTGGTAGGGCTCTTTCCACAAAGCTCTTTTCAGCCCTCGCCGATGAGGAGGATTTGTCCAGTGAACTGGTCTTGGCCACAGTTTCTTGACTCTCGTCCAGTTTCAGGCTTTCGGCATCGGCTTTGGGATCAACACCACCGACCTGGCCCGCTCCCGATCCCAGCTCATCGATCTCCAAGGTAGACACTGAGTTGGTTTTGGGGGTGATGGGTTCCCTGACCTCCCCACTGCCCAGTTCCATTTCTTCGCCCTGATTGATCTTCTCCAGCTGCAAATCACTGCCATTTTGGATGCGGGTCTCCCCAGATATATCCTCGCCACTGTACATCAGCAGCGGTACCATTGCGCTCTTCTCCCGTATGGATGAGGCAGCCGCCATCATTCCTTCAGTGGTGGAGGACTTATCCTGGTAGAGATCTATGTCGCCACCACCACTTCCGCTGCCGCTGCCATCCAAGTTTGTTTCGGCAGTTCCTTTCACTCGCTTGTGGTTCACTTCAAAGGGACTGGGTATGCTTCTAGGCTCATCCTTCTCTGGTTCGAGTACATCCTCCAACTCGACGAGGGGAAAGTTAACATCTCGCAGACTAAAGTCGTCTTCTGGAAGGGAGGGATAGGCCGGATTGGACTCAACTTGGGGTACATCGTCATCCACTTCAATATTGTGGGTGGAGCTCGAAGGTGGCATTTCACTGCTTACTACAGGAGAATCTGTGCTGATTTCAATTGCAGTCTTGGTGGTGTTACGGTTGATGATGGATTGACTGGTGGTCGATACTTCTCGAAGTCTCAATGGATCAGCGGTGGTTACTTTGGCGTTGTTTCCAGGTCCCTCGGTTGTGGATATGATGTGGTAAATGTTGTCACTGCCCGCCGTATCAGGTTCCAGTTCCCCATCGGAAGACTCCACCAAGGAGGACTCCTTAAAACCATTCTGAAGGAATAAAGGCACAGAGTCCTCGTAGTTCTTGGTGCTCTGAGTAAGTCCCTTAGTAGTATACTCCCTCTTGATATTAACCTTGCTGGGATCGTTCTCCGCCAGCGGCTGCAGTCCATCGGAATGGTAGGTTATTAATGGTTTCACCTGTTGCTCCACGATGCTGCTCGGAGAATGCGGTCTTTCGATATAGCCCACCGAGGCGATGAGCTTTAAGCTTTCGCTGCTGCCTGGAAGTGCTTTCTGGTTGTTGTCTTGGCTGGGCGTTGGTGTTGCTGGCGTGTCCGTTGGTGTTGCTGCTGGCACTGGCGATGTTGCTGCTGCTGCAGGAGTGCTGCTGATGGATGGTGATGCTGTAGTGACTGCTGCTCCTGTTGCTCCAGCTGTGGTGCTATCTATCAAGCCTGTGGTCACTGATGGAGCAGGTCCCTCGGTTGTAGGCATCGAGGTGCTGGGCTTTCTTGTAGGAAACGATGGCTTAGCCTTGTTGTCATCGGTTATCCGGATCTCCGTCGGCTTTGTTATCTCCTTAATAGTGATGTTCCAGTTGAATCCAGCCGGCTGAGCTAAGGCCACCGGTTTCTGGGTTGGAGGTGGTGGAGCTGCTCACAGGTTCGCTGGCCAGCGGTGGATTGTTGTCGAGAACTGTGGATTGGTTCAATGAATTGGATTAGAGACCACCGGTCGATCAACTCGTTTAAACGAAGCACTCACTCGGACAGTTGTCGTACTCCGGACAGCAGCGGCCGGGCACATATTTGGGCATGCAATCGTCACGACGGAAACAGGTCACCGGGCTGCAAACAATCTCGCCGCCTGAAACAAATGGAGTGTGTTTAAGCAAAAGTGTTAGGCCAACAGTGAACAATTCAGCGGAAATATTTCCCAAGCGGGTGGAAAGTGGCATTCTAATATTTGCTTTTATCAAGCTTTCAGATATGTCGATGACATGACATTCAGAAGTATTAAAGAGAGTTCGTGGTTATAAACCTTATAGCTTAGTTTAAGTTTTATTTATTCCTCTTTTTATTTCTTTTGGATTTTAACAAACCTTAAAGAGAGTTTTAAAGATTGAGTTCTCTACTATATAGATTTATATACGTTTCCCCCAAACTTTACTATAGTTACCCCAATAATTACCCCTGTTTACAGCTAATTTGAGGCAAATGCATGCACTCACACTCACCTTTGCAGTAGCACACGGTGCACGGTGTGTCCGGGGCAACCAATTTATCACCATTGGCATAAGTCTTGCCATCCTTTTCGCAATCTAGAGAGGAAAGGAGGAGATTTGCATAAATGCATCCGAAAGTCGATTCCGATGGGGGTGTTCACTTACCGCATTTATAATCGGGACAGCAGTGGCCAGTTCGCTGGATGGCACGGCAGCTAGTCTGGTATTCGCATCGGGTCGCGGTTTCGGCCACCCAAAGTCCGTCCTGCAGGCATTGGCCTATAAACAATTTGAAGAGGCGGGCGGCATTGTTTGCCATTTAGTTTGGGAGTGGGTGGCTGGATTAGTTTTCGGGTCTTACCCTGGGGCTGCTGCTGTTCCGGGGAAGCCGAGGACTCCGTGGTGCTGCCTGCGAGGCCGTAGAATCCGGCACTTCCGCCGCTCGAGCTGCTGGCCGCGATGCTCGGCGTGACCGCGACCGTGACGACTGTGGAGGATGCGCTGCTGCTTTCTATGGCGGGCACTGCAAAAAGGAGAAAGCCCGAGTGTGAAATAAGAGAAAGCAGAAAGTCAACAAAGGCCATTGAACAGAATGTTGCACTGGAGGAAAAAAGAAGAAGCTAGAAAATCCCATGCCGCCCACTCCCATTTTCAAGGCTTCAAATTTTTTGCCATTTTCCTTTCAGCTTCCCAAATCTCTAAAGCCTGCAACTCCCCCATTTTTGATGGTTGAGAGAGTACAGTAGTACAGAGGTGTAAGGTTAATTTTACCTATTTACCTAAAATGTATTAAACTTGACCTTTTTTGAATACTTATTACTCTCTCAGGTGTCCCCAATTTGAAGTCTTGTGTCCCGATTATAGAGATTTTCTTGCTTAATGTATGGAATGGGAAACAGTCACTGGATATTTAAAATAAAATAATTTGACATTTGAAATGTTATTACTGACAGGCAATCAAAGTAAAGTTTAAAATGAGTTAAAGGCAATTAAATTTAAACCTTACGTAGTTGCTGACATCATTCCTTGAGATTATGAAATAACTAACTTAAATATTTATTATTATTAGTTTTTTAGTAATTTTCCTTCAGTTAAATTCTTTAAAATTCTTTTTTTTTTTTTAAATATTAAAGATAACAGTCTTCCTAGGCTAAGTGGCTTGAGCAAAGCTATCAGCAGCTTCCATTAATGAAATGAAAATGCAAATTGCCTTCATGTTTTAATTTACAAATGTAATTGGATTATGCTTTTTCGGATTTTTGCAGAGTGTATCCGGGGGCGAAAAGGAACGTGATGTAGCAAGGGAAGGGCAAATGCCCTTTGCCCCCTTGTCACTGGGTACATATTTGAATGAATGACATTTTGATAACAGTTGTTTGTTGTTCCTGTTGCTGGTAGTGCTAGTGCTGGTGATGCTTCTCTGCTTCTGCTGCTGTTGGCCAAGGTAAAATGCTATCAAAATACGGCAAAGTTAAATGAGTTTAGTTTTAGTTTGGCTTTTTTGTTTGCCCAGTTTGAGGCGACTCCCAATTGGGAAACCGAAACGAAGAGGAGCACAAGATGGAGTGGCAGCCGCTTTGTCTACGGTCGTTGATTGTCCAGTTGGCGTATAATTCCGATTGACAAGCCTTGTGCTCCCAGCACATTTTCCATTTCCCCTGAAATTGTCTCTTTTTCTTAAAGGTTTCCCCGGCAATACAATCTTTTGAGCTTGGGTCTTGTCATTTGCCATGAAAAATGATTAAATATGCTCGAGCATTAATCATGCGCCCAGTGCTTCAGTTTTATTGTGACTGAGTTGGCCATCCTTTATTTAGGGTTCCCCTTCATAAACTGAGACCTATCTATGTACATCCCACGCTGAAATGTTTTCCTTGCGCTCATTACGGGAACTGCATATGCTGCTCAGTTTCCCTTTTCCGTGCGGACAGAAAGGGGAAAATTGTTTAGATTTATTTTGGTGTCCAATTGGAAGGGGAAACTCTTAGAGTTGATTAAACTTAAACGGGACTTTAAGAGTATCTCAATTTAATACTTTTAGTAAGTAAACAATCCTTGTGTACTTTTTGCATTTTCAGCTATACTTCCAGCATTTTCTGCAAAAACGGAAAACCTAACCAGATGTGACCCATATCATCGCTTCTGCATCTTTCCTTGTGCATCGCACTTAGCTAAGTATTCTGAAATCATTTTTACCGTCTACGACTTTCATTTAGCCTTTTAAGCACTTTTGCTTGTTTCTCGTTTCGTTATGCAAGGCCCAGAAGCAGACACACATGGATGAAATCCGAAACGCTGCAATTAGTAGAACAGCTTCCCGTTTTGCGCTCTGTTTTCATTGTGGAACGCAGCGCTAATTCCGCGACTTTTCATTGTCTCACTGGGTACCCGAGTCTCCTCAGTGGCAGTGGATCCCAGTAATTTTTGGCTGGCCAACACGTTTCAAATGAGCAGAATTATTATTCACATTATGTGGAGAAGTCAGTTGGAGGGAAGGCTGACATTTGTCTGGTGCTCGAGTGACACGATTCGGTCAGATTACGTATACGCCACCGGGGAGATCTTATTTTAGATTTTCCCGTCAGCTTCTTCACTGTGTTTATCTCCCACTCTCTCGCCGTCTTTCGCTTTGGGTGCTTAAATTCTGTAAGTCGATGAATTTTTTTCGTTTGTCTCAGACGAGTGACAATAAATTGTTCGCTGCGAAATTGCATTGTAAATTAGCTTTTGATTGTTTTCCGCAAGGCAGAAAGTTATTATGCAAATGCCTGTAAATGTGACGCGATTTGCTGCTGCAATGGCTGCTGATTCATACCCATAAATGTCATTGATTCTAAATTAATGTTGGTTTTATTTTGTCGTGATAAATGATAAGCACAATTCCGGGCAATTGTTATAAACAAGCTGGCAAACAACCGAAATGCCGGGTGAGATGGAGTCTAGAATGGCTTTTAGCAGCGACAGGGGCGTAGAAGAAGTGACTTTCGTGGGGTATAGTAGGGTTACCCTACCCTTCAGGCTGAGTATTATCGGCTGGAATATCCATTAAAAACATTGCAAATTGAAGCGAATTTTTGACAGGGTACCCTGGGCAACCACACCACTGAACCACACTATTAATAATACTTAACACCATTGATAAATACGGCCGGCTATAAACGCCTAAGGCCGAAACCAACAGCAATAACAAATCATCCCAAAGTCGAGCCAAGGACCGTGGAAATTGCGGAAAATTGTCTGGCCCGCCGCCTACACTTCATAAACTACTCAACTTCAGCGCGGCCCAGAAAATGTTCTCCATCATTATTACATTTCCACCAAGTGGCTTTCCCGACGCTATCCTCGCTCCGCTCTTCCGGCGCATTTTGCTAAGCTGAATTTCCGCCGAGCGTTTAAGTCGTTAGGGGGGTTCATCTGGTCGCTCCTTCAGCTTTCTTAAGCAGTTTGCGGTTAGTTAGACAGAAAATGTGTTAGTTTGACATGACTTCTGCTCAGCCGAATGCAATAAAGAAATTCCTGGCCCATGGACTGTAAGTGTAATTGCAATTTTATAGGGGTAAAGTGTTTCAAGTCTGCGACCCATGAAATCGGGATATAATATCGGGGATGTAATAATAGGAATCATAAAATGGAAAAACCGATTTTGAGATACAAGTACCTCTTTGTGGGGTTTTAACCACAAATTGAATTGAATCTTGCATAACTTTTAAACTTGAATGACAAGTAATTTCTGTCTATTAAGTCTTGCAGTATTATTATATTGCCTCAAAATTCGGCTGACAATCCGATCTTTGCATGCATGTCAAGCTAAACTCAAAATTGGTAACAAGAATATGCCGTCATGCTTATAGACAGCATTATATACATGTGGCCCCATGATAATTTCATTGTTTCCATGGGGAATTTCAACGGAAACCGAGAAACCAGCGGCGCGTAAGTCAGGCAGTTGTGAATGCGATTTCAAATTGACGCTTAAATGGCATTCAAAACGAAAGCAAAAACAATGAAAAGCAATCAAAATACGGCGGACGAGTGACGGGGAGACCGACGGACGGACTGACAGACAGACGGACGGACAAATGAGCTTTTTGAGTGTTCTGAGCTCGTTGTTGCACTTGTCATCGTTCTGGACAAAGATGATAAATGAGGTGGGCCAAAAGGCGAAGACGAGACTTTTGTCTCAAAAGCCGCAGAAAACACAAACTCATCGCCCAACAACAAGAATAAAGAAAAAAAACCTGAGAAAACAAATTATACGGTTTAATGGCAGGTGATATGCGCGAAATATTTTGGTTGATAAAAAGAGGAGAGGAATTCACATGCCACATTGAACAAAGTTAAAATTGGAAGCAGTTGGTGTTACGGCGGAACCAATCAAAACTTTAACAAGCTTTAACAAGAAATATGTTTTGAATTTGTTAAGCAAATTGATTTGCCTTTAACTAACTCGCAAAAATACATTTGTTTTATTATTAAATTATCCATTACCTCTCATTGCAATGCAAAGGGCCCTACGGATTATCAAATTATCAGCGCAGACGTGTGAAATGCAACAGTAATTACCTGAGTGTTAACTAAACAATTTGGCCCACTCACAATATCAATTCAATTTTGCTTTCGGGTCCCGAATTTGCGTGTTTGCCATCTGTAACTGTGGCCCAATCCCCAATCCGCAAGTAATCCCCCATCCTGTCAGCCCAAACCGAGTTCGAGCTGGGCTATTTAAATTAATAATGCCATAGCCGAGCTCCACGACCCACTAGATGCCTTTTGTCGCATCATTCGGCCTGTCATTAGGCGCATTAGCCACTCCAACACATGGCCAAGATCCCCGAACTGTGGACCGATGGAGATATTCCCTGTCAGCCTCACGTGCCCAACTGGCCTAATTGTAGCAATTTGAGTAATCACATATGGGCTGGCTGTCCACTGGCCCCTGCCTATTGGCAGATACATTTCACAGTGCAATAATATGGCACCCAATGATTTATTTTAGTAATCAAATGCAATGTCAATAATTACATTATTCTACACGATATAATCTGAAATTAATGCCCACATGTGCAAGCTGAAACTGGTTTTTACCTGGTCATAATATTATAACTTTGCTTAAGGGCTTTATACATTTATTATACAATCACTAATTATCAAAAATAAATTTTTACATTCAAAAACTATAAATTCTTATCTAACCAACATATTTATTTATCAGTTGACCCAGTTTAGTATCAACGGCTGTTCAACGGTATGTAGTTAAAACATTTAAATGACAACAACATGAAAGATAATTTGATCTAGTTCTTAACAAGGGCAGTAGCAGATTTATTAACCATACGCCACGTTGACCATCCTGCACTCTATTCCAGCCACAAAGCCAAACCCAAGCTTAAGTCCTCGCTGGCTGCTGAGCTAACTGCGGGCTCTTTTCAGTTAGCCATTAGCACAGCTCCCCGCCTTTTCTATTTGCCTGGTGGAAGAGCGCTCTGCAGATCGGCGTTAAAGTGTAACACACCATAAAACAGA